TTAAGAGACACAGGATGACTCAGTCTCATTCATCAATACTCAGACTATAGGACATGCTCTGAATAATGTTTCTCAAATGTCTGTAGCCACTGTCCCACCGTAGCCCTGAGGACTTATTCAATTACCTGGTGATTGTTTACTTGCACTGTAAATTCATGTTAATTCACAAGATAATTTTTTAACAGTACTTTTTAAATGAGAGTGTAATATAATAGGGCTCTGCATCAGCTATCATAACAAGCAATTAACCAGTAAAAGCCTTTGTCTCTAGTCCACTAAAATGTGCTTTACACAAGTGGGAGAAAAGTGTTCACTAAGCTTCAGACCACCTTCAAAACACCCTGAAAGTGTTTGTGGCTACTGCTTGTTGCAAATTACATTGCCATGAAGCCATTTAAAATACCTTTAATTAATGCTGATTTATGCTAAGACAAAGAAGATGATGCACATTCCTCTTATTTCTCTGTGAATTCAATTTATATAACAGTTTTTCTGTTGTTGTGATAACAGCTTTTTGGTTTTTAGAGGGTATATTTACAAAGCTCCTCACTGTTTGACCAAAGCCAGCAGGTGTTGGAGTATGAGGTATAAAAAGTGTGGGGAAACAGCAGGCTGTTTGCAGTGTGCCTGTCAGTTCCTCAGGAGGAGGCTGTGAAGAGAGATGATCGGTTTTTCCTGTTTCTGCGGAGAACCTGAGGTAGCGCACCTGTTTTTGTTTTTGTTTTTGTTTTTGTTTTGTTTTTCTGTGGCTCTCACTGCTGCTAATCTACAAGAATCACAGGAATCGTGAGTCTCATATCTAGTGAGACCACTCCATCTATACACTTCAGTCGTTTCATAATCTCCAGCTGTTTTTTGCCTTTATTCTTTATTAAGTTCAAATAAATATCGAACCTTTCTTAATAATGTAACACACCACAGGACTGCTTGTTAAATTGCCCAGTGAAGCTGGACTCTTTGGCCCTAGAAAGCAGTTCTGTACACATTTTTGCAAGAAAAGAGGGCTAGTTTGGAGTTGATACAGTCAATCGCCAAGTGTGTGACACCTTGGGGACCACGGTGTGAGTCCTGAACAATTTGAGTGTGGCCACTATACCAGAGCCGGGCATCACTCAATTTATCCATCAACATGTTGGTCATGTTTTGTCAACATTGTATTCTAGCTCCCTCCAACAACACGTGCCATGTCCCAATGGAAGCTTGTTAAAAGCAGAACAGCAGCACAGCCCAACCTGGAGCAGCTGCATACAAGAAAAAAAAAGTACTCACAACAGGTTGCTTTGCCTTTTGGTGGTTGATTTCCTGCTAATTTGGAAACTATTCTGGAACAGTTGTGCTTCAATTATAAGTGAACATGCAATGTGGTTTTAGAGTTTCAATTTTTGCAGGTTTACTTGTGTTTAGTTAAGTAACTGTATTCCACTTTGTTGTGTTGTCGCCTGCAGACACATTTAGCAGCTGCAAAGCCTGTTGTGGTACCATGCTCAAAAGCCTGTCTAGGCTGATCTTCTGATGCATGCTGGGTGTGAGTGCCATCAAAAATAGACTCAGAGCATATCTTTAGCAGTGCAGAGTGTAGAGATGCTTCTTGGTTGAAGCTGGACATGCCGCAGCACTCCCTGTGTAACATAGTGCTTTGACTAGAATGACGTATTTTTTGTGCAGTACGCAATGCTGATGTGCTAGCTCTTTGAGTAACTATGTCCACCTGTGGTGTGATCCTGTATCTAACTTAAATCTAGATTTCAATTTACTAACAGAGTATATCTTTAAATTTGGCTACTTAATGCTGCACTTGTGGAGTAAACAATTTCTGAGTCACATATATTGTAGGGTGACCTTCTGAATCCCCAAAAAGAGGACACAACTACGTGGGGTGGAGTTGTATGCACACACAAAATTTGGGGGTTTTTCGGTTCAGGGCGAGTGTTTTTTATGTGCTTCTAACTCCGTTAAATGGATATTCTGAATTCCCAAAAAGACACTCAACCAGGCCTCTTGGAGATACTGAAAAATACTCACACAAAAGTTGCGTTTGTAATCAATATATTCATTTATCTCTCTCTTTTTTTTCCCCTCTGGTGGAGACGGCCTTTCATACAAAACCCTGGACATTTGAAGGATTTTATAAACTCCCCTTGGAGAGGCTGGACAGCCCCCCCCCAAAAGAGGACATGTCCAGGTAAGAGAGGACTTATGGTCACCCTAATATATTGCAAATTATCAATCATTTAGATACAGTGGGTAAAATAAGTGTTAAACACGTCACAATTTTTCTCAGTAAATATATTTCTAAATGTGCTTTTGATATGAAATTTTTACCAAATGTTGGTCACAACCCATGCGACCCACACATGCAAAGAGATAAGATCTTAGATGTTTTTTTTAGTGGAAAAAACTTACGTGGACAAGATAAAACAGGGCTATTTCTTAAGCTGCTTGCTTGTCCAACGCCTACTCCTTCAAACTAGATTAAGAAACTAAATGAGTTTGACATAAAAATCATTCATGTAATAACTGCTGGTCTCATTTGCTTATTTCATGAAAAGGCATCAATATGAATGTCAGTCTTTGTGAATCCTTAAGAACCTAGAACTGTCAAGTTTAAAGTTTCTCATGTAGCGTCTTGTTCAATGTGTGAGCATGGAGGTGAGTCAACCAGAAATCTTTTCAGTTCTCTGTCAATCTCTGTGAAACCTGATGCAACTTCTCCCCTCTGTCATCCACCTTTGGAAGATAATTTCAGAGCATAATTACAGTGTGGTTCCTGAGCTACAAGCTGTGTGAGATTGTATTGTGTAAAAATAAAAAGCATAAAAAGCCTCATTGTCACTCAAAGGGGCTATTTCCATCCCCTCAGTTGTGTTTCATATGTGTAATAAGAACATTTTTATCAAGTAACAACAGCTCAGCGACCTTATTCTGCTAGTATATGGTTTTGCACATAGACTGTATATACTATGGACAACTTGGTTCCGCCTTACGCCAGTATACAGGTTTGAAGTCAAAAAGCTCCCAGTATTTCCACATTTTTTTTTCTACTTCCTGAAACCAACATTGCGCAGTAACGTTGTATGCACTCCATCTCAGTAGCATTTTACACACCTGCGGGAGAGTTGCCAAGAGTCGCTGTGATGACACTCGACTCAAACAGCATATCCCCCAGGTGAGCTACGCAATCTTCGTACGCCCATAGGCTGTATCAAGTGTCAATCATAGAAAACACAACCCCCCTAATAACTTTTAAAAACAGAGCTTCACAGAAAAAAGAGGACTTGAGCACAAACCAGTCTTACTGTAACTACATGTCAACATCGCAACCAGGGGGGAGAAAAAAATGTATATTCTGTGTAATAAACATCTAAAGTTTGTCCACAACTCCATAGGGATTGCTGGAGGAGGCAGGATTTATGACCTATACTGCAACCCGTCACCAGAGGGTGCTGTTCTTGGGGTGGCTTCACCCAGCGAGGACAGTGTCCATTCTATATACAGTCCATGGTTTTGCACATATACAAGCTATAATAGCTAATATACCATACTATACATTCAGAATATGTCTTTTAGTTTGGTAATAAATCAGATTCATTAGTTATGGAATAAAATTTGCCTCTCATCCAGATTTTATGGTTTCTTACCATCTGTAGTGAAAATGCACATCCTTTTATGGATGTTGGAGGTGTCATCTGTTCATGTGCATACAGCTGTAAATGTAAATGGGGCATTGAAGTGGACAGCAGAATTTGATTTGGTCAACATACTTATTCTCCTGTGCTAAACTCATGGTTTGCTAAGATAGACATCAAAATATCCACAACCGCACACTGCGAACCATCAGAGAGTCCACGACAAATTTCCCTACTGGGACAATTAAAGTATATGAAATGTAATGAAATGAAAAAAACATGACCACTGAACTCACCTCTGCTCTTTACTTTGAGTCAGAAAACAACTCATTGATGTTTTTATAATGAGTGCTTGGCACTATCTTTGGAGTAAAAATTCACATTGTACTACCTGCACCTCGCTCAAGGACACTAATCCAGTGGCTCTGTGCATGATCTGGACCTCAACCCACACAGCTTGTCAAAGCTCTGATAAATATTCATAACCTCTGGTGTGCAAGAAGAATCAACTACATGCAGCAAACCCATGTGAGTGTGTGTTTGTACCTGAATACATGAAACATGATCAGTGGGCTGTCGGCTGCAGACCGACACTGACGTTATGTTCATTCCTGTGTGTGAACATGTACTTCACTCTGCCATGTCAAACATTTGAACAGGTAAATGCTTGGTGCTGTTTTTGTACTCTACGATTTTTCCTTCCTCTCACTTGTGCAGTTTTTTTTTCCTTTTTTTTGATCTGAAACAATCCGCTGTCCAATTGTTCAGAGAGCTCTCTAATCCAGCCTTAGATCTGAGTCGTGCAGCACGGCCTAATAGGATCGCAGTATTAACCCTGATGACAATACCACCAGCTGTCGTAGAGCCCCCTGTTGGCCACCGGCAGAAATGTGTTGGGGGGGGGCATAGAGAGGGAGGTGACTGACAGAGAGAGACAGACACTGATAGACGGAGACAGACTCAGATGGATAGTGTGTCTGCATGATGCTCTTGGTCTCATTTGGAATAATCAGGGAAGGAAAAGACTCTTGAAATGCTTTATATGTGGACGACTACCTTCTTTATTTCACTTCTCCCCCACTCTTCAAACTGCATCCCAACATTTTTTTCATTTTTTTTCTTTTAACTTCTTCCTTTAGTTTCTCTCTTATATCTGCCTGCTCCGTTAGCTTGCATCCATCCTTCTTGCCCTGCCTGCTGCTTTCAACCACGGTCTGCTGTTTCTTCCTGGGTGGCAGCGGCTGTTGACTCTGTGCTGGTTCTTTATGGCTGAATAGTTGGTACCCGGGGGTGGGGGGCTTGCTCAGGTGGGTTTGTCAGAGGGGGACATCTGGAAAGTTGGTCAGGACTAGCAGGAGGAGGAGGTAGTGGAGGATGGCGGTGGCTCTGGAAGAAGTGTGGGGGCGGGTGAAGAATGTCTGCAAGCAGAACGGACTGCTCATCCTGTCCGTGCTGGCTGTGGTCATCGGCTGCCTGCTGGGCTTCTTCCTCAGAGGGAAGCAACTCTCCGAGCAGGTCAGTTGGTGATTGTAACCCCAAATCCCCCCTCACAGTATCCCACATGTCCCCCCGCTCCCACCCACCGTCATTTAAGTGCTCACATGTACCTCCTGTCTTCTCCTTAAATGCCAAGATGGATTCAGACGCTGAAACTCTTAATGCAGGAGATTACCCAGTTCCCTGGTCTCTACATCTGTGTCTTTACCTGCACTTCATGTGCTGCTCAGTAACATTTCCTCACTATCTTTGAGGGCGCAGCTTGGTTTCCTTTAATTTTAGATGTCAAGCCAAGCACGTACAATCCTCAAATCTCATGTGTTTTCAAAACACAAAAACACAAAGTTGTAGCTTTTTAATAGCCTGAAAGATTTGAATTAATAAAGTATTTCATTATTTTACACCTAGTCTTTCATCAAATGCCCTGCCTTTTCCCCAAAGCTTAGCTAGACAGTCATCTATCTAACAGAAATAAGCACTAAAACTGCATTTTATTGAAAGATCACAATCCCAAGGAGACAAACCAGCACAAAAAAATCAACCTGATTCTAATTTTACATTTCTCACACAATTACTAGACCCTCTCCTTTACTTAAGTATACATAAGTTGGCAACTATGACTAAAATACTTAACTTTATCAATCAATCAATAACACTTTGTTTATAAAGTACATTTAAACAAAAAAAATGTAGCTCAAAGTGCTGTTCATTCAAAAACCCCACCTACCTTCCAAACACACATTCAACACACACAGTACTCATGCACACACACACACACACGCAAGGACACTAAATGAGGACTATCCAAACTGCCACAAATGAACGAGGAAACTCTATGTTGAATTAAAAATGTGTAAACACAGGACCTAAGACTAAAGCGACAAAACCATGTATAATGAAATTAAAAGTTAATTAAGATAAAACAGTCTATAAACCAAACTTTGAAAGAAAATAAAAGACAAAATACTAACTCTGTTACTAGAATAGCATAATGCAGATAAAGAGATTTAAATTAAAAAAACAAAAATGCTTAAAGTCAGACTAAAAAGCTTGGTCTTGAGTTTGCCTTTAAAAAAACTAACAGTCGGTGCTGCTCTCAGGTCTGCAGGTAGACTATCAGAATTATGCAGTCACATAATTCATACTGAAATCCAAACACCAGCAAAACAGTCGTGCAGAGTGTTTTTTTGTCCTAGGTAAAAGATACTCCAAGTCCCAGACACTGAAAAAAACGGACTAAACATGAAATCATTAACACATTGACAGGAACATTAAAATAAAAGAGGGATTTAATGTGATTTAAGCAATAATGGAGTCTTGGATGGACTGATCGAGATCAAGGGTTAGTTCACGGCTGTTCAATGGTATATATTTGACAGCGATGAGGTCCTCTTTTCATGGCTCACAGAGAAATAATAAAAGAGAATCAATAAAAGAATACAGCTGTACGAATCCTCCAGGGGTCAGTGGATTTAAATAGGAGACTTTGAAAAGACACTTCATGAGGATGGTCTACCTGCTTTTAAAAAATGCTTTTATTCCGGGCTCATGTTAAAGACAGTTTGTCTTCTCCACCACAATGTAAAGGTGCATATCAACCAAGAACAAAAAGATCTGTCACAATTTTTCTGAGCCTTTTGTTTTTTTCTTGTAGAAACACTTTCTCATCAGCGCCTCTGATGGTCTGCAGCCTCTCAGTTGAACTCTGTGTTCATACAAAGAGATTGCAGGACAGGAGATTAGTTGTCAATCACCCCCAGAGACATCAAGTCAACAAAATACCCCTCGTGTTCACTTATATAATTCACACACAACTGAATGAATGGGAAGTTGAGCAAAGCGGTGTGAATTCAATGAATGTCAAGAGGCAAATAATTACAGATAAAAGAATTTTTCTTAACAGGAAAATCAATGATTCTCAGATTACTTTTTTATTTGACAATGACTGAAATTCTTCTAAAATGAACTTTAAAAAAGATCCACGTTTGAAAGGCTGAGAAAGTATTTGTCGATCAGAGTTGACTGAAAAAAACTGGGGCTTGAATCAGAGCAGAATGAAATGGATTTTAGATGGATTTGCATGATGACAATTTTTTCCCATTGGAATGTGTGTGTCTGTGTGTGTGTCTGTGTGTCTGATGTAAGGCACATGAAGGCATTACAATCATTTCTGAGCATGTATGTGTCGTCAAATGAACCACATCAGAGCCAGCAGCTCAGATGTGTGCTCTGCAGGCTATTTCGTTTTGATGTAAGTGCGAAAGCTCTCATGACACGGGGGAGCTGCTTGCTTTATATGGAGCACACTTCTCTCTTTGAGAAAATTGATGTGCATTTAGTGAACTAATACGCTGGAGGATTTTTAAAAGAGAATCTTTTTATTCCACGAGCTCTGTTGAAAAGACAACCAGAGACAGACACAGCATCTTAAGTTCAAGGATTCAAAAAGTGCAGTCAAAAATATGCTTTTAATCTTAATACCTGCTGTAACAGACACTTGTGCAGGGTCAGCGGAGGGCTGAGTTAATCACATTTTAGCATTAAAATGCCTGATGTGACCTCATATTCATCTGTACTTTTTCATTCTTTAGCAGAAGAGCGAAAATACATATTTTGATCACGTATCTGTCAGAAACCTATCTTGGTTTGGTGCTTTACATGGTACGGTTTGTTTACGCTGGACTTTATTATAAATGAGGAAACACCTGGAGACTTAAACAGTGCTGAGCGTGGTTTTAACTTATTCATCTACAGAGAGGGCAAAACAGGGCATATGATGTAAAACAGAGGATATTAAGCTTAAACATGCAGTCTAAAACACTCCACATGTGACAGCAGACAGCAGCAGCATGTGCCTTGTTGTGGATTAAAGCTCATTTCTGTCATAAATACTTTGTTTGATATTTACCGTATAAAGACATCAGCTTTATTATAATTTATACTGAATGCTGTCTGATGATTTAACATGAATATTGTGTTTTTTTCCTTCCAAATCAAAATGTCTTTGGCCTTGTATAAGTCACAGTAAATGGGCCTTAAACATTAGATGTTATGATATTGAATAATGCTGAACTGATGAAAAACTTAAGTTTAAGTCCTCTTTTTCTGTGCAGCTGCACTTCTAAAAGCTATTAGGGGGTCATAAAAACAGGATATGACATCATATTTAATGTGATTGACACTTGCATACAGTCTATGGGTATAAGAACATCTGGGGGTCACTCCGTTTGATGGGAGGTGGAGTCATGTTCTCTCATATATATGTGTATGAGCGTTTGTTTGTTTGTTTGTGTGTATATTTAAATGTTAATGTGAAACTATTTCATTATTTTTTATTACTGTTGGTTATCTGCCAAAAAGTTGTGATACATTTCCCTCAGAAATCTGACTGTAGCCCTGCGGACAGTGACCCTATGACATCTCCAATCTTTGAAATTTCTTGGTCTGTGACTGAAAAACTCTGTGACTTATTAGTACAGAAAGGAGGCCAGATGTCTGTTGTTTTAGGTTTTCCAAAGTTTTCTGATGCGTGCTCAGCATAAGACAGCAGAAAGATCCCTGGATATTAACAAGTAGATGAACTTTTTCAGACTACATGCTGCATATGAGAGTTAGATCCGCTTATAGAGAGCTCATGTTTTATTCATAATATGACTAATATTAGTTTTCAATGTTGATTTTTATACCCTACTCGATTTCATTACAATTGTAGCTGCGGTATTCATGAGATGGGGCTTGAAATTTGTTATCAGTAGGCAGTATGTGTGTGAATGGGGGATGAATTTTAAATCAGGAGCAGATATACTCGTGAAATATGATCTAAACATTGACATTATATCAATTTCTATTAAAGTATTTTGTCCAAAAGTGTTTTTTCAAAATAGAATCTGACTAGAGGGATGCAATCCTAAAATCTGGGTCATTGTATATTCACAGCTGTACAGTAATGTAATTTTAAAAATAATGATAAGTTTTTTGGTTTAATTAAAAACACATCAAGTTGAATGATAAAGCAGGCAGGAGAACAGGAACTAAGAGATTAATCAGCAACAGAGTGAGAAGGAAATCACTGAGCAACATAAGGCACTTTGTTGATCCCGTGTGCCTGTTTCTCCGTCACAGAGGAGTGAAACAAGTGGCTGCCAAAAAATAAGCATAGCACAGATTAAAAAGAACAAGGTTGTCCATTGAGAAATGAAGCTCCCGTCTCTCAGTGTCTATGCTGCTGTGACAAACTCTGAGAGTAGTGACTGTGTGCAGAGGGGCTGGATGGTCTGCCTTCACTGAGTCTGACAGCATGACTTTAACTCCCTTTGTAAGAGTTAAGAAAATTCTTTTTTCTGCCTGAGTCGCTCTCACAGTCCTGAGCCCGCTGACCTTAAAGAGTGTAAAAGTCCTCACTTGAAAAAAATAGAAAAAGTCCACGAAAAGGGGCTCCTGAAATTGTTATTGAATCAAATTGAGGTTACAGAGGGAGTCTCAATCCCTCAAAGAGAGCAGAATAATTAAATTGTATGAACAAGCAATCTGCTGCCTTCTCCTATAATTGTTTCTGTCTCTGGAGCAAAATGGGTTTTAGTGTTTCGTAGAGGCTGAAAAGAGGGAGAGAGGATTAGTGTTTACTGGGTGGCAGCTGGTGGCAGAGGTGAGAACAGACATGCCTACATTGTGCTCATGAAAACTAGGTGAACGAATGAGTTTGTATTGTGTGAAAAGTGTGTTTGTTTGTGTGTGTCTGTGTGTGTTGATGGAGTTTAAAGCTTTATGCATGCGTGCATGGTGACATGAAAGTGTATTATTTTTCTAATGGTCCAGTGAAGGAGTGTCTTCAATGGTCTTCAAAAATGAGGGTCGTAGAAGAAACAGAGGAGAAACAAACCTTCTCTTTTTACTTCTCAACTCAGTGAAAAAGAGTTTATGCTCGGCATGCTTTTAAACTTTTCTTCGGTGCAGCAGGATGTTCATTTTGTAAATACGGGACCATTACAAGCTTGTTGACGAGTTTATTTTGGATTTTTAAGTATACTGTGACTCATACACTCATCCCCTTTAATGACACACCTACAAAGTGAGAGGAAGGAAGTTAGATACAAAAGGTTGAAGGATGTTTCCATTATGAATTTTTGTGCCTCTTTTTGTTGACATTCTCTGAAAAAGAAAAAAAAAAGGTTTCCTGTTTGTGATGTCCTTGCACTCAGCTGTTTTAATGTGGGCTGATATTTTTTTCTGTAGGCTGATACTTTTTTCTGCCACTCTATGTTTTAATGGAAGAACTCTACAACCAGAGTTTTGCTGGGTGAAATAGGAAAATGGCTGTGGACAGGATTCAATTTATACCGGCCTGTGAACTCTTCACTTCTTTTTGAGGAGATAAGACTTTAACTTTGGTCAAAATTACATTGTTTGATAGGTTATAGTAATTTTTTAATTTTCTGTTGTTTTTATTTTTACTTCGCAATGACGCTTTGTTTTCAAATCCAGGTCAGTTTTGATTTAGTTTTATTGAATTTAGTTTTATTTCAATAAAATAATTCAAGTTTCTAACAATTTTTAGTTAGTTTTAGTGTTAGTTTCAGTTTTTGTAACATGGCATACTTATCAGGGGCAAGATCCCCCAACCCCACACCAAACATAAAACACTGTGTCAGTGCAGAGGTTAGGCCCCCCTGTCCAAAAGTTCTGCTCGTTAGCAGACACCTCACCTCATGTGAGTTATCTTTGCTACAAATGAATCCATGCTGAAAAGAGAGTTTTGCAGTTGAAATAATAGGGGACTAGGGGAGGAATTGGATCCAGATAGTCTCTATGAGTGCACTGATCTTCTCAGTGAGACAACAAAAAAAACTAATTAATCACCAAAAGAAATTAAAAAACAGGCTGGTCTTACAAATTGAGTGGAAACTCAATACATTGTACAGTTCTATTTTAACAGCTGATATTGATAACAAAGCTGTATTATGTTTATTTTGATATAAGACAAGTCTGTTCGTTAAGATTTATATTGGGGAAAGAAAAACAACTTATATTGCGGGTCAATAAAGTAAAAAAAAGGAGTTTTTTCATGTTTGAAATCAGTGGTTCTGTAAACATTTTACCTCTAAAAGAACTGTATCAAGTCTGCAATTTCCGACTCATCATCTTCAGATAGATCTATGAGCATTTCTAATATATGCTTTGGGGGTATTTTGATTAAGTACTGGCGTAGGATCTGGACTCAACTTCTGGCAGTGACCTTAATTTCTGTGATCCGACACCCCCTTATGCTCTGGTGAACCAGTAATTGCTGACTGACGTAAGACATTTCAGCGACACCATCTTCTTGAGCACTCTCCGAAATACACAGAGGGATTAACCTGGTGGTGATAAGCCTTGTTGGCATTGTGTGAACTCATTGGCAAGAGGTTATGTGTAAGAGACACTCATTGGTATGTTAGAGTCCAGCACTCAGGCTTGAGGCAACGCAGTTCCTGGAGAAGATTTAGGAAAGGAAATGTCAAGAATAGAAAAACAACTCTTTAAAAGCTTTGGCTTTTAAAGTGTCGGCAGTCTCAGTCCAGAAGGGTGATTTCGTCAAGTTCAAAAGGTGTCCTGATTCTTCCAGCCAGAAACATTTTATAAAATGATCTCAGCATCATCAAACGTCAGCGTCTCGGACTGACAAATATTTAACAAAAGACCAGTTTCTTGTATTCAAATGTCCATGTATATATCATTTCAATCAAGAAACACATTTTTACCTGTATTCATTATCAATATTACATCTTTCGCAAACCTAATGCAATTCTTTTTTAAAGTCTTAAAAGCTTCCTACCTCTTCCCAGTAAGTGACAACATAACAAAAAACAGGGATCAAATTATGATGTAGCGCCATACCAAATTTAAACCAGTGGTGCCATATTTAAAAGTAAAAAAAGAATAGCACTGTTGTTCTTTTTTAATCTGTTTTTCCCATGTACCAAATTTGATGTGAATCCTATAAATATTTTTAACAAATGACACAAACTTAGCAAACTTAAGCAAGAAACAAACTTTGACAACCCACCACTGCCATGCTGTCTGAGTTTTATCCATAGGCCGAAGAACAATTCTTCTGTGAGGACTTTAGTGGCTCTCCACCATATTTGAAGTGGACTAGATTCAGCCCTCAAGGGGGGCATAACCCAGGATGGATCCACAGCTAACTTGATGTACACTTCTTTTAAAATAGCAGCCCTTATGTCAGGTCCGAGGGGCCTTTAAGTAGGCCCAAGCAAGATACATGTACTCGCAAAATTTCATCATAACAGGTTGCAGCAGGAGCTTCAATTTTAAGCCACACCCACCAGCTCCATCAGTATCAAATGTCTGCTTACTGCACAGGTATTTATTAGCCCCTTAAAAGCTTCTTACTGTAGACATGTAGATTTGTAGGTTTTATCCCTTGCCCCCAGTCCATGGTACTTGACAGCACCAAAATACAAACATAAGTATGCTAAAGTTAACACTGATTTGGGGACTTGAATAATGTGTGTGAAAAGTAAAAACAAAGTATGACAGTACGATGTAACAGCAAGATGTACAAGGTGATCTGTCGCTGTAGATGTCCCATGGTAATATCATATTTTGCTTGTCCCAGCTGTAGACTAGACTATCACCCTGCCCCCTCTCACTCACACTCACTCGGTCATCTGGAAAACAAACACACAGACTCAAAAAGCTTTTATTGCTCCATCACCACACTGCACAGATGTGCTATACCCTATTTTTGTTAGTTTTATCTTTTCACCATGGGTTTTGTTTTCTACTGGTTTTATCTTCATGTTATACAATCATAAACAACCCTTTTACTTTTCTAAATCTTTGCATTAAGTCTTCAACTTCATATCTACATTATATGTGTGTGTGTTGAAATGCTGGCGTAAATTAAATTACCACCTTCAATGAAATTAAAACAATACCAATATTAAGTTGTAACATTGGCTTGATGTGGCTACCTGGCCCCAGAAATTAAGTTCTTGTTGGAAACCCCTTTGTTAAATCTTCCCTTGGTGGGTTGTTTGATTTACTTTATGACAAAAGCATGTGTGTGGGGGAAGGGTGTAGTGTGCTTATTTTTAAGGTTGTCTTTGCATTGGTGAAGCAAAAAAAGTTTATTTCTATATCCAGTAAACGCACTACATCATCATCATCATTCATTTGACTTTGTCCTATTTTGACCGCTATGTACAGTATTATCCTGTATTCACACTCTTTTAAGTTTAGTTCCGTCTCCACAATTTGGCCAGCTGCTGGATGCTACCTTACGCCCCAGAGTTTTCCTCTTCGTGTTGATGATTTGAAGCTTTTCAATCTGGGACATAACTTCAAAGATTATAGTCCAGTCCTGCTGAAAAGACTCATCATTGCAGCCCATTACTCTGGCATTATAAATTCTCTTTCAACTACCGAAGCATTAAAGTTTTGATAGCTGCCACACAGAAATTAGTGAATACCTGAAGGGTAACCTTGCAGCTAAGTGAGTTTTTCACCAGTTTTCATTGCTAAACTGTGAAATTCAATCAAACCAAGGATCAAGGGCCTGAGTCCAAATTCACACAGTGTGATCATACAATGAGGGCTTGAATGGGTAACAGCGGGTAAACTTGGAGCTTGAAACAACTTTAATTTTCATTAATCCCACATGTACTCCAGGAGGAACAAATGTATGCCTTAAAACACTAAGAAAACATCTTAAAATAACTTTCTTCTTAAAATAACATTTCTTACCTTTGCCTGAAGTTAGAAGCTTGATGCTACATTAACAGCTGCTGGCAGAGTCCCAAAATTTGTTACATAATTTTCATTATTCGTTGCACACTAAAACCTTCCCCTAATGCATATGTTTTAGTACCCCATGGGTTAACCAGGAGACAACCCACTAGTCATGAGCTGAAAGAAGGCATGTGGCCTCCTATCGTTGCAGAAGCAGACACACTTCAGTCAAGTATCCCATTTTTTGCCATGTGCTTGTAAACTAAGGACACGGGCAGCAGTTAGAATAATCATCCAGTTGAGCTGGAGCCGTACTGTGACTTAATTGTGCATGTTAACTCACTGAATGAGAGTGAGGTCTTTGCACGCTGTTTTTTGCCATGATGTGGATAATTTATGCAAAAAGTTCAACCAGATGTTACATATAGCAGGTTTGTGAAAAAGCTTTGAATAGAGATGGGGAAACACAACAAAGTAAAATGAACTTTAGCCGGTAAGTTTGGATTGAATACTCCTCATAGTCGTTAATCAAACACTTAACTATAGCAATGCATCTAAAAATACTAATGCTTTTGTATTGAGTTATGCAGCATACCACACCTATCTTTGACATTCAAATAAAAGTAGTCCACTAAAAAAAAAAAAGGAATTAAATGAGTTCATGTATTTTGTTAGAAAGCCCCATAATAGATGCATCCTTCATAAGCAGTCACAGTCCCCACTTGTTAAAACTCTTATTACTTTATTTTGACTTTTTTCTTGACAGCCTCACAAGATCACATGACTACATAGAGTATTTAGGAAAATATTTAGACCAAGTAAGAGAAATAACTTATTTATCACAACCTTGAATATACTGGAGCTGATGTGCACTCTTTCCTGATTGTTCCTTTCCATTCATTTATTGCTGCTGTGAATAGGTACAATTATAAATTGCATTGATAAAAAGGCCAAAACTGTCATTATGTTGTCTGGCCTTAAGACATTTTCAGGAGTGCGTGCATGAAAAGGGCGTCTGTAAAAAGCCTGACATTATTATGCAGACAATGCTCTGATAACAATAATTAACCTCCTGTCATAACTATCTGCATTATATATTACCGCTGTTTACACTCACACTTATAAAGGCATTTAAAAATCCAGCAGTATAACAAAGATCTCAAGAGCATACAGGTAAAAATGGAAAATACAGAACATCATGCAAGCAAGGCTGGACAGATCGATTTTCCTCTTTATAACAAATCAGATGCAGGGTCCAACCCAGGCAGATAATAAACCTGCGTGACAAAAGGAACAGAGGCCCTGGAAGGCTTTATAAGCCCATTAGCTACCTTATTATGGCTTACTGTGGCTTTTAACCTTCATTTTTAACACTGTAAAAGGAATATTAGAGATGGAATTTCAAGCCTACTTTCTTTAACATCTACAATAACAAACAAATATGATGTTAGCTATAATTTGTAAGCAGTACCATTTAGACTAACTCACTTAAAATGACAAAACATGAACATCGATTAAAATCTATCTCTTATTCTTCATATTGCTGTTTGCGGAGGCATGAGTAACCATGAAGCAACAAAGACTATGTTTGTGTCCATGGTGGGGGTTTTTCAGCACCGGAGGGCAACCTGGGTTGTTGCCCAGAAATTGTCAAAAAAAAAAGTTTTAAAAGGCATGAAAGCAGAAAAAAACTCAAACTCAACATGACTTTTTCAGTAACAACAGCACTAAAGCTAAAAGCAGTTTGAGACTTAACTTTAATGCACAAAGTAAGAAGACAAAGTGCTCTGTTTGACTAATAGCTTTCCAGCTGCTCAAACCTTTTTTTTTTTTTTTTTTTTTGGTAGCAAGGCCTGTTTTTTATGATTTAAAAAAAAAGTCAGCTGTATATTGAAGGCAGCCTTACAATGTTTTTTCTTATTTTTTTTTTTACTTTTTGTTTCTATCAAGACTTTGCTGAAAGCCAGGGCTACAAGAGTCTCTTTTTAATTGGAGGTTCGCTTTCCTTCTAACAAATAACCAGCACCAGAGGGCAAGGTTTGAGAAATGCATCTTATTATTTCTGCAAAAGTGTATTTTTGTATCCATAAAAGCTCAGCCCTTCAGTCTTTCATAAGTAGTGACTTGTTATAGAAAGGTTTGATATTTTGCTCTACAATAAAAGTAATGAAGAAGAGATGCCCACATAATATAATAATATAAAGTACCACATAACATATGACGAGATGAGATACGAAAAGATATAATTCAGTATGACACAATATAATGTAATTCAATTCAATTTGATAAGAAAATATTAGACAAGATATCCTTTAATTTGATAAGATATGATACAACAAAATTTAATACAAAACAACTCAGTGCCAGAAACTATCATGATATGACACAGGAAAGGATAGGATAGGATAGGATAGGAAACAACATGGCAGGAAAGGATTCAATAGTACAAAATACAACATTATATAAATGAAAATATGATAGAAAAGGATATGGTATGACAAAAAAAAAAAAAAGATACAAAACAATATGACACACTACGATCTGGTTTAATGGCATGGGCTGAGCCCTCAAATACAAAAGCCATTCTTGGAGGCCAACCTTTATCTTGATTGTTTATTTTACATGGTTGGAGGGGGAGCTTATGTTGAAATCAACAGTTTGGCGATGAATCAACTTTCTGCTTAGACCTGCCTTCAAATAAAGCACACTGCATTTTGTGGGTACTGAGCACAAGTCTCCTTTTCAGCCCTTAAAATTTTGGTGTAGAACTTTACATCCCATGTTGCTGCTGTCTATAACATCTTTTATGCACTTTAACTTAAGCAGTTATCACAGATATAATCAGTAAACATAGAAGAATAAATGCCATTTACTTAAACATTTAAGTTCAGAGTCACCTCCATCTAAACTTTGTATGAATTTGTAAATAGTTTCCAAAAGTACAATCACATCTTGAGCAAGTGGAGCACTATCTAAACTACCCAAGAGACAAAACCAGACAATTTGGTGCCTATTCTTTTGTAAAGGTTATACAAAGCAATATATTGACAACCTTGCAGCAATTAGCATGTTAGACTGGATGTTGTTTGGGGTTGCTAACAGTTTGTTTTTCTGTGCCATCTGTAGGAGGTCAAGTATTTCCAGTTTCCTGGAGAGCTGCTAATGAGGATGTTGAAAATGCTCATTTTGCCCCTCGTCGTGTCCAGGTAAGATAAGCACAGAGCCACACACACACACACACACACACACACACACACACAAATAAACACAGAGAAACTGTATAAACTTGTTCATCAAACGCCTGACTCGAGATGCATTATCATTTAAGCTGGTGATTTGTTGCTGAGGAATTTGCTAAGCGAAAAGGTCAGGCTCACCCCATGAAGTATAAAAGGAGCAATCAAAAACACATTGAATAATTATGTTAGCTTAAATCAAAATTACTGTATCTTGTTGCATTGCATTGACTTGTGTTTGTTTTATGCCAAATATTGACAAGAGGAATTTAACATTTTTGTCCTGGAAGAAATACTGTAGTTTCACTCACTGGAGGGTATAATTGACACAGTTGCTTCTTACCTCCTTCCTACACACTTTAAAAAGGAGGTTTGCTGCAGACAGCAGCTTGTTGCCTTGGGCAGTGGTTGAAAATACGGCACCTGAGAAAATCCATTCTGTTCAATTAGGTTGTTTCAAATCCTTTTCTGGAAATACAGAAATTAAAATGTGCCAGCCCTCCAGCTATCTGAGTATTTGTCTGAGAAAGTTGAAAATGTGTTGAATTTGTGATGTTGAATTTACTTGGTGGTGGCTTTACATAATTTATTATTAACACTGGTGCTTATTTCTGACGGAGGTTCATAGACAGAGTGGGGTAACATGCTGTTCCTTTGAATGAGATTTTGTGAAAACATTTTTTCTTGTGTTTACATTTAACGCCTAACCCAATCAGCTGTCTACATTAACATTGATGTCTGTGTGTTTGTCATTAGCACTGATAAAAAGAAAAGGACCTGCACCTGACAAATACAAGGTTAACTTGCACCCTGGCAAGTTAAACCTGTTTACACCTAACTTTATCATTAGATCTGGGTCATGGGATCACAAGTAACAGGTGTGAACTCCCACCAATATGTGGTAAGGCCCGACAGATCAGTCTGGAAGGTTTTTGGTCTGGCAATGGACATGCTCATGTGTAAAACACTGCCTTGTATCTATGGCAACAATCACATGGTGTAAAAAACAACCAACTTGAATGAAAATCCCCTCTTTTACTTCCGTCATGTCATTGAAACACATGGAGATTTAGTTAATGCACTATGGCCTACTTGTGCACAGGAGCACAGGATGTACCACATCTGTATTTATTCACTAAAATAGTCTCCATTTGATTTAATAATACAAGGCCAACTGTGCAGGTCGTACTGTGACCCACACGCAAAGTTTAAAATGGCACAGCAGGAAGGAAATGTAATGCAGATCAATCAGTCGTGCTCCATCTCTGACTCTCACAGTGCATCACACCATGCATTTCCTCACATAGCCCAATCTAATATATGAACTAACTATTCTCAGAAGGAGCAACCCATGAGTTTCTCTCTCACATTTTTCCCCCGTATATGACTAATTTTATATTTTCTGTTCCGTATGAATGTAGGCCCATTGTTGATGATTTCTCAGCTATTCCAACATGTGAAGGCGTATAGACAAACTGAAGTGTTTCAGCAAACTTGGTGAAAGTTTGGTGCACACATTTGATAAATGATCAAACATCCTGACCCTCCTTAGTTGGTAACAGAGATATTAGTGGGTCAGAATAATTGCTAAAACATTGTGTCGAAAAGCTGTAGTCCAGCCACCCTGCTGGAGCTACTACCATAATACTATAACGCTTGATGTAAACAAACACATATGATCTTGTGTGTAGCTATGTGAGATGACTCGTGCTCAACTTTGACTGTTTTCAGAGTGTTTTCTTTGAATTTTTCCATTAGTCAAAATATAACCAGGATAAAGGAAATCGAATAAGACAGAAAACATAAAGGCACCTAGTCCTTTGAGTAACAGGCACCCCTGTGTTCATACTGAATACACAGTCCAGAATTTATAATATTTAGCCTTTATATTTGTCTTCACATTAAAGCAAAACGCAATCAATATACTACAGGTTATGGCAAAATAAGCACAAAAAATATAAAAACAAGAACAACAATGCTAAAAAGTCTGTTATCAATAGGATTCAAACAGAGTATTAACAAGATACAAATAAGTCAAAGTTTAACAAAACAGATTAAACGAGACAATGGGATTAGCAATGCACAGCACTGCAGAGAAGGATTATAATGGGCACTGCCAAACTGAAATTCACAACAGGCACTGGAAAACAGAAAAGAGCAAAGCTGTAGTTTAATGGAGGTGAGAGGTGGGGTTGAGCTTAAGTCATTTCCAGGTATACCCTGAGTGTATGAGTGTGGAGTATGGATAACTCCAACAGTGTCATGTGTTTGGATTTAAAATCACATTTCCTTATTGAGAGTCTTTTTGTTTATGCACGGTTAATATGATCTGCTTCATTTGCAGCTTCACACAGCTGCATCGTAATCAATGCAGATGAGATGCAAAATCTTGATGAGAGTTTTGCTGCACTTCAAAGACCCTCTACCACATCAAGAATCAAAGAGGGATACTTTTCATAAACATAAACCTGTTGTCCCTTTATAGCTTTTGCATGCAGCTTCAGTAGCACACATCCTGCCAAATTCTCCAGTTCGACTATTTTAGACCCAAAGCTCTTGGTTGCCCGCCTGGGGTCAGCGATGTCCAACACACTGAAAAAAACTCCCAAAACAAATCATGCAAACGCACCAGTTACATGCAGGCTGCTTTGTGCAATAAGCTACTTACAATCTATGCAACAGCAAAGACTGGATGAGAAGTTAATCCTCACTCAGTCTCTTTCTGTCTGTTTGGCTGTCTCTACCTCTCCCTGCTTCCCTGTCTGTCCCTCTTGTTTATTTCTCTTTCTCACTGTTTGCAAATATTTTAATTAACATACAGCGAAGGCCATTTGGAGATCCTCTCAGATCTTGTAACATATTCAGATTGATGTCCCTACTGTTGTAGATTCAGAGCAGGAGATCACCACAGCACAGGTTTCCATGCCAAATGTGTTGCACGTGAGGTGAAGAGACGTTAATTACAACTAATCTGAGACAGTGCAGGCAGGCAGGAGTCCAAACCCAGCAGAGCAGCACACACACCATCTCGCCACACAGGAATGAAGAAGCAATCTGGGCTAACATGTAACACTTTAAGCATGGGCTCAGGGTGCTGGAGCTCCTGTTGAGTGTGCAACACAGACAGTGCATCTGGTGCCTGCCTGCGACTGGATGGAGGCAATAATGGATAATGAAAGTGGAAGGCATACTTCACAGCTTCTCCGTTCCATCTAATAAAGCCCACAGCTCCAGCCCTGCCTGAGATCATTTGTGGCACATCTGCATATCTTCAAAGTCCCCACAGAGACAAACATGGTCTTTATTGCTTCATGTTTGCCCATGCCTCTGGAAACAGCAGAGTGTATCTAGATCGGGATGCACAGACGGGCTGGTTGATATGGCGCATGGTACAGCAGGGCTTATCAAGGGTTGAATATCTGCAGCAGCCCTATGGCCTGTCTGTCCCCATTTTTTTTCCTCTCCAAGCACCATCTGCGCACCAACCAAAGCGGAAACCAGATTATCCCACAAACGCGTCATGAAGAATCAATGGCCACTACACTTGCTGCCTCCTTCTGTTCCATGTGACGCTTATTTTGGGGTTTCTAATTACACTGCTGCAATAAATAGAAGTTGATTGAAAATAAAACATTGATTTGCACTTCTATCTGTGGTCTCTGGACCAGCTTTAATGGCATTTTATGAAGCACTCACATGAGATGCTTTATCAATGTTTGATTCAGATGTTAAGGTCAAAAGTGAAGAATGGTTTATTGATATAAAGCATCCATACAAACATATGACTGATGATCATCCACACTGTTTTCACACTGCTTGTGTGAAAACTTACCCTGAGGTGTAATTCTCACTGGAGGTCTGATAGTACTGTATGGTGTGAATGCTTATTTCCAGAATTGTCAGTTTTCGCAGTACACTTGTCTGGTTTCATCTCTTAGAGCTTCTCTGTTATAAGTGCAGAAGGAATAACTGTAATGGAAGATGTTGCATGGCACCCTCAAAAAATGAATGAAATCATTTGTAAATGTTAAACATTTATGTTTAAATCCAACCCAATCCAATCCACTCAATTTATATATAAATATTAATTACATATATTTTATACTTTAAGAAACATTCAAGTTTACCAAAGTGATGCACAATAAAAATTTAAAGAACAAACACGGCAGAAAACATCAAGATGAAATAAATAAAATAAAAACACGAAAGAATAAAAGAAATAAAAGTGATAAAAGGACCATAAAAGACATAAAAGGACAGAGATAAATATACAAGACAGGTCCTTTTGGCTCCTTTGGCTTCGACTCTCAGTCATGATTTAGATCTTATTTTAGATTTCACATTGACATGTATGTGAAAGACCTTATCTATGCTTTTAGATCAGTCTCGCAGCTTTTTAATTTGCACGATATTAGAGGAGCAAGGTGATCTGTCAAATGATTAGGCCAGAGCTTCAAATAATACCAATACTGACTAAAAGAAGAGGATGGAGATGAAATGAACCAGTGCAATTTTCTTGGGAGAGCATTAATGTGCCGGTGAATAGAGAGTGAAGGAGACTGATAATGGACTTGCTGCAAATTGAGTTCCCTCTAGTCTTTTTACTCTAAGTCAGGATGTCTTCAATAAGTCTCTGCACCTGTCATGTGCCCATTTAGTCACTTTGTGATGATAAAATGAAAGGCTGTGGAAATGCAGTCAAATCAGGTTACTGCTGTCCGGTTAATTTAGCAGGTTGTACTGCAATGTTAAGTTCTCCTGCTATGGTTTCACTCAGAAATAAAAGATAAAGTAATTCATGTTCACTGGATAAACTTATGGTTTTTTCGGTCTCATTTTTGGAAATTGTGTAGTTAAAAGGTTTTTCACTTTAGTTCATTCCTGCATCTGATCCTAAAAGCATAAAATAACAGCAAAACTTTGCAGTCAATTTAATCCATCAAATTAGGATACAAGTGGCATGTCTATTCGGTTTTGAGGTGAAGTTTGGCAGCCTATGTAATGACACTATAGTTCTGAAGCATTTTACATGTGTTTCTGCTCTCACTGTCCAATCTTCTCTGGATAAATGCACAAATGTCTGAAAGTATGCTAAACACATTTTCAAAATCCCAGTCAGGAACTAACCCAGTTCTGTAAAAGGCAATAAAAGCCCAAAACTACAACTTAAAGCTCCTGTGTGAGGAGTTTTTTTTTTTTTTATGATATCGACTGAAATTCATGTTGGTGCCTTTTCATGTTCTACAAAAGCAAACAAGACTGTCAGCAATAAGACTGGGGGTTTAAATTGTTATTTGTAATTCCTGCTGTGAAAAAGATATATGGTCAGAAATAACCAGTACGAGAGTTTTTTTTTTGTTTTTTTTTTTTCAAAAATTAAGGGGGGGCATCAAAATGAACAAACTGAAAGTTCCTCACAGGGGCTTTGAAAGAAAAGAAATAACCTAAATAAAAACCTGTGGCAGATTGAATTCAGGCAAAAGCAAATTACACTAAATAGTAAAACTGACATCTTTCAACCAGGACGGGCTCTGACTCAAAATTGATCAAAAATTCAGATTTTCCATTAAACCGTAATGTGACACTGCTGTATGAAGTACTTGATTCACCATTAGATAACCTTGTCTGTATTGAGAGTATGCAACAGTGCTGTAACTCATGTCAAAGGTAACACGTTACAAGCTACAAAATAACACATCTCTAACTTTCATTCGTCTGAAACAACATTTGGACAGCATACAATGATTTTGTGCCATTATCACACCTCTCTGACATTCACACTGAAGGGTTAGTGTTATATCTCTACTGAAGCTGAAAAAGTGAAAAGGGCTTTAGCAACTTCTTTTAGCTTGTCACTGACAGCAGGCCATTGTTCTGAAGAACAGACTGTTACAGGGATACGGCTCCAGTCACAGACTCATGCAGACTTGATGCTGTGTGCTGATGTTTTGGTCATTGTTTAGTTTACAGTGGAAAATCAGAACAAGAGTTAAGAATAGCAGAGCGTGTCGGACGGTACAACAGAAACCTTTAAAGCTGCAGAGGCAGCATGAAGCAGCTTCAATATCCAACGTAACACAGTATGTGATATGATCTTAAGACTACTAAACAGAAAAGAAATTGCAGACAAGGCAGAAAAACTCAAACTCGTGCAATGCTTATTAATGCTGTCCTGTTGTCCTTGTTTGAGTGATAGAAACCAATGTAGCTCATTTTTATAAGCCTACAAAGATTACCACAGGAGGCTCAAACTGTAAGTGAAACAAAGCCACATATTTCCCTCATAAAAAAAAAACACATGTAACTTCCCATTTTTTCTTTACATGTCTGCCATCTGTTTGCTTAAAATTTAAAAAGTTCCCTGCTGACTACAACTTATAGTTTAATAAGTATCATTCATGTTTTTAAACAATGTCATTTAGTCTGTGTAAATGACATTTCACAGGAGAAAATTGTAACTCAAACTTACAGGACAACCATAAACAAGCTAGCAGCAGCTCTGCTCAATATTTTTTGTTGGAGTGTTGAAGAAACTCTGAGTTTTTCCTGAAAGTGCTATATTCAGCATATTGACCTTTTATTCCATTATGGAAAGGAGACTAGTCAGCCAGCTTGTTTTTATAACCTGATTTTTTTTTTTAAGAGGATGATGTTTCAGCTGCTGGAAAATAACTCCTGAAGTAAAGATGACCATAGAGCTGCTCAGGGTGTTGTTATAACCCAAGACCCTGTTATGCCATTCCCTGTAAGTGGTTTTTACACTTGTACAGCTTGATCAAACAAATTTGAGATTCTCGATAGGCATACTGCATGTATTGTCAGGGTCTTTTTATCTACACCATTAAGCCATCACTACATTACCAAAGGGCTAAAATCCAAAACAGAAGTCATTAAACTTTCTCTGTCAGATGGCAAACAGCTTCAATAAGAGGTATGAATGTTAATGTTTGCTAATAAGCTGGTTTTATTTTCTGCTCCAGTAACTAATTATTAAAGAAAATTGTGTACAAAATGCCAGTGGGAGTAAACATTGTTACCCAAGGGAGATGGAGAAAAGCTCTCAGCTCATTGCAAACATTGTGTGTTTTTCATGAATGCCTTTCAAAGCATACTTACCACAAAAATATATATTTATATCTCTATCTCTATATCCATAAGCTCAGCACTCTTTGTCCAATTAGTGTAACCATACAAACATGAAGTGTGTTGTGTTTCACTCCTGGATCCATGGTTTTCTTGTTTTCCTGCCCCTTCTGGGACACAGAAACCCGACGCAACCCTGTCTGCCGCATGTTATTGGTCAGCTCAGCAGGTCAGGCAGCAGAGTTAGATGAACAAGAGGTTTATGGTGAATTGGTTTTCTTAATCTCAGCATACACAGAAAGACGGATAAACACTGGGCAGTGCACAGCAGGACAGTGGGGATTTCCTGCCAATGGCCATTAAAATACAGTAACCCAAACCAAGAGCCTAAAGCTCCACAACAAAATCATCAAATCACAAGATCAGTCACTTGATCATGTCTTTTATCAATTGTTTGTTTAGCTCTGGGTTCCTTCATGTTCCCCCATGTCCAACAATGCTGGATCAATACATTATTGACAAAATGCGTGGCACTGCACTGACCTTCATCACCCTGTAATTAAGGAAGAGGCACTGAGTGGACCTCACTAGTAACTGACAGCATCCTGATTTCTCACATGAATAACCAAGGCCTTTTTTTAACTAATGAAACAAAAAGATTTGCTCGGTTAGGTTCTGAGGTTATATTGATTTTAAACACATCTTAAAACTTCATGAAATTGATCTGAAAAAGCACTGAAGACTAAGTTCTAAGAAATTAAAAAGGCTTGACGTTCAAGTCAATATGTTTCATTATGTACATCAAAGCGGGTCTGGTTTTGGTGCTGTTTCAAACGAAGATCGTTCAGAAGCTACTGGAATAATATCTATGAAATTTAAAGATTAAAAAAAAATTCTTAATTTACTCATGTACAGGCAACCCAGTGAGAGTCGTGCATTTCACTGAATCAACATCTATAGACACTGATAAGAGAGTGTTTATATTGATGTATTTTGGCTCTCTGAGAAATGGTTGAATATAAGTCTTGGATGTTCAGATCTGAGTACACTCTGGCTGTTGTTCATTGGTGATGGATATAAATTTGACTCATGAACAAGCAACCCATTTGGTATCTGACGCACAAATAAGTTAAAACATTTTTAATGAGCATTGTGACAAGGATTTGGGGCCAAATTTAAGATAAAGATTACAATAATACAGTCAGGGTGTTGTTAGAATAAAGTTAAATTATATACTCTGAAGGCTGAAGCTGCTCAGGATGCCTTTGGCCTTTCCGTCTTATTATAAAGTCTTTTCAGAGACCTGATCCTTAAGACTTTTGACATTTTTGTTTTAATGATACTTTAAATCTGCAACAACTTTATTCACTAACAATTTCTGCCATATATTGTAACAAATTTTACTTAGACTCCTTTTTTAAATCTGTTTTTAACTTCAACTGAGCCCCAGCACTCTGTAGAAAAATTTGTTGGTTTCATAATCTACTTTTTACAAGCTACTCATGTTTGACCTCCACAAAATATGTCATAACCTGTCTCAAAACGGTTAGTCATTAATCCCCGGTAAGGTTACAGTAAAACTACTGTGTCGTAACTTGATTTTTTTTTTCCATGAAATAACTCATCCAATTTTGCTCCTAACAGCGTCACAAACTAGCTTTTTATAACAAATCAGACCCTGAAGTCAGCAACCAATCAGTATCCACTTCATGAAACGCAAGTGAATTTATTTTCAAATCTTAAGTAAATTAAAATATTGAATGATAATCTTTTATGTGCTGATCAGTTTTTCTTTCACGAATATGCTTTTGATCCCAGGTATTTGGCATTTATATTCAAACCAGACAAGGTTGCAGTCTCAGAAGGGATTATGTATTTTTTGTACCTCGTTGGTGAGATTAAAAAAGCTGGTCCATGATCCAGGCAAAGATGTACCTTTTGAAATTCATAGCCAACAAACCCAGGAACAGGAAATTAATAATGCAGTGAACTCGAGCACAAGCTGTCAGAAGTCTGTCCAACAGACTGGTGAACCTGACTGTGGGAACAGTAATCATAGCATGTTTGAATCAGAGACGAGCTGTGAAAACTGTATCCATCTCATGAACAGGCAAATAAAACTGTTCAGAATCCGAGCAACCACTCACCGCCCATCACACAAACAAGCAAATAAAAGTCAATGTAATTTAAAGGCAGGCACATTTAACTCAATTATAAGTAAGTCAGTACAAATCTATTTCATGAAGAAGCAATTAGTACTGTTAAATATGAACAAACGAAAACCAACATACTCAAATTAGAAATAAGTAAATATCAGAGACTCTCTGACTGGTCAATTCAAGTGTATAAATATAAACACTTTAATACTAAAATAAATCTTTTTTGTTACAAGTAGATAACAAATGCAACAATGAAAAGGTGATGGAATTAAAAGACACTTGCATGTGACAAAAAAAAAAGACCCCTCACTTTGGTACACTCTTGGCTACATGGCTAGTTTAACCACTCTTGGAGGCAGGAACTTGACCATATCTTGATGTCCACCAGAAAATGCCTCCTGAACGAGTTGTGAGGATTTTTGTACTTAAAATAAAATTGTGCTTTTGCTCTGTAGTCAACAAAGCCCAGCTTTCACAGACACTCCACTCAGGCAGTATCAATTGTTCCATAAATATGGTCTTTACCTTGTTTTTCTTACTCTCCATTGTCAATAATGAAGTGCTAAAAATCAAATAGTTTTATCGAATGTTCTCTGCAGACCTGAAGCTTTTCCATTGTCGTGATGTTGTGATGGTGTTTACAGTGTTTTTTCTCTGGCATGTGTTTTCTGTGTCTGTGTTTTCAGACTTGATCATTTGCTGTTACTGCAGCTGCTTTGAGTTTTTGAATTGAATTGTTATTTCATGTTTCTATACTTGCATTTGTTATGTACTTTTGCATGCATTTAAAAGCTGTTTTTGAATCTGCTGCATGTTTCTCCAATTGCTGTTGCTGTAGTTGTTATAAATCAAGAGAATCAAAAGTTTTGTGTTTAAAACTCTCTTTTTCACCTTCTGTCTGCTAAGTAATAAGGCTGCTGTTAGAGCATGAAATCATGCAAACGAGACCCAGGACGACTGCATATCAGAGAAAGGCCACTGAGTCACCACCTCATGGCCCCCATAGATAACTCCTCCCCAAGGAGCCTCAGCCTTATTTTTTTTCATCTGGACCAAGGATTACTGTAATGCTCTTGCTCAGCGAAGGTGCAGCAGGGAAGACTGTAAGCCCCATATGGTCCAAAAATCTTGGAGCAGATCTGCTGTACGTGTGCTTGAAACCTCTCAATCGAGGCTGCTTCACATGGCAGGCGATGTGCTGTAATCCCACCTTGACTTGGATATCTCAGGGGTGGACTGTGGTTCTAGGAAAGACTCTCTGTGGCTTGTGTCAAGGGGGTTGTTATTCATTTTCCTCTTGATGAAAAGGGGAGAAGTGGCAGAGAAGATGAGGTGGACAAGTATTTGTTGCAGAGATTTTAAATTGAGAACCATTACAAAAAAAAAAAAAAACAGAAACATCAAGGGCATATTTTAATTTGGCACAATGAAAAGTTGAAAGTCTGAAGGACTGAAACTAACAAAGGGACTTGTCTTTAGACACATGCTTCTTTTTTAATTATTTTAGAAGACAAGAACTGTAAACAAGATTTATAAAAAGACGTAGTTTTGTTTTTCATGTGTCTCATTTTTCCTGTCTAGTCAAGCATCATGTGTCTGTGTGTACTGTATGTGAAAGATGGTGGCTCATAGTGAAGAGTCTGATGTTATAAAAGAGCCTCACTCATAATGGAGTGATCTTGGTTAAATGGTCAAGCTCATTGTCTGGTCAGTGACAAATTAAAAATTGAATCCTGACAATTACAGACTCAGAACACTGAACTGCTCCTTGAAGACACAGCCATCAATAAATGAACATCTGCGAAGGATTTAGATGAGAATAGATTGAGTGGTTTCAAGTACTTTGAGTGGTTTGAATGCTCCACAAGTGCTGTCCATTTGCTGTTTTGATTTATTCCCACCACTCTGACAGCATTATTTCTAGAAACAACATAAGTGAATCTCTGTGAGGGAATTTTAAAACACTGACATACACGCTTTCTTCCCAGCCAAATGACAGAAGGACAGAGTTACAGTGTTACATGTGCCATTTTTCAGTGGCTGAAAGTCAAGCCAAAGAACGCTACAGAGGACCAAAGCTTACGTACATTCAGTTAGTGCTTAAACAGTCAGACTGACTACCTGAAACTGCTCCTTTAGCTGTTCCTGTTTTAAAAATAAACACAGCTTTCACTTTATTATTGAACATAATTTGATTGAAAAAGAGCAGAAAAAATACATTTCTATGTAAAGGTGCAAATGAAGCACAGCATATATATATATATATATATATATATATATATATATATATATATATATATATGTGTGTATATAAACTCTGTCTCTCGCCCACCCTGGGTGGTACTGTGTCTCTTTTAGCTTGGTTCCTCTAACAGAGGCCTGGGAGCTTAAGGGTCCTATGCAGTATCTTGGCTGTTCCTACCACCATGGCTTTCCTCTGCTCTTTGTCTATGATTTCAATGTCTTGGCTCGGTCATTCTCCATTACCTTGGGAGGTACTTTCCATTTTGACCTCGGGGTCTCCAGTCTATATTCTGTACAGATGTTCCTGTACACTATACCGGCTTCTAGGTTATGGCATTCCATGTATGCTTTTCCTGCCAGCATCTTACATCCTGCTGTAAGGTGTTTACAAATATATACAGTATATATGTGTACATATAAAGATGCAGCCAGTGGAAGTTTGGAGTTGGAGATAAATCAGCTGTTAGCTGTGAGTCTTCACTGCAGCTTTTACACTCATACTGTTGTAACATGCAATAATCCCAGGTGCTGTTGCAGTCCTCAGCAAAAATATAGTTTTTTTAGTTACTGCAATGTCTCTACTAGTACTAATGATACTCTGTTTTTGTACATGAAGGTTTTCACGTTGACTGCCACATGTCAAAAAAAAAGGATGGATGAAGATGTTGCTGACTGCTATAGAGCAAGTTGAAGCAACCTTCTGAGCGATGTTTTTTCAATTTTAAAAAAGGATGGAAAAACTATCATGAATCCAATAACAATGTTAGAGCTTGTGCATCTTCTGGTTATTAATAAATGAAACATTCCGTACACCTAAGCATTCATTGAACTTGCAAACAACACAGAAAGAGAAATTGCAAAACGCTTAAAGGTGTCTAACAAAGGAGTCCACTACACTCTGAAGAGACTAGAGGAACCTGGAAGTTATGATGATAGAAAAACACCTGGATGAAAGAGAGTTACTACAAAAGCAGAGGATAAACATATCATTGTCATCAGTAAGAGAGATCAGTGAAATACAGCACCACGAATAAGAGAGGAAATCGACATGACAAGGTCGAAACCCATATCTCTGACAACGGTGAAAAGATGTTTGAGAAAAGCTGGTCTGAAGGGTTGTGTATCTGCAAAAAAAACACTACTTCATCCACAGAACAAGAAAAAGAGATATGAGTGGGCAAAAGCTCACAAAAATTGGACTTATGATGACAGAAACAAGTTTGAACTGTTTGGTTCATAACGCAGAGTCTATGTCCGCAGACAAACTGGTGAATGTCTGAAAGCACCATGTGTTTCACCCACAATTCAGCATGGAGGTGGTAGTTCCATGGTATGGGGATGTTTTTGCAGGTGATGGAGTAGGAGATTTGTTTGAAGTTAAGGGTATCACTCCATCCTCCAACACCATGCTGTTCCACAGACACAGACTTGTGGCTCATAAGTTTGTTTTGCAGCGAGACAATGACCCTAAGCACTCTGCCAAGCTCTGTCAGACAAAAAAGAAGAGGAAGGTGTTCTTCAAAAGATGGTTTGGCCCCCTCACTCTCCCTAGACCTTTCTCCAATTGAGCTTGTGCGGGTTATATTGGATCAATCGGTCAGAAAAACGCGTCCCACAAATCAGCAATCTCTTTTTAATGAACTTAAGAAAGCTTGGAATGCAATCCCTGAAACATACCTTAAAAAACTTGTGGAATGAATACCTGGTATATGCCAAGCTGTTGTTAAAGCCAGAGGAGGTTACTTTAAAGAAAGAAAAGTCTAAGTAACAATAACTCAAATACCTAATAATTAAAGTCAAAATGTCTTCTGATAAGTTACTCTTTACACAATAGTCATGTTTATTGTGTTGCAAATTATATAAATGTGGATTCAGAATTTTTTATTTTTTTTTTTCGTTGTGCCTTTTGGTACAATGACAATAAAGAATTCTGAAAAAAGATTTCTGAATTCTGAAATAGGAAACTATGATCTTTTTCTGTACAAATCTGATCTTGCTTCCAAACTTTTGGCCTGTATATCATGAAAAGTTAGTCCTCTGAGTTTTTAGATCAGAAAATTGATGCTGAACAGATCCAATCAAGACTATAACGTTTCATGGAGATATGATTATCAGGTTGCAATGCACACAGTCATGAGGAAGAGGACGCTGGGAGTTAAATCCCTTAAATAGGGAATGTAATTTTTCTCTGTTTGATCTCCTGGCAGTAGTTTCTGGTTCTCCAAAGAGACAAAAACAGTCATGTTAACTTTGCAGTCTGCACCAAGCATCTGGACATGCAATTCAGCACAACTGAGCTAAAAGAGCCCGTCTGTCGTTTCCCAGAAGATTGATGTTTTGTTGCGTCGTCCTCAGCTTGACTTTCTACTTATGACGTTCTGATTTTCCTGCTGGAGGTCAGCTAATCCCTGACCACTGCAGGGCAAGCCCCTTAGTTATCACTACTGCAGCTCCACTTGTTTTCCAATACACTGGGGGTGGGGGGGTGGGTTATGGTTTATTCATGCAAGCTGTGTCTTCTGGCGTCGTAATTCTAATCACATCTCAGTCAGAAACAAACAAACACAGGAAGAGGCTGAAGGTTTCTGGTTGAATGGATTGAAATGACATCGTTGATGGTATTATTCAAGGATTTTCTTGAGTGTGATAAGAAATAGATTCACAGCTGTTGACACACATTGTAGCTTTTCAAATAGATATATGCAGAAACTGTTTCTATGTATGAAGTGAGAGCCCTTTATATAGTGATAATGATGCCATATTGAACTAGAAGCATTGGGGGATTTTGAAAGGGCTTTGGCTTTACTCAAGCTGAGAAGGAAAAGCCTGTAGACACTCTTAACAGTGGGGGTTATGCATTTCTTCCAGTTAAGTGGAGACCTAGCATCTTTGGCTGCCAGCATGAGGCTGGGTTTATTTCCTATGACAGGAAGAAAAAGCTTTAGCGGCAGCATGACAAGAGCCGTCACACTCCTGTTTAAGAGAATCTACTGGTAACACGGATAATAAGCAATCTAGCATAGACTGAGGCCCCCCACAGGAGGAGCAATCCACAGACAGTCAATGCTAAAAAGGCTGACAGGTTTGTATAGTGCTGTATCGAAGCATTTTAATGGAAACTCACAGGAATCAGTCTAGTAGGAAAACAGGCACAAGCAACAGGGGTGACTGCATTGTCAAGAAATGTAAAATCAAGTTTCCGGCGGAGCTTAACAAGAAGTAAACTGAGGCTGACCACCATGCAGAGACATCTTCAGGAAAGGGGCTAAAACTGTTGCTATAACTATAATCAAGCCACTCCTGAATTAGAAATGTCAGAAGAGTCTAATCTGGGCTAAAGAGAAGATAAACTGGACTGTTGCTCAGTCATCATACAGGCTCTTTTCAGATAAAAGTAAATTTTTGCACTTCATTTTGAAATCAAGGTCCCAGAGCCTGGAGGAAAAGAGCAGAGGCACGGACGTGAGAGTGTTTGAAGTCCACAGTCCGTGACGATTTGGGGTGTCATCTTATCTGCTAGCGTTGGTCCACTGTGTGTTATCAACTTCAAAGTCGATGTAGCCTCTATAAGGAGATTTCAGAGCACTTCATGCCTCCATCTGCTGACAAGCTTTGTAGAGATGGGGCCACGGTCCTGAAACTACTCCTAAATGGTTTACTAACTGTGATAGTATTGTGCTTGATCAAATGCTCAGTACTGCTTCAGGCTACGTGGTGTGTCACCATCGCTTACATCTTTGTCCCTTTTTTCTAGTTTTACTTAATTCACATTGTCCTTTCAAAACACAAATGATTAAGTTGTTTTGGTGGTTTTGTTTCTGATGTGTCTTTGGCCTCAGAGGTGGTTTCTTTCATTCCCAAACACACCTGCTCTGTCTTTAGATAGATATTTCTATTTAAAACAAACATTTAACTGGAACTAGTCTAATATGTTTTGTCAGATTGAGAAGTGCTCATTATTTTGGTTGCACATTATTTTCTTATGGGAAAAGATTGCTTGCCTATTTTGTTATTTTTCTCTTTAAACAACCTTAGTCTGTTTTCAAATTTGCTCACATATTTTGAAACTTTTCAGACTGGTTGTGAAATAACAGTAATTATCATTGAACAGCGAGCAGACTCGTATAGCTATGGTGTTATAATTACTCTGTTGAACTCATTGCCCTGTTATCAAAGAGGATATCAGACACATTATTTTAGACAGACCTACTTAGACTAAAAATTTATGTTCTGCTGCAGAGTCTAGACTTACTTAAAACTTTGACTTTACCACCTTGTTAATATGTCATTTTGTTATTATAATTAGTGTAATAATAATATTTATAATAATAATAATTATTATTATTATTATTATTATTATTATTATTATAGTAATAATAATAATACTTATTATTATTATTAATAATAATAATTATTATCAGAGATGTCCGGTAATTTCTTTAAATGTTCTCCTTATAATGTCCATTTATGTCTTGACTATTAGCTAAGAAGCAGCTGCTATAGTTGCTATAGGGGTTGCAAGGGATGCTACGACATCATTTCTGTGGACTGATGGTGACAATACTGCAACTATAGATTGTTATTATATAGCCTAATATCACTGAGCCAGTTATAAAAGGTAATAAAAAGTTTGTAAATGGAGGTGTGAACACACAAACTTACCTTTTTTGTCGATGACAAAATCAGCATTTACAACTGTGCGTCTGACACATGTCCTCTCTGCCTAAGCTGGTGTTGAGCACAGAACCTCCTCACTGCTGCAGGGTGGTGGAAATCTCAGCATGTGTTTTGCTTTCCCCAGAAAACTCTACCACTAATTCAGAATATTATTCCAGTCCGGCCATGAAACTAGTTGCTTACTTGTTTTTGATTTTTAGTTTTATTTTAGAAAAACAAGAGAACAAATGATACGCAGATTCACACGTATTAATAAAGTTGTTCTCGTTGACTGAATCTGTCAGTGGAGTGAATTTCAGAACAGGAGGAGTGTTCAAAGCAGCCCATTTAAATGCAAATCACTTCTCTTTTTAAACTGTTTGTGATTACAGTTGTTTGTCCCACTTCACAAGGTTTGATGTGGTGTGTAGCAAAGAGAAAAAAGCACTAAACGGCAATATTTGCATTTCACAGAGACGAGGCAAGAGACAAAGAAGAATCAACTTTAGGAGATGATTTACTTGGATTTGTTGCTGCGCTCTTTCTCATAGCTGCTACAGATTTACTTTTCAAGGACAGAAGAGTTTGTGTTTTGTAGAAAAACAAATTTTGCTGAGTGTTTCCATTGTATTACATTTGTGTGATCCGTCTCTCATCTGAAGTCTTGGTTAAAGATTTCTGCTCAAGAACGTGGACAAAATCATTAGTATGAATAAAGTATCACCATTTCTGAAAGCTCCCTCTGATGTTTCACCAACTTTAATTATATTTTGTTTCACGCTGATGAATTTCAGCATGTTTTCTTGCCTATGAGGCCTTTGTGACATGGTTGAAAAGACTGACTTACCATGAAAGAATTTATTTACTGACTGAAGTAAGAGCTGCAAGTTTGCACCTAACCTATAATCTTTTAATGACAAATTCATAAAATTACAGCCTTGTCTTTCAGAGAGGGCTGATTATTTTGCTACTTAATGTACCCTTTCAGAGCAGATGAACACTTGTGTGCAGAGGGGGCAAAAGCACATATTCGTCGCCAAAGTAGAAGTTTAGATACTTCAATAAAAAGATTTTGAGAAAGTCTTCTCCTAAGACTGAAAAAGTTCTTGCTTAAAATTTAAACCTGGGTCTCCAGTAAACATTAGTCCCCAAGTGGGCAGCCCAGGTTAGATTCTGACCTGTTGTCCTTTTACCACATTTCACAATTCTCTGTGTCAGCAACCTGTCAAAACAGAACCATACCACCAAATATAACTGCTGCATGCAAGTGATCCGTTCTTTGACAGAAGTGGTTCAGACTAAAATACTCATGATGATGGATTTCTGGAATAGACAAGTGATCTCCTGGCCCAACTGTGATCCATGTAGAACTCGACAGGACTCGCCAACAGTAGGAACATAACAGTCACTGATTAATGTCCAAATTAGCAGTAAATGAACCACTATCTAAGCCTGCACCCTTAGACGGAGTAATACTAGGAGTGAGTGATATCAAAAAATCACAAAACTTTCCAATGAAAAAGTATTCAGGTACTGTTTGTTACAGACTCAGCAGACAAAGCACCTTTTCTGTTTCCCTTGATTTTCCTGTCCTCTACATGTGAATGACGTGTTTTTGAACAAGGGGGGAAAAAAACATTTCATCGTGCTTCCTTTTCACAGTTAAACGCTTTTCGTGCTGTTTGTCATCTTTATGGAAATTGGGTGGAAAATGACAATGTCAGACTGTAAGTTATGAATCCTTTCATAAGACAAAGACAAGCCTCAGCAGAACAGGTGTCTAGAATGTGTGTATAGATGTAATCTTATTTCTGATGGTCTGGTATGTATTTGCTGGTTGTAGAGACACATTATAGTCTGTTTCATTACCTGTTATTTACATACAAACTCCTCATGATAGGTTTGAATCACAATATGCAGTGTGTAAATTGATGTAAATCTGCTCTTTTGTGGAGGGAAATGCTGGCTGCTTCATTTTATTCATGCTGCTACAAGTTTCCTGTCAGATACAGATAAACACTTCTCCTTGGAAAAGCTTGTCTTTTGCATCTGTTAAATCTTTACACATCAACTACATAGTTTTATTCATCCTCTGTTATGGTATTATCTATATAGTATAATCTTCCCAGTGTATAAATATCCCATCCAATCAAGTATAGGATTGAAACTTAATGTTTTCATTCACATCATGATGTTATAAAATAGCCCACACCAATTAGCATTTTCCTATTGCCTAAGGTTTTCTATGACAGAACTTTTCAAACCTGTTTTGAAGTTTTTTTTCATTCAACCAGTCCTGTAACACTGCCAAAACTCATGCAGCGTTGCCATCTGTGATTGATTAATGTCTGTTTTTTTCAATTTTTTTTGCAAAACAAAAAGAAAAACTTTGCCGGTGAGTCAGTGAACGTCTGAAGAAACACAGCCATTTACATTTCTCTGCCTCTGCAGGAACACTGAAATTGACTTTGAAAGCATCCTCTTCTAAAAACTGAAGCTGTGTAATCAGGCTTCTCTTTTTCAATTTCCTAACAATAACTTTCATCTTCATGTCCTTTTTTTGTCTCTGCTGTCTCCTCTTCCTCTCCATATTCAGTTTGATGTCAGGTCTAGCTGCCTTGGATGCCAAATGCTCCAGCCGTCTGGGTATCATGACCATCTCCTACTACCTCTGGACCACCTTTGTTGCCGTGGTAGTGGGTATTGTCATGGTGTACATCATCCACCCAGGTGGAGCTGCTCAGAAGGAAGACTCAGATGAAAGCAAGAAGCCGATGACGAGCTCTGCTGACGCTCTGCTGGATCTCATTCGGTAAGACACAACCACGTTTCCTTTCACATGCTTAGAGCTGAGAGGAGAGGAAACCGTCTCATTTAGATAAAAAGTCTAGAGTTTCCAACATAATTATGCTACTTTGTTAAGTGTACAGTTAAAACTGTCAACTGTTAAATCAGCGTCATTTTTTTTATGTCTAATATTTTTTATCCAATGGAAATTAGGCCCTATGTTCCCACAGCCTTATGTCACCACACATATTACACAGTGACATTAACAATATGTAGATCGTACTGAATACTTAGAGGGTTTAAGTTACACTGTGGATATATAAGATTATATGTTAGATTTTATTGCCCTTTACAAGGATAATTGTGTCCACCTCCGTACATAAACCTTTTTTTTTACTTATTACATCACACCCATAGACATGTTTCCATAAGTCATTACACAGAGGTGTCGTCGTAGCAGAACATGCACTGTGTGGTAACTACCGCTAACATTTTTAGCCTCTTCAGTTTTGTGAGAGTTCTCGTAACAGTTTGCTAACAAAGTTTGTGTTTGTGTATCAAGCTACAGTAAATCCACAGTAAAAAGATTCAAAAGTTTGGCTCAACTGGTAGAGCAGGTGACCCGCTGTTGTTGGATCAGTCAATATTTTTATCTAAAATCAGGTCAGAAACTGTCAAAGTGTTGTGAAAGGGAGAGTTAACTTTCTTAGTGCCATATTCGGTGTCCTTGGTAAAGAGTGGATGAGCAGCTGATGGTTTATTTGTGTTAACCTGTACGAGGTTATCTGCTCCTGTGGATGTTTTTGCTGTGTGTTGTGCAGCTTGTTAGTTTAATGGAAACAGTTCCGGGGTTCAAAGTGTTAAAAGTGGAACTAAAATGAGAGTGACTAGAACAAGGGGGTCAACAACCTGTGACATCAGTGCACTGGTGAGAGGTAGGTGTAGCGAGAACATGCTGCACACCTGATGCCAAATTAACAGACAGCAGAAGGCTTCCGGATCTATTAAGGTGAAGCCTGTCTGCCCTCAACAGATGTCTTCTGTCTCAGAGGACATTAAAGTTGTCGATAAAGCCCATGCTGTGGGAGCCACAGACAGAATGAAGCCAGGTGTAGAGGCTAAGCAGCCCGCTCGAAAACCCTACAGCCACAGGTGGGGGTGAGGCACAAAGTCTAAAGTTAGATTTGGGACTTTCTGACAATGTTAAAATGGTGGCAGAAATCCAGTCACTCTGAGATAAAGTGAACGGAGATAATCACCTTGAATTGTCCAAGAGATATAAGAGTGTCCATCTCCAGGTACAGGTTGTCCAGTTAATCATTGGCGTTACGTACAGAGATGAAAAGTTCAGTAAGAGATTTAAGAATAAAAAGACACAAGTGCTTATCACACCTCAGAGAGCAAAAATAACATGGCTGCCATTTTCCCCCGGTGCCACTCTAACAGAGGGAGACTCAGATGCAGGTATACTGTCAAATATAACTCAATTCATATAGATGACAAGTAACTGAAAAACTAAGAAAGGTTAAAGTTTTATTTAAAACAAAAATGGTTACAGTCAGCCAACAGCTAATGTTAGCATTCATACACATCAGCCTTTGCTGCTGAGGACTGACAGAGAATTTAGAGTCAATTTTTTCTCAAAAACAGGCTGAAACAAGTTGTCCCATTATTCAATTGTTGAAGACTGTTATGTCTTCAGTGTGTCAGAGAAGGAATTATCCATTTTTTATCTTATTATAAATTTATTTGAGGGAAGCTAAGAAGACCACAATGGTTAAATAATGACTGAAGTATCTCTCCAGAGGTAGTTGAAATAAGGTCAAACTGAAAGTTTCAACTTTTATTGTTGAAGGATATAAACGAATCAATTCTGCAGGACATAGTCTGTGCTATGTCAATATTAAAGCTCCTGTGAGGAACCCTTAGTCCATGTCAATCTTGGTGCCCCCTGTGGACTAAACAGTTTTTACCTATCTTGTCCTCTACATGCTGTAATAGTGTCTTATTCCCTACAAAAAAAACTAATAAAAGAGGACTATTCAAGCTTTTCATCACAGTGACATCTTTAAAACTTAATTTCAACAGGAAATGCTCAGCAGATCAAATCAAGTAGTTACACAATACATTAGAAAAGATGCTATTTTACTTGTTGTAACAGGCTTTTTTCTTCGCTCAGTGAGTATGTGGTTTCTGGAATTTCTACTGCCACTCAGCAAACTGCACTTCAGCATCTACCTTATTTCTCTAGACTGGAGATTACCACTCGGAGTGAAAACAGGAAAATGTGCAACTGGAGAATATGGCTTTACTTTTTAGTTTCTGTTTGCTGCTTCACCATAGATTTTAAAACAAACAAAAAGATGACATCCAAGGGACCAAAATACCACATACTTGAGTAGGATATGCTATTTTACGGTACAAGGATGACGGTTTATGTCAGCAACTGCAACAACATCATGAAACCATTTTATACAATAATGGCTGGAACATTCTATTGAGGTCTAATTTCACAGCAAATTTCACACTAAACTGCTGCTCCTGTGAGTGCAAATGTTCATTTTTCTTCCTCTTTACATCCGACAGAGAATAGAGCAAACATGGCATTAGCATGTTAATCCTAAAAGAGATGCTTCCTGCTCAGCACCCCTGTTGAAAGCTATTTTTAAACTCCCCTACCTGTGATAGGTTAATTTCTTGCTCTGCGTGCCTTTTCCTGAGCTCTGGAGTCGAGGTATTGCTGCTCCAGGTCAGGGCATGAGGCCTGGAGTCTCGTGTGCCAGTGGGTTAGTGCGCTAAGCTAATTATCGCTGCTGAAGGATGGAGTGTTTGAGGTGAACCTGGGTCAGTCCCACAGCGTGAGGAATGACAGTGAGGCCTGGGAGACACTGTGTCAGTGTGACAGTCGGTCAGTGGGCTAAAGTGACCGAGAGAGAGACACCGGGAGCTGCTGAGCTCACGACTCCGCCGGCAGGATATTTTAGTTTACGGTGTTTTGTTCTGAATGCATGATTAACTGTGACAAAAAAAAAGATTGATTTGTCGTCAATTAAAACATTTTTCAAGTTAAAAAGTTAGTTTATCTTTATTTCTATGCTGCTAAGTGTTTTATTTTAGATAATGAAAAGTTGAATCACACAAAAATATCAACTGTATTTGAACGAGTTATTTTCAACCAGAGAGTAAAAAAAAGGAACAAACTGTCCAAGCCTCAGAAATCCACCCATGCACTGATCATGTGGTAGAGGTGAACTCTATCCTACACGGGAGCTCAGTGCATGTGTGTGTGTGTGTGTGTGTGTGTGTGTGTGTGTGTGTGTGTGTGTGTGTGTGTGTGTGTGTGTGTGTGTGTGTGTGTGTGTGTGTGTGTGTGTGTGTTTCACAGAGCACAGCTGTGCTTTGGATTTATCTCGCAAAGCTTCTTTACAGCCTTCATCTATCATGCAGGCATACTATATCTGTACACTCACAAATGGGACCTACTGTCTGCAGCCCTACGTGGGTGTGTGTGGGTGTGTGGCTGTGTTAAGTGTGTATAATGGGTACAGTATGTACTGTATGAATATATACATACTTGGATTTATGTAGTGAGTGTTTCATTAGCCTGCTTTTCTCTGACTAAAGCACACGATATACTGCTAAAGTGGTCAAATCCATGCAGGATACACACTGAGCTGCACCATATTGTCCCTGTAAATTTCACCGTATGTCTTTTAAATCACTCTATTTAATATACAGGCTGTAAATATCAATACGGCTTTTAATCTGTTTGCTGTTTGCATTTTGATGTTGATAACAGCTTTGTGTTGATATGGGATTGACAGTCTGTTATGCAGCACTGATTCAGTTTTGACGAACAGACACTCCTCCCTGAATAAAAGATGCGACACAACGCATCATTTTCACCAGCCTGGAATCTGAAGGCAGCAATATTAAACAGCTATAAGGGGAAAATCAGAGGTGATTTTCAGTTAGGTAAAAAAAAAAAACTAGATTCTCAGATTAAAGTTTCAAGAAGAGATTTATGCCATTTTTACCTCTACAAATATCCTTTGTATTGTCGTTTTAAATAGTAGTTATTATGTAATATCTTCTTTTCAAGTTGTTTTGGCAACAACCCAGCCACTTTGGTTGTGATACGGTTTAAGATTTCTCTTTATAAAAGCTGTTAGAAAGCATCACTGCACCGGCATAAAAATATGAATACTGTATGTGAAGTTTTGTTTATGTTATCTTTTTTTTTATTTAAGTGCTAATAGAAAAAAAAGGAGGAAAATTGATGGAGTTAAAATGCAAATAACATTTCTACAATCAAAGAATGAAATTATAGTAAATTGAATAATAGATCATTATTTTAAAAAAGAAGAACTAGTCAACTCTCAAAATATTAAGAGGCTGATTTGCAAAAGGATTGAGATGTGTTTGTACCCAGAACAATAACATTAAAAATGTTAGCACCATGGAGGTAGTCAGGTAATAAGAAAACAAGACTCTTGTGCAAAAAAGAAAAATTGATCTTATATACAATGTTTTTTTTTTTTTATCACCTGCATGGATGACAATGATTTGAAATAACAGTGAAGCTTGTAGAGTAAGCAACACAGCGATTATGATGATAAATTTATATTCAGAGGCTTTATCTCCCACTGACAAAGTACACGTGTGTTCAAGGCTAGACTAAATATACACCTTTTCTCCTGAATCTGTGAATCTAAACAGTGAATGTTTCTCATAGTTGATGAACATGAGTTAGAAAGAAGCTGATGAGCTATTAAACATGTTTCACTTGAAATCTGTCCAACTGTTTCCTCTGTTTTTTAAGCCCATGTGCTAATGGAAGTCATTGGAGAAATCCAATCTTACACTTAATGCCTCTGATTAGAGGATGATACTAATCCTTAATATACACAGTGTAATCCATCCATACTACAGTAAATAACAGTACGAGCTACATGAAGTGTGCTCTGCACTCACAAATATTTTCAGTGACCGTCTCTGTTTAGTCCTTTGGTCTGATTGTGTTTAACCAAATTGATTTTGTTTTTGTTGATGGCCTATGGCTGGTGTACAGTAGACTTTCAGCTTTGAGACATTAGCATTACTTCTACTATTTTGGCACTTAGACTCCATTGCTACCCTCCACCCTGTTGTGGTTCTTGTTTGTGTCCAGTTTTGCTTCTTTTTGCCTCCAGCTCATGCTGTCTCATCTTTGTGACCAAAGCCTTGAAAGGGTCTATAAAACTGTTGTGAACAAGTTTTACAAGTGCATGGATTTAAGTACACGGATTCTCATTCTCAGGCCTTTATTTGCATACACACCATATTTTTTGCACTATACGGCACACCATCAATGAACGTGTCTATTTTTATACATGAGGCGCACCAAAATACAGTGACACATTCACATTCTGTATCAGTGTCCTTCACCTGGTACACTGGAGCCTTAAAAGAACTATTGATAATATCTCTACGTAAAACATCTTCATTCAGGCAAAATTGCTGTTGAACTTCTGTGAGTGCTTTTCTTTAAAATCAAAGAATGTTGAGAGTCGATAGAAAATAGGACAGGAATAGAAATTTGAATAAGAAGTTGTTTTTTTTCTCTCTCTGTCTATGACTGTCTTTAGAGCCATGAAGGAGGAGTTTGACAATTGAGCTCCTGTCTGACAGCAAGGCCTCGGGCTGCTACTTGTTGAAGGTCACTGTCATGAGTCACAGCCAACTACGAGCAATCATAGCTGTGCGAGGTGCAGTCACATTACCTCTGAAGTGATCATTCAAAGATGGTGATAATGCACTTGTTGCTGTTCTTTCTTCTGCTTATGTTACAGAGCAACAGTCGAACAACATACAATCTATACTTCCTCTTGCATGGTGGCCTTGTTTGATTAGCTCACTGACAAGCCAGCTGTAATGAAAATCAATGAGCTCAGAGGGTTCAATTGAAGACAATATGTCTATATTTCATCCATGCTGTTGGAGGTCACAGGGAGCTGATTCATGTCCCTATTCACTCCGGGTGAAAGATGAAGATCACCCAATTACAGGTCAACAGTACAGACTCATACAAACTTTATAGACTGCATGTTCATCTAATCCAATCCATGCTTCTTTATTTAAATAACACATTTTAAAAAGCATTCGAGTTTACCAAAGTGCTGCACAGTAAAATTAAAAGAACAAACACTGCAGAAGTTAAAAAAAATAATAAATCAAGAGGAAATAAATAAATGCAGGTAAAAAAAAAAACATTTAAAATGAAATAAAATAAATGAAATAGAAACACAAAAACATAAAATAAATAGAAGTAATATGATCATGGTCACAGTAACACCTTACCACAGTAAGTGAGCCACTTAGTGTTGATAATGAAGTTTAACTGGCTTTATTGGGCTGTGGGAGGAATTAGAAGAATCTCCAGGAAACTCACACGAGCATAATGTTAACATGTGGAGCTCCATTTAGAAAAGAAGTAGTTCATTATTATCTTTTTTTAATTAGTGTAAGATAGGCAAGTAACAAAGAAAAGCATGTCAGGGTTGACCACAGGCTACACAATCACTTAGAGCATTTAACTGTTACTGGTACTAACAACAGGAGTGAGCAGCTGTAACAGTTTGTATATAAATGTATAAAGTTCCAGAACGAAACAAGGAAATCACTCACAGTTTTTTCTCCACTCAGCTTTTCTTCAACTCTGACAGTGTTCACTGAATGTCAACACATGTGCACCTCACTCTACTTATCTGTCAACTGACAGGCCATTAGACAAATCCATGTATCCTAAATGATGGGCTTGTCTTTCTTTCCAGAATTGCTTTATTTTATTATCTGCAATATAAGACCCAAAAGATACTTCTCAAATTAGGGAAATTACCAGGAGGGTGGCACAGTGGTGTAGTGGTTAGCACTGTCACTTCACAGCAAGAAGGTCCTGGGTTCGACTCCAGGTCAGGGCATTTCTGTGTGGAGTTTGCATGCTCTCCCTGTGTCTGCGTGGGTTTACTCTGGGTACTCTGGTTTCCTCCCACATCCCAAAATCATGCAGAAGTGGGGTTAGGTCAATTGGCCACTTTCAAATTGCCCGTAGGTGTGAATGTGAGTGTGGATGGTTGTTCGTCTCTATATGTCAGCACTGCGATGAACTGGCAACTTGTCCAGGGTGTCCCCAGCCTTCGCCCAAAGATGCTGGGATTGGCTCCAGTCCCCCCAGAATGGGAATACGCAGTAGAAAATGGATGGATGGATGGAAATGAGTCAACAGAGAACACATATTTTTTGCAGTAGTCTCTTAATTTCTTTCAGGACAGGATATGGTGTAGATTGTGCATAGATGAAATTATCAAACCAGTGACTTCATGACATTAAAGCAGTCAGACAACAGTGCAAGACAAGGATAGCAAAGGATGCTGAAATACACATTATGCTGCTTGTGTAACAGGTTCCTCACTTACATGGATGTGGTACAGGGGCTTGATAAAATATGTACAGAGTACACAGTTTGTGGATTTGCATTCATGAAAAAACACAGTTAATGTGTTGGCACAAAAGATGTTTTTGTGACAGGGTTGTTGTGGAATAAATGTCCCAAACTGGGATTGCATTTTCTTTCCATCAGAGCAGCCTCCTAAGGGAACAAAAATACATTTGTGTCATCTCAACTTTAGCTTGATTCATTTCCCCCTACATGTGTAATGCATTTTTACCTCTAATTTCTAATTTTTCCTACCTAGCCTTTACCTGCTCCTTATAATTCCCCTTCAACATCCTGTGTCAATGTGTCCTCTCCTGTGTTGCATTCAGCACTTTTGCTCATCTAAGAGATAAGAGTGGGCTATTTAGAGCTTTCATTCATACTATCTGGGCAGCATTTAATGCTGAAAAGATGAAGATTTGAAGGTTTCCATTAGCAAAGATCAATGCAGACACATGTACATTGAGGGTTCGAACTCTGAAAGCCTCTGACTCCTGAATTCAAGTGATCTAAATGCAGAAAAGGGCATCATTTTCTGCCTGGTAAATGGATGCCCATTACAAAAAGGAGAAGGCAAAAAAAGAAGTTGAATTACAAGAATAGAAGAGATGAAGATCCTGAAGGTTAAAAGTTTGACTTGCATGGAATTTTAATACTGATTTAAAAAATGCTCATTTTGGCAGCTGTCATTTTTAGATCTGGAAATATGGACTTAATCTCCAGCTGTGTTTCTATAAATCCAACTGTTGATTTATTATTTTTGAGTCTTTTTCCAGAAGGACAGTAATATTTCTCTTTTTATTCTCTTTTCCAGCAACATGTTTCCAGCCAACCTGGTTCAAGCCACTTTTCAACAGGTAAGCAAAGTTTTTTATTATTATTTTTTTAATATGACAAAGACACAAAACATTTTTACCGAAAAACAAAGAGCATCACTATTCATTCATAAATTTGTGTTTATTTTTATGCTAAAATAAAGTCTTAGTTTGGTCGACAGTTATCGAGGACAATAAAAAAATACAATGTCTCAAATTAATGTTCTTGCTGTAGGGATGGGTAGAACTTTAACTCTACTTACAGTACATACAATAAAACAAAGATTTTTTTAATAGCATAGTAACTATGCTAACTGTAAGATTCTAAGACATTTATAAGGGCTTATAAAAACTAGCAAACAGAATTTAACAAGTCAAGCTGACCACACGATGTGTTTAAAATAAGATCATAAAAAACATAAAAAGCTGTAGGCTTATATTTATATTCATAAGCAGGCTACAAACCACTGAAAAGATCTGGACAAGGGTGTCATTGTTTCAAGATAAACTATCGATGCACTGAGCAGCACTTTCAGAGTCTTAATTAAACTTTAAAAGCATTTTGTGAGGACCTTAGAGAGCTTTAATACAGGTCATCTGAACTCAAAATGTTTCCAAATTCCTGTATTGTTTTCCATGCAACCCAAGAATGATGGAAGCTAGCCATTTCCATTAGTTTCAAGTCATTATGATAGTCTAAGCTAACAGGCTAATTTTTGTAGCTTTGCCTGCTGCCTACAAATTCATTGAATTTGTTTTTTTCATTGACCATCACATCATATCAGCCCCAAAACAAACACAGTTCATGTCTTTACAAAACTCTGTTTTAAAGCTCTCTGTCTTCAGACAGCAACATTTCTTATTTCTGCTCTCCATGCTTGTTCATTTCTTTGAGATGCTCACTGAGTTTATGCAGTTTGTTAGTAGCAGTAATGGTTGAATTATGCATGCACAGCTCCATAGTTCGGGGATCTGGATCGCAGATCTTGTGTTATCAAATCATCAGAAAATGTATCACCATGGTGCCACTGATTAAAAGAAAGCAGCTTTTAAACTGAGTTTGAGATTGATGAGAACAGCCCTCCCAATGTCAAGAAAGTTCTTTTTCTAATATCGTTCCATAACATTGTGCAAACTTGCAAAAGCTTGTTAAGTATTGATATTTCATTAGGTATGGTTAGTATCAAATGATGCTTTGACTTTTCCTCCTCTCACTGTCACTGTGTCGACACCGATTTGTGATTAGCTGTCATGTGTTACACCCATAGACTGTATATAGAATGGACAGCGTCTGCCTCCTCGCTGGGTGAAGCCACTCCGAGAACAGCACCCTCTGTTGATGGGCTGCAGTATAGGTCATAAATCCCGCCTCCTCCAGCAAAGCTCATGGAGCTGTGGACAAACTTTAGAAATTTATTACACAGGACATAAATTTTTCTCCCGCCTGCTTGTGATGTTGACATATAGTTATTGTAAGACTGGTTTGTGCTCAAGTCCTCTTTTTTCTGTTCAGCTCTGTTCCTACAAGTTATTAGGGGGTTCATGTTTGCTACGAGTGACACCTGATACAGGTGGGTGTTCAGGGATTGCGTAGCTAACCCTGGGAGATACGTTGTTTGAGCCGAGCGTCATCACAGTGACTCTCAGTGACTGCACGGCCGAATGCGCGCATCGCTACTGCGCAACGCTGGTTTCAGGAAATGAAGAAAAATCCTGGAAATATCGAGAGCTTTTTGGCTTCAAATCCGTATACAGGCGGTAGGCGGAACCAAGTTGTCCATAGTACATACAGTCTATGGTTACACCAGTCAGTCACTTAATGTTGTTAATGTTTCCCCACAGCCTGCTAAAGTCTGCAACTTAGCCTATTAACCAAACTTCATCATCAAGCACTGTGATTGGTCAAAAAATCTGAGGCTATAGTCCCGAAGCCTGTCTGAATGCATTTCTTAGTAACTCATAGAGCTAGTGCTAGCAACAACTGGTCACACACACACACACACACACACACACACAAACACATGCTAAATCAGTAATGTGTGTGTTCACCGCTGTCGAAGCTTAAGTAGAGAGGACACCTGTTTAGTTTCTGTCCCTTCTGTGATGTTCAGTATCTTTTATTACCAGGGCAACAAGCTTCATATTGCAGCTGGAGGTCTGGCACTGTATTTGCCGTGAAGAAAATTGTGAATGTGATCTGTTATTAAGTTGCAGACAGGAGGAACAGAAACCTATATTACAGAGAACCTTTTTTTTTGTAAATCTGTGACACAAATCACCGATACAATCTGGACCGTGAGATTTGTGACCCTTTGCAACCCTAGAAACAGGAAATGAAATATGAAGAATTCACTGTTAATGAAATGCAGTAATCCCTGTCATAGAAAAAAATGCAGAACTATTACCACCCATAGTATGAGCCCACAAATATGTCCTTATAATGTCACAATCTGTTGTCATAGTTACTCCTCTGACAGTAGGGCTGTTCATCTGTTTTGTTTTCAAGTATCGAACCCAAAGAGTCGCAGAGCTCATTCCCAAACCTACAGTGGCTCAGCTCCTGGATGAGACCACCACTCGAAGGGTTTACATCTATGGCATCCAGGATGACAACGGCACCGACGTCCAGAACTTCTCCCTGGATCTCACACCGCCTCCTGATGTCATCGTGAAAACATCACCTGGTACCAGTGAGGGCATGAACGTGCTGGGGATTGTCATTTTCTCTGCCACTATGGGTGAGTGGTTGGCATGGCGTCTGAACAAACACATGCAGACTGCTTTACATAAATGTACAAAATTGGTGAACCCACAAATGGCATTCTTATCAAATTATGAACAGATGCTCAAAAGCCTGAATCTATTTATTTAGGAAGAAAAAAATGTTTCTTTTTCCTTTTTTCTTTTTTACAGGAATAATGTTAGGACGAATGGGACCCAATGGAAGTGCTTTGGTCAACTTCTGCCAGAGTTTGAATGAGGCTGTCCTGAAGATTGTTGCCATCGTTATCTGGTAAGAGATTTATCTTAAAGCAAACACTGATATGTAATAAAATTAGTTTATTAGTATAAATAAAATCAAAAACACAAATTTTGACTGATTTTGGCAACACTGATAGGACTCTTAATCAGTATTAGTTTGGCACCATTAGGAGAAATGTGGTAAGTTGGTAATATTATAATGATGATACATTTTCTTTGTAGGCGCCTTTCAGGGCACTCAAGGACACCTTACAGGACAACTAAAAGACACATCAGTAGGATAGTAAAATCAATTTTAAAAAAAACATCAACACAACAAAGTTTTAAATAAAAAGTTGTAAGTCCAGATTCTGCAGCAGAACATCAAATGCTAGTCAGAGTAGGCCTGTCTGAAATAATGAGATTTCAGGCCGCATTTGAACATGGGGATGAGTCAAAGATCCTAATGTCAGGGGGGAGGGAGTTCAAAAGGCGGGGAGCAGCGTGGCTGAAGGCTCTGGATCCCAAGGTGGACAGGCGGGTGTGAGGCATACTGAGGCTGATGGAGGAGGCGGACCTGAGAGTCCGGGTGGGAGTGCATCAATTGAGCCCTTATACTGGCTTACAGTACCTCTTTGACTGCAGCACAACGGAGAGAAGATATTTAGTCTCAAGCAAAATGTTCCTAGTAAACATTACAATATAATGCTTGTCTTCTCTTTAGCTTTCTTGGTCATGCAATGAGGTGGACAATTTTAGTTTATATATGTCTTCACTTTATAGCTATCCACTGAGCAATAGATGGGGCTAGTAGACGTCTAGTTTTTTTAGACACTTTAACCCATTATTCGATAACTATTTATTTCAAAAAGCAACCATGAGTTGCATAACTGATCTCCAAGTACTTATCCAAAATAATTATGATAGCCGCTGAGCAATATACAGTGTAGTATAGATATAGCCCAGATTTAGATTTAGTCTAAACTTGGTCTAAGTTTAGATGTCTAAAAAAACTTTCATTTTTAGAATTGTGGTAGCCTGATTTTGGACCAGTCGTCTAGGCTACATTTAGACGTCTGTTGGACCTCTTTTAGACCAAAAAATGCTCAGTGGGTATTTATGTGACACTTCACTAAGAAGACCCAAAAGCGAGACTCAGAGAGAAGTGGGTGCTGAGTGGGTTTTATTTACAGAACAGAAAGGCTTTAACAAAGTCAGAGTAAAAGGTCCAGGAGTGGGTAGGTTGTTGGTTGGCGGTGGAGATACTGAAGGTTACGTGGAGAGCACCGTAGAGACAAGGAAACACTGGAAACTGAACAATAGCTTACAGGTACACACTAGAGAGCCTGGATAGCACTGTGAGACAAGGACGAATTGGCAGCTTGCAGGAGCCTGAGCTGGAGCTTAAGAGCATCTGCTGATTGCCACTGATCAGGAGCAACTACGTCTCATTAGAGTGAAGGCCTCCTCACCACACCTCCACCAGCCACGACTGCAAGAAGCACAAAAACTTCCTAACACAAATACAGGACATACTAAACACAATCAATAATCCAAGAAGGGCTGGAAGCCCAAACCATAACAATCTAATTGATTTCTTTTCTTTTGACAAACAGATCATCTTGAGGCTTTCATTCAAATTTCTCACTACCGATGACTCAAAATTCTCCGGAAATCCTCAAAATACAGTATCTCCACATCAATCTATGATGTGGTTGTCCTAACTTTGTGGTTTCTTGATGTTTTACCTATTTGACTTTTGCCATCATTCACCCACTTTTATAAATCTGACCATATATTTTTATCAGTGGTATTCCAATGAATTTCAGCAGCACCTTACAGTCTAAACGAATTTTCATCTGCCAAGCTCGAATGGTGATACAGCTCAACAATATACTCATTTGTTACCTGCTATGTGTCAGCATTGTCATTGATCGATGTCATTGCTTTTCGAATAGCAATGATATTCTTATTGGCAGATAATAACCTGAAACATTAACTATCTGTATCAACAGATATAAAAACTTCAGAAGATGTGATTATCAACAAAAAGATGATGTATTAGTTATGTGCAGCAATGACAGCTTACACATAGTGGTCTTAGAAGTCTTTCGGAGCATGTTGGATACCTTTGTTGATACCGAAGCACATTTTAAAGTACATAAATTCTGCCATTACAGGTACTTCCCCTTTGGGATCGTGTTCCTAGTCGCTGGTAAGATCCTGGAGATGGACGACCCTTCAGCCATGGGGAAGAAGCTCGGTTTTTATGCCATTACAGTGGTAATGGGTTTGGTGCTGCATGGTTTATTCATCCTCCCAGCCATGTACTTCTTCATCACTAAAAAGAGCCCCATTGTTTACATCAGAGGCATCCTGCAGGCCCTGCTGATCTCCTTGGCCACCTCCTCCAGGTAACAAATAAAATTTCTTCCCATATTTACTAAAGCAAACCCTACGAGTTTATTATTAACCTTTGGACTCTTTTTTTCACAAACATGGATCTGTTTAACTGAGTAAGTTTAAGATAATGAAACATCTTTATTTTGTTCGCTGCATTACTTTGTTTATTTATCCCAACAAAGACAAATATAATCATTATTTTAGTCAATCGAAGATGCCTGGTGATTCTTAAAGTGAACCCAGAGGTGCAATCTTTTCAAAAAACATAGTTAATACAAACAAATATTGCCGGTCATGATTTTACTGCAACAACTGATACCGTGTTACACTATGATAAACTTCGGTTAATGGTTTGCGAAAGATGAGTAACTCTGATTGTGGTAGGAGGGCTTTTACTCTGCATTCCCAAGGAAAATGGAGTGGAGAATGGTTGATGGAGTTCACCTTGGATGAAAATGGATGTTTGTTAGCTTACCGTGACCTTTGTAACCTTGTGCATCTACCCTTAATGTTGTGCTAAATTGTAGACTTCTCCAACAATGAACCTTAAAGCTTTTACAGTGACGTCAACAGTATTACCAGTGTGTTTTCAAGTGTTTACACCATGTAGAATACTTATTTACTTTTTATGGTGCATGTTATTATGTGTTTCTATAGCTGTTTCAGGGGAAAACATAGGCAATATAAAACATGGCTGTGTTCTCGGTGAAATCACCCATTGTTTTCTAACAGGTTGTTATACAAGAGCTTTCAGATGGTTATTGCCAACTGCAAGGCCAAGATGGTTTTGCAAACAAACAAATGACCAAAACATGTGCTTCGAGAATACTAGTCTAAAACGCACACTTGGAGAAATAACTAGTCTGTTATGATAGATGCAGCTGTTATTGTAACCACTATATTGTTCCATTACCAAGCACTGCGAACAAAATGTGAAGCAGGTATGGTCAACTCCTTAGGTTACAGCAGCTGTGTAACATTGTCATTACAGCCATCCTCACTGCTGCTACAGTGCACAGGCATCTATAACTGGATTCGTCTTTAAGAAGAGGCACAGAGGCAGAATTAAAAGGAGCCTTTAACCTCCAGGCCAAAAACTGCCATGCATCCTCCTGTCAGTGAAGTCAGCTACACCCTTGTTAAGCTTAATGATGCAAAACTTGCTTAAAAAAATTCATTTTTTTTTACATTTTTTTCCTCTGCAGTAAGTTCAAAAGATAGATAGGCTATAGGCTAGACCTCAACCATTGTCAGTTCCAGGATGTAAACATGTTTATTTCTGCTGTAAATTGGGCATGTCATCATAAAATGGGTGCAAATGGAAATCCCTAAAGTATGAGATTCTGGAGGGACTACTGTTTCCTTCTGCATTGGCTTTATTTTTTAATACCAAGAAGTTTTCTGCTAGGGTAAAACCAAGCTACTTGCATTTGGAAGCATCCAGATCTTATATAGCCAAACTTTCTCACAAGGTAAGGAAACCCACAAGCAACTTCTGATAGATTTCTTATCACATTTCTCTCTTTACATGATCAGCCAACTCTTGTACAAGATCATTTTGACTTTATCTAAACAGCACCACTCTTAACTTTATAAAGCGTATTCTCAACCTGGTCTTACTGTGATTTGCGGCAGTCTTAAAGTAAGGCTTTCTGGCCTCTCCCACAGCTACACAGGTTTTCAAAACTGACATTTCATAATCTAAGCTCTCAGCATGTCATTGTTTCTTGGTGTACAAGTAAAAATATCGGGTTCTTCGAACTTAGACATTTTTAACAACTTCAGGGAAAAAAAGACGCAGATGTGTAAGACTTTAAAAGCAGCGCTGAAAAATACAGGAAAACTAAAGAGAGGAACAATTCCTTACAGTGATAGAGAAGCATTTTTCCATACAAACTATCCATCTTTACACATTACCAATTTTTTCTCATGAAAAGCAATTCTGTTGACAAAAACAGGAAATTGGTCTAATGTCTCACAATTTTAGGGGTGTTATGATTATGAAGAGGTGGAAAATTAGTGTCACACTGCCACATTCAGATACAACCAGTAATAAACTCACTGAAGAAGTTGTAGTTGTGTTTGATTCACGACACATTTAGAAATCTCAAGGTCTCTAAAAATATATACCATTAGTCATACTGCATGTCCTTGAGTGCATCATTATCTTTAAATGCCTCTGTCTCTCTGCTGCAGCTCTGCCACTCTGCCTATCACCTTCAAGTGCCTCCTTGAGAACAACCACATTGACAGACGAATCATCCGCTTTGTGCTGCCTGTCGGGGCCACTATCAACATGGACGGCACCGCGCTCTACGAAGCCGTGGCGGCCATCTTCATCGCCCAAGTGAACAACTATGAGCTTGACTTTGGGCAGATCATCACAATCAGGTAAGGCTGGCCAAGTCAGAAATGGAGAATAAAATCGACCCTTGAGGAAAGAAACTCCTGAACTTTAATGGATAGAGGAGAGCAAGGTCAAAAAGAGATGGAAATTAAATCACTGCGATGATATCCAGAACTCTTATATCAGATACCCTGCTTTTTCTCATCAAATGCATGTCAAACTGGTCTATATTCAATGTATATCCCTTTGCTCAGGTGTGAATAAAAGCAATTTTACAAATGAGGAGATTTCTCTCTATCTGACAACATCAAAAAATGTCATATGGGTCAAAATCTGTTGCTGTCAGGCTGATGTTTTGAGAGAAATCTAACGTCACACTTCTGGTTTAATTCTGAATTAATAAAAAATATTATGGGATTTACTAGATACACATATATGTAAATGTCACACAGATTACGCCTCATATGAGCTTCTTAGTCTGATCTGATTTCTGCTAAATCAGTCTGGAAGCCCCAGGAACACAGACAGAGACACACACAGTAACATACAGACAAAAAACAACGCTATCAAAACACCAGTGCATAACCTCCAACCAACATTACCTGTGCTATCCAAAGTTTATGAAAATGTCCCTCCCGACCTCTGGTTTTATGACATATCCGGCTGTAATAACATTAGGCAAACCTCCTCATGGCTGCAGTCTGTGCCCATTCCCTCATAATCCCTTGGCGGTAAAACCCATATGACCTGTATTACTCATCTCCCTTGTCACGCCAGAATTATAATAATTTTCCCTCTCTCGCTGTGTCCTATTACTGTGCCATTTGGCGGTGGACCATGGAGCTTTTCCATCTGCATGCTAACCCCACATGCCATCTCCAACATCCACAGCACTGCAAAGGAACAGTTTGTCAGTTTGAGCTCAGGGTCTAAGGTCCCAGACAGAATATCAGCTCAGTCAGACTCTCTGTAGCTCTAATTCCTCATATGTTGAGGATGAGGAGGTGTTCAAATACTTAACCAATTAAGAAATTTTACTACTGCTGATGAAAATAACACACACACACACACACAGTCGTCATAATACATGAATACTGATTTGGAAATATGTATTCATCAGCCTGGTTCCATTTAACATATGAGCAGTGAAATAAGGATGCCTTGAGAATTTAAAGTTCTCAGGTTTGATTGATTGATCAAGAAAAAGACCATCTTTTGTAATGTGTCATCTTAGCGCCCCCGTGGTCAAAGCAGCCGTTGTATATTTTGTCCTTCACATGCTTAAGTCAAGTTTTCTGACACAAAAAAATCTCATTCTGTGAATTTTGACCATTTAATCTATCGATTGTTGTGGTTTTGTGCAAAAAATTGTAAACACAAGTCTGTTTCCTCTGCTGCACAGCCACCACCAGCCCCCTCATAACAGTATCAGGTATTACAATTACAAAATAAAAATGATCAATCTTTTTACTCATGGTCTTATTTGCCTTTTTATTATATCATAAAAAGGCATTAACCTGAATTCAGTCTATCTCATAAACCTAAGAAAAACTCCTTTTCAGAAATGTATATTGCATCAAGATTAAAGCAAAGGGTAGCTTGAATCTTTTTACATCACATAAAAAAGTGTTTTCTCTGTCAGACTCTTTTGAATCTTTTGTGACTTTTTTCCATGTTGCATTTAAAAGAAATCTGATGTACCGTGAAGAAAAGACCTATAGTCTTTTTTAGCTTTTGCAGATAATTAAGAGGAATCAGTGTTCATTTTAGAAACTCCTCACTTGAGCATTAACTCTAAACTCTAAACTACATGTTACCAGCTTAGAATGAAGGTACAGATGTTTGACAAGGTCTTAACTGTACTGTTTGGTCCATAAAAATATAATCACTGGGTTTATTTTCTCAGCATCACTGCCACTGCCGCCAGCATCGGTGCAGCAGGAATCCCACAGGCCGGACTCGTAACCATGGTGATTGTGCTGACCTCAGTTGGACTGCCCACTGATGACATCACTCTCATCATTGCTGTTGACTGGGCGCTGTAAGTTACGACTCAATCCATCCTGCTGAATCCAAGTGAAGTCAATAAATCAGGGCGTGGCTTGTCTAGTTTAGTTTTCAAGTACATTATATAATTATTCCATATGTTTAAATACTTTAAGCTAACATGTTGCATCAACCTGCATCAAACATTTAATAATCTGGAAGCACTGTGATCATTTGTGTTTTGAAAGAATGAATAATGTCATATTTCTCTGACTTTCATCATCACCATGAATGACTTTGAATATCTTCACACAGGGACCGATTCAGGACCATGGTAAACGTGATGGGTGACGCTCTGGCCACAGGCATTATGGCTCACATCTGCAGAAAAGACTTTGTCAAAGAAGGAGAGCAGGTGAGCAAGCTCAAGGACAAATCTGTGAACCAATGTGTGATTTCCGAGGATGTGAAGTATCATTTCAGTGTCCCCTGGAAACTAAAATGATACTCCACATTTGACTCTTTGAACTTTGTGTGACTGACAGACAGAAAAGGCTTTCATGGGATGAAATATAGAGTAAAAATGAGGTAACATGTCTGATTTCAAGGCTAAAGCAAGGAGTGGTTCAGTATGAAGGAGATTATCGTAGCTCACTGTGTTGTTGTGGATGCTGCTCTGTGTTTGGAAATGAAGCAGCCATAGGGACCGCTGGTTTACACATCATGCTTCTTTCACCAATGTAGCAGCATTTTCAGAGAAGTATTTCCTCATTAAAGCCAGAGGACACCAAAAAATGTGGTGGAGGAGAGTTTAAGACTGTTTAAGACTGTCCCAATTGTCCTGTTTAGTGTGAAAGAGTTTAAATGAAAAGAGTTGTTGTTCGTGTATCTAATTTAAGTGACATTCACCCATTATTTGGATACATATATTCACACAACTTAAAATCCTACCCATTTTTTTCCTCCATGTTTTAACACGTTTTTACATAAAATAATATTCCTGTCAAGAGAAGGGAGGGGAGAGAGAAAACAAAGAGATGATTCTGTGGAGAGAAAAAGCAAACAACAAAGCAAAGCCAGGGCGAGGTGCTCACCTCTGCTGGGTCAGGCTGTACGCTCTTCCTCGACCCAACCTCCCTACTTTAATAAAACAAAAGAGTCATCACAATGATGCTTTTAAACTGCTACAAATAGAAGTCTGTTCTAGTCTGTTCTGTCTCAGAGGAGATATAAAAGTGATCGCTGAGTCTGCTGACCAGATTTTTTCAGCCAGCTTGTTCCAAAGCTTTGGGGCTCTGAATGTTCCTGCTCTGTCTCACTTTTTTTTCCTGCCAAACGTTAAGGTCACATTAAAGGTCTCCACCTGAGAAGCTCCAGCTGTGTACTGACTTATACATGACCAAGAGTTCAGATATGTGGCATAGAGAAAAAAAACTTATAGCATACATGAATATAGAGAAGGAGATGGAATATTATTCTTAGTTATCCTAAGTCTTCTGACAGACATGAAAACTATCATCTCACTCTCTCATACTTCTCATTTCTTCCATCAGGTGCCTCTGATCTGTGAAACTAAGCCCATGATAAGCATCCAGCAGATGATGACCTACCAGAACCAGAAGAACGGCTGCTACCAGCCGCCTCCACCAGGAACCAAGCAGGACCACCTTAACCCAGATGTGGCACGGCTGATCCAGCTGGAGGAGGGGATCAGGCCCATGGAGAAAAAGAAACATGCTCACACCTCTCACCACAAGAGAGAGCACAGGGACAAGGACCACTGTGCCATAGATATGAACGGGCTGGAGACTAATGTATAAAAGCTGTCGCCACACTGACAGCGACCGGCTGACCATCAGCTGCAGCGCCGGCGGGAGAGGAAGTGAAAATGAAAGATTGAAGTGGCTAAGTTCACACACTTTTTCCCCTTTGAAAAGGAGAGCTGCCCAGTGTGGATGAATGCAGATAACCCTGGAGAAAAAGATGATTTTTCTACATATCTACCCACATTTGATTGTGTATGTTTGTTTGTTTGTGTGTACATATTTATCAGAAACACTTCATTTGGTACCAGCAATGACTGTATGCTGCTCTGTCTGACTAAGATGGTCCTCCATTCAGCCAGATCAGAGAGTCAGCCCGATTTAATGGATTTCAAATGAAGAACACGCTAGCTAAGATGAGATATCATTAAAGGAACCTCTTCCTTTGTGGACAATGGGGAAAAACATTCAGTGTATTTCTTTTTATTCATTATGATCTGGTTTGGTTTATTTTTAGGATTTTATTGGTTGGGGTTTTGTATAATTCTTTTTTTTTTTTCTGTGGTCATTCTGTTCTCAAAGATGAAACTCAGGAGAAATGTTGCCTGTTTGGAACATTTTTCCAAAACATTCACTGACTTACGAACAAAACACAACACAGAGACACTCAAAAAAGATTGAAATGTATTCACTCAACACACTGATGCTACTGTTTTTCCAAGTCAGGGTCAGATTTGGGGATCAAAAAGAGATTTTCTCTTATTTCCCCAGCTTTCTCAGCATGACTCTTTCCTGCACTTCTCTGCCTTGTTGTCCTGAGTCTCAGTGGGTATAATGCCTCATACATACCTGCATTACTGTATGGTTTAAGATGAAATTAATGGTGAGAAAGGAGACCAGTGTTTGCCCTTGTCTTGAGGTTGTTAGGTTGTCTTTGCATCCCATTGTATTCCCTCTTTGCCTTAAACAATCAAAGGAGAAGCATGCGGGACCAGAGACAACACAAGCCGACAGTCGCAGGTCACACTCTGAACTCTGTCCATATGTATGCAATATGTGCTGTACATTTAAGTATTAAAAAAAAAAAAACTATGAAAATGTAGATTTTACAACCATGTCAGATTGTTTTCAAAAGCTGCCATTCTGAAACATTTAACTGTAGTCCAAAACTGATCAAAATGTACCAACTCTGTACAAAAGAATTGATGAAGAAGTGAAAATATATATTGAAAATATTCAAATAGCACATGCTTGTAGTTATGTTTTCACTTTTGGGAACAATAGATTTTATATGCTTCACTAAATGTTCCAGTAAAAGGAAGTTTTAAGGGATTAAGACTGCAGTCGTGCATGAAAATCAGATTCATTTAAACAAATGAGCAAATGTCCTGTTCAAATATGAATATGTTAAATGGGTAAAGATAGGAGAATAATGACAGTCCCTGCAAAGTGTACTTCACAGAAAGTGGATTATTCAGATTTTTCTCATATATTATCTTCAGACTGACCTTCACTGAAGTCCCCTCTGTAAATCAATCACATTTTGGGTTTATTACATCCATCTATAACTTTAGGTATCGTCATGAACTGTTTCTATGACTCTTAGAAGAAAAACTATCTGATAGGGGACTCATTATATTTGTTGTTTGGGTTTATGAGTATAGCTGAGTTTGAAAGGATAACAGCTAGCTTAGATGCATTTCGCCTATTTGAGCTTGCCTGTCTTTATGTAGGCCTCCAACAAACCAGCTATGACTGTGGGCTAAAACAAATGCCAGCACAAAAAACACCTTGTAACCCTGTTCAATTTGTGTTTTATGAAGTTCTGCTTTCACTTTTGTTGAAGTAACTACGACCTCTTACTGTCTGCAGGGCCTTCCACTGGTGTACTGTAGAGATTAGCCTTGGTGTTAGCATTAGCCGCTAAGAAGCAGACTGCTAAATCCTTCCATTTACAGCCAATCTGTGGTTAGGCACTTGCCATTCCTGCTTTGGTTGGTTTTGGTCATTTCTGTATTTCGGTCTTATTTGGGTTTCACCATCTTGTGGCTTTGCGTGGAACTGAATTTCAGGGACAGGATTTTTATAAAGATTTTTAATTGTGCAATTAAATGTGTAGACAACTTTGGGTAGGCTTAACCGTGGGTTATTTCTTTAACAGCACACCACTGAAATGGATCAGGTCTTTACCAAGCTGTTACTCTGATAAACAAACACAAACAGGCTCACTGTAAACACGTCAATGTGCAGAGAGAACTCCGGAAATCTACAAAACTGAAGATGGTGCATGAGGTAAACAGTAAATGTAACACAGAATGGGACTGAATAGCACAGAGAGATTGGCTGTGACTAAGGCAGAAAACTCATTTAGGTCGTTTTTTCAAAAGAATGAATATAATCTATTTTCAACTAAACCATCACCAAATTCATATTTTGTAGAGGATGTTTGAGTTTCTACAGTAAGCAGACATGTGTTGGGTGGCATAATGCACATTGTGCAGGTTTACAATGTCTGAAACCCTTCAAGGTGAGCAGGATCCTCACATAAGGGCCCAAAGCCTCAACATCTTAATGTAGATTCATCACAATATCCTTGAATTATAAAACAAGCATGAAAGAAAGATTAGATAAGAAAAACTATATTGATCCCTGAAGGGAAATTCAATCGTTTCTGAGCAAAATGTTAGATGAGAGACACTGTACAAATGTGACAGAGCAAAACGTGGTATTATAAAATTGAAGGCTGCAGACCCACAGGTGTGCAGTCAGGTGAATTTTCACTGGTCACTGGGCAGGAATGACAAGAGCAGCCTTGGAGCATAAAAGGGTTATGAATGAAAGAAAAACACTTTTACCACAGCAACTTAGGGAAATGGCATTGAATGCAGCTGGCAGTCCAAAAAAATCAAAGAAGAGACAGACTGAGAGGACAGAATGTAAAAGTATGTTGGAGACAACTCCACGCCACACTGCTCATGAGAGGGCAATGTCATTGAGTGTTATCCCACCAGGTCTGAGACTCTATCTGATGATGGACAGCTGTTGCAGTTTTTAAGAGTTTTGTCCACATCCACCTGGTCACTATCAAAAATATTTATATACTTATATAAAAAGGACAGTTCAGTCAGACTCCTCTGAAATACGTATATCAAATCTTTGCTTGCATGCAGTCGTTGCTCTTCCCAGAAGAATTAATAAAGCATCTTATCACACATCAAGAGTTCAAGGGTATAAAGCTCAACAGGGCTAGCTTAAAGGGATAGTTTGGTATTTTTTAAATGAGGTTGAATGAATTATATGTCTCCAGTGAGTGCAATAGCAACAATGGATGCCAGCCAGCTTTACTTCTCAGGTTGCATTCAGGCTGGAGCTGTTTGGTCCACTGTAAACAAACCCTGGTCCATTTCCTCAGATAGTTCAGCTCTTTCAGAGTGGTGTGAAAGCTCAGCTGAACTCTGACCAGACAAGTGAACTCTGGCCTTCTTGAAAACATTGATTAGCTTCCAAGTGAACTCTGGTGCGGTTTGTTTGAGGTGGGAAAGCAAAGCAGACCAGCTTATAAATCAAAGGTTGTAAGGAAGCTCAGCGCATCTGTGTGGCAATACCTTGCTCAACCTCTGTGTCACTAAGGTAACATGTAGTGTTACGCTTTTATTCGGGCTTGCTTTCTTTTTGTGTACTGACTCATTTGTCTCATGTAAGGAACAACATGCCTCACCTGCTGCTCATGCTGGGTGCTTTCTCGTGAAACAAATGAAAAAACACCAAAGCAACAGCAAAAACCCCAAGGCTGCATTGATTAGTGTTGCTCCATTGTTTGTGTGTTGAATGAGCTGGAGAAGGGAATGAATTTTCTTTACCTGGTGTGGCCAATTCATGAGCTATTTTTTTCTTATTCATCTGCGTCTGTTTGTTTGGAACAATACCACCACAAACCATTGTAAGTGTGTGTTGTTGTCCAGAACCCCTAACCCAAGTACCCCAAAACCTTCTTGTATGAAAACAACCTTAATGACAAACTAGAGCTGGCACACATGCTAGGATATAGAGTCAAGTCTGCCATGTAAATTCGAGATTTAGATTTTGAGAGACTCCAACTCAAGCACTCATTTTAGTCAAGTTTACACTCCACTGAGGAATTTTTCAACACTTTGCTACCCACCAAAATAAAGTGAATTCTTTGAGCTGTTATCATTTAATTGCCTCATTTGACTGTGGCAAACATCGCTGTCTCAGATCAGACGTTGATACAAATGTGCAATGTGATATTTTGCTGTGGTATTAACTTAAAGCTATTATCTTCTCAATGAACTTAAGCCTGGGGAGGCAAAGTTTGAGAAGTGCCATCTGTTAAAATTCCTCACATCCAAATCATATTTAGTATCACTATGTGCGGCTCTTAAAAGCCGACGAGATTGAACTAGTCAGCTCATAGTTATTACATTCAGATGAAATATGTCCTCGATAATTCTGTCCTGAGGCTAAAAGACAGCACACGTCATTTGTTTCCACGCCCACAGAACTAATCACTTTTTCTGTTATTGTAAGTTTCAGGATACACTTGGTTGATATTAAAGATATTAAAAGTTCAGAGCACAAAAAAGTTTCCTAAGTTGACTTGAGGCAACGCAACACTGTGTCACCTCATTTAACCATACCCACACAGTATTTGTTACAGTCTACATCCTAAAGACCCATTTGCCCATTGCTAATGGTCAGTGAAACAGGCCAGCCCTGCAGCTTGGGCAGCATCTGAATGTAAGCGTTTGGCCAGCTGGACACCTGGCAGAGGGACAGAAAGGGGGAAGGGCCAAAGGAGTGAGCCGGATATAAGGGAAGAGGAACACAGGCTGGATCTGGCAAGGTCCACAGAGGAGGGCAGGGTGGGTTAACAGGCAGAGGGCAGGGGTCAACTCAGGAATAAAAGGAAGTAGGGCACATGGACTGCAAAAATTCAACAAAATGTGCTTTTGTTTTGTATTTTATTTTATTTTTTTTATTTGCACTGAATAGAAAAGACTTTGAGCTCATACATCAAATTGAAGTGGAAAGCAGATTTGTCAGGACTGGTCAACATATTTCTGTAACCTTGATTGGAAACTCATTTAAAAAACGTATTGAATATATTGACATTGTTGGCAGAAAAAAAGACAAAATTGGTTGCAAATGAATTGCGTTGTTGGTAATTTATCATGCTGCACATTTGTCTGCTGTGAGCTGTCATACCAACTAGCCTGAGTTAATGAGGGATGAGCTATCTCATATCCTCACCATCCCTGCAGCAGGCCTGGCATGTAAAACACTAGCCAGGAGGTGACAGGCAAGACAAACAAACAAAAAAACCTGCTGCAAAAACCGGCGCTGTCTGTCTCATTTGTATAAGCAGACCTTGACCACCATGGGAACCCATCAATCATGTGTGAGCACTTGAGAGAAAGAAAAGTATCAACAAGCTTTTTCTTCAACTGTGATATTCAGCTGAACAGCCTGAAGTTAGGGTCACACTGGGATTTTTCTCTCTTTACATATTCAGTCCCTCACCTTTAAATCTTTCTCCTCAGACACTTAATTTGTTATCTCTTCTTTTCTCCTTCCACTCAACAATGAGCAAACTCTGACTGCGTTACCAAAGCGACAAGGCTACATACCAAACAAAGTCATCCATCTCATATATCATGAAGTTGAACGCCAAAACAGAAAATGGTTTGAAGTCAGACTAATGATGGCATATTTTGAGTTTAGAAGAGTAATGCAAAATTTAGACGCTGATAGATATATCAAAGCAATAAGTGACTCTTTAATCCATCTAGTTTATCAATGAATTGTTTTTAAATAATCAATGACTGACTTCAAACAGGCCTTGAGTTATAACTCTGTCTGAGATTGTTCAGAGGCATTGCTTCCTACAGAAGAGGATAAGGGCCACTTAAAAACGTCTTTTCAGAATTCTGACTTAAACTCTGCAAAACAGGCAGACGGGCTGATGTGCTTGTTCCCAGTGAGAGAACCACTGGACCAATCAGTGTTATTTCAGGAGAGAGAGGCAGTAGTCACAGGCATGTGACAGTCACTTCTATCTGATCTTTTAGATGATGCTTTTAAATCTATCAGTGGCCAATTTAAAAAGAAAGAAAGAATAATGACATGTCTAGTTGTGTTAGCAACAAGCTTGTAAACAATGGTGGCCCGCGGCATAGAGTCTAACCAAATTTTAACTGTATTTGAATCAGAAATACAAAACCCAATTCCATTGAAGTTGGGAAATTGTGATAAACGTAAATAAAAACAGAATACAATGATTTGCAAATCCTTTCCAACCTTTATTAATTGAATACACTACAAAGACAAGATATTTGATGTTCAAACTCATAAACTTTATTTATTTTTTTTTTGCAAATAATAATTAACTCAGAATTTCATGGCTGCAACACGTGTCAAAGAAGTTGGGAAAGGTGGCAAAAAATACAGAGAAATTTGACGAATACTCATCAAACATCTATTTGGAACATCCCACAGGCGAGCAGGCTAATTGGGAACAGGTGGGTGCCATGACTGGGTATAAAAGCAGCTTCCTCAAAGTCATTCACAAGCAAGGATGGGGCGAGGTTCAACCCTTGGGAACAACTGCGTGATCAAATAGTCGAATAGTTTAAGAACAACGTTTCTCAAAGTACAATTGCAAGGAATTTAGGGATTTCAACATCTACGGTCCATAATATCATCAAAAGGTTCAGAGAATCTGGAGAAATCACTGCACGTAAGCAGCACGGCCAGAAACCAACATTGAATACCCGTGACCTTCAATCCCTCAGGCGGCACTGTATCAAAAACTGACATTAATGTGTAAAGGATATCACCACATGGGCTCAGGAACACTTCAGAAAACCACTGTCAGTAAATACAATTTGTCGCTACATCTGTAAGTGCAAGTTAAAACTCAACTATGCAAAGCCAGAAACGCCGCCGGCTTCTCTGGGCCCAAGCTCATCTAAGATGGGCTGATGCAAAGTGGAAAAGTGTTCTGACGAGTCCACATTTCAAATTGTTTTGGAAATAGTGGACGTCATGTTCCCCGGGCCAAAGAGGAAAAGAACCATCCGGACTGTTATCTACGCAAAGCCAGCATCTGTGATGGTATGGGGGTGCATTAGTGCCCAAGGCATGGGTAACTTACACATCTGTGAAGGCAACATTCATGCTAAAAGGTACATAAAGGTTTTGGAGCAACATATGCTGCCATCCAAGCAACGTCTTTTTCATGGACGCCCCTGTTTATTTCAGCAAGACAATGCTAAGCCACATTCTGCACGTGTTACAACAGCGTGGCTTCATAGTAAAAGAGTACGGGTACTCGACTGGCCTGCCTGCAGTCCAGGCCCGTCTCCCATAATGTGGCATTATGAAGCGGAAAATACGACAACGGAGACCCGGACTGTTGAACAACTGAAGCTGTACATCAAGCAAGAATGGGAAAGAATTCCACCTTCAAATCTTCAACAATTAGTCTCCTCAGTTCCCAAACGTTTATCGAGTGTTGTTAAAAGGAAAGGTGATGTAAAACAGTGATAAACATGCCCCCTGTCCCAACTACTTTGGCACATATTGCAGCCATGAAATTCTGAGTTAATTATTATTTGCAAAAAAAAATAAAGTTTATGAGTTTGAACATTAAATATCTTGTCTTTGTAGTGTATTCAATTTAATACAGGTTGAAAAGGATTTGCAAATCATTGTATTCTGTTTTTATTTACAACTCAACTTCAATGGAACTGGGTTTTTGTACAAATGCTGTTTTCTACTGTTAGCTAGAAGCATTTTAAAAGCACTTTCTCAACCCTAACATCCCAGCATCCCAGCCTTTCTCTATCCAGTCTGATGTGAGCTGAGCTACAGATGATTAACAAATCCTTCATGCACATGATGAACAATTAGACAGGAGTTTGCTGATTTATTCACAGTTTAATTTCAATTTGTTACACTCGGGGTCTGCTGTTAGTCAATACTTGAGGTGATGTTCTCCATATTTATAACAACATCTAGAAAAATAAATCGTTATCTTTAAAAGGCTGCAGGCTAAAAAAATGAATGAGTACTTCTTGTTATTGTGTTTAGGCCTCTACTGATTTCTTAGACTCATCACTTATCACCACATTAGGTGTTAAAACTCAGACCTGTGCTTATAAGAAAACACAGTCTCTTAGTCCCTTATAATAAATGACAGGTGTGTTTACTGAAAGGACTCGATATGCTGAAATGTTAGCAATACTTTATTATTGGAAATCAGTTCATTCCCTCCATTTACTGTTGCATATTTTATATAAAGTTATCTATCAAAGTGGTTGCAGTCAAGCAGCTGTATATCACATGATTAATTATAGAAAATTATATGCTATACAGAGAACAATAAAGGCACATCAAGTGTTTGGAGAGAGAGATAAAATCAATCAAACAGGGGGAAAAAATTACACTTCTGTGTCATTTGCAGTGATTTTGCAGATATTCAACCCCCTTTGAGACTCACTGGATGTACCTTTGTTTCAATCAGGTTAAATGGAATCAGATCAGTAAGATCTAATGTTAACAACTGTCCATAAAATTTGCAGTGTGATTTTAAAGTAGCAGCTGGAACTGAAACTTTATGGACCAAAGATCAGAAAATTATCAGTAAATTCAAAAAGAGGGATTATGTTTTGATGTTCCTTCAGATGATCAAAATCTGTCCTCGATTCTCACAGTTTGGCTTTTCCAGGTGAGATCTGGAGGTTCTGCAGCTTCATGGCCATGCCCATGTTTCCTGTGATCTTCAGCTTCCCTTTGAAGAATGCCTGAGGACACAGAGGCCAGGAGGAATTTGATCAGTTTTACAAAAATAGGTTTGTTACTTACAAATGGATTTCTTAAACCACTCAACTGGCAGTGAGATGGTTTCATGGACCGAAGACCTTTAACTGACCCGCAGTGAGAAGTGTTTTTAAGAGAGCAGAGCTAATGTAGCACCAATCTTCTAACAACCTGTCCTGAATGCTCTGTGCACAGTTGAGAGCTGATACACTGGTTGTGTTCTATGACTAAATAGCCCCATTTCTACTCACTGCAACTTTAGAAAAATGTTGGTGAATGAGGCCCATTACTCTCTACCAATATTCAACTTTTTAGAACTTAAAAAAAGTTGTTAATGACATTTTGTAATGATCCTGTTGATCACTTTAAGAACAGAAAAAAACAGTAGTAGACAGAGCAGGGAACAGCAGGAAGGGGACAGACATAAGTGGTAGAGAGCATGAGAGAGAGAGCTGTAAACATTATCGACCATGAGAGAGGATTACACTATAACTTAAGTGAAGACGAAATAGCAATGGTTATTTTCTCCTCTATCTCAGGTAAGGGAGCCTGTCAAATTCAAGTCGTTGCAAAGATTTAGTTAGTGCTCATTGTGCTCCTCCACCTTAAAAATCAAAACCAAGCAGAGGCTGTGAGTTCTCCCTGAAGTTAACACCAGGGAGTACTGGATTTTGGTGCCTGTGATGGGATTAGATTTCCAACTAACACAGCTGAGTCAATATTTTGCACTCACCAGGAAGTGTCTGTGTACAGGACTTATTTGGTTAAGTTTGGCAGAGAAGTAAACCAGCAAACAAGAGGATTTTTTCCATCTTTTGATAATTTTGTTTTAACACCATGTTCTACACTCATGAAGTAGGATTATTAACATATGCACATTTTTGGTGGAAGAAACTCCACAACCAGGACTTTGCTGGGTTCAAGAGCAAAACATTGAGAGTGCATATTTATGTTATTCTGAGATTTATTACTACACCAGAGCAACATCATGACACCAGGCTGTGAAGGGTTAAGTTTGACTGTTTTTTTATAGCTCCAAGTCAGCACACTACCTAATTCCTCTGCATCCCAGAAAAGTCATGAACAAATCAAAGTAGTATAACAAAAAATGATCTCTACTCTATTCACTCGCCTCCATGTTACATGCACACATGGCATCTCTATGACAGGCAGAGATAATGCTCATGGGAAATGCAGTCCTCCTCCTGTGAGCAGTGTTAACTTTGCTGTCAAAAATAATAACAGATACTCTTTTTTTTCTAACAATCATTTATGTGTGTAAGTGCACTGGTATCAATTGTCTCCATTTACTTTATTGTCATTAGACGATTTTCCAACCTGTGCATGCCGGTAAGAAGTTTTTTCACAATCTGTATTGAAAAGTCAAACATGTAACTATCAGCTATTCTACAAAAAGGTAAACAATAGTCATGCAGGTAGCTAGCATCACAAGCGCAGGTTAGTTAGCTCTATGATAGCAGTCTTTGACAAGGTCACAAAACTCAACATTACACCTACTGGTGATCAGAATGAGTTGCTAAATGTCTGATTGTTTACTTAAGCAAAGCCAAGTTAGATTATAGCACGTGTCAACTTCCTCCTCCTAAAATCTAACCTGTGATTTTAACAGATTCATATACAGACCCGAGTTATTCTGCAAAAAAAGCAGTTGAATGGAGTAGTGAAAGGAGAATTTTACAAGGAAGTTTAAGTTAGAAACACATTTTCAGCCAAGATGACCATATATATATATATATATATAATAATCTTTTTAATTTACACTCAAATTTGTACTATTCTTAAACATATCTTTCTCAAACAAAGATCATTAAACTGTCTGGAAAAGTTTTGACGCTGAATGAAATTAGACTAAAATGAAAACTGACTGCCTCTGACCAAATCTTGACTAAAACAAACACAAGACAGATGGACTAAAATGCAGCTAAAATTAACAACAATTTTGTGAAAATGACTAAAACTGATTTAAAATTTCTTGACATATTTAACGCTGCCTGAAAGAGTCCTACTGATTTCACTGATTTACAACTACTGATTGTAAAAAGGTCTCCAGAATTACACGTCAAAGCCCCAAACAGATCCTTTAATAACTGCAGCTGAGATCATTTTATCTAAGCTTCAACTTAGATAAAATGAGCGGTGCACTTGTGGGTTTACATATCATAACTGAGATCTAACCTTTTCCAGGTTTCTTGATGCTAGTAGCTTTTTAAAAGCCAGTTAAAAACCACAGTGTATCCCTGTGTCTATGTCCACTTTATTATCTGAGCTGCAGCTGTGAAAGTGGTTGTGGTAAATAAGAAGAAATATGGATACCATTAAGTTACAAAACCAACATATCAGGAGACTTTTATAAATGTATTACTTTTAGAGTCAATGAAGGAAGGTCTTTTATATTTCCTGTCACATATTTTATGTGTGAAAGCTGAAATTAATAAATACACACCGTTTGTGGGTTCAACTTTCCGGTCATCAGATCCAGAAGATCCACATCACTCATGGCTACAGTGCAGTCTGCCTTTGTACCTTAAAGGAAAAAACAACAAATGTATTTCACTTACAGTAAATTGCTTTTCTTGATACATTTATGGGGGGAAAAAACATGAATCAAATCACATATGAGAAAGATGCTTGTCATTTTTTATATAACTGTTCTGAACAACAAACACTTGGCATTTATCTGACTCCCCACTTGTATAGAAACGTGTGCGTCAGCAACGGAAGCTCCTTTCTCTAAAACAACAATCTGAAAAGCTTTATGACTCATCTTTTCTGATTCACTATTGGTTTTATCGAGTTTTTCAGCACAAGAGGTCTCTACCACTTTGATAAAGGAATATATAATCTTTTCGCCATTGACACACAACCTTTGTTCAAGCTTTAAGACTATATTATCATGACAGATTTCAATACCTGCTTGTATGTGCCTGTGGTTTTTACATAAACTCTTTCTTTATTGCAGAAAAATCCAAGAGTGGCTTTTGTTCCATTTAAGCATAGACAAAGGAAGCGCTTTTACATAAATAATGCCCAGTATAAGAAATGAAAACCTTAAGGGTCTTTGTAATAAATCTGTTTGCAGCATGGTTGCTGAACCTATTTTTTCCAAACTCAGCATGAACAAGTACAGCGATGTTAAAATCCAGCAGCCTGAAACTCTGTCTGCTGAATTTAAATTGAACTTTTAATAAAGCCTACACGGCTTTCTCTAGTCTGTTAATGAGGTAATGTTTATGTATTAGAGGTAATAGTGAGTAACAGATGTATCTGCTGTGATAGGGTGCAGCTCAGTGGACAGAAATTAAGATAGTAAGAATGAAGTCTAAAATGTGGTCAAAGTCAGATCTAGTCTTCTACAATCATAATCATTAACATCTTCCAATATTAATCAATAGCTCCACTGTTATACAGTAAAGAGACTCCAAAATCACCACACACACCAAGGAGTCTCTGTACTGTATGACAGTAGAGCTATTGATTTCTGTTTGCAGGGTCTTGCTCTTGTACTGTGAGACGTTCCCTGCGCACTCACCCGGCTACTGGCTGTACAAAGAGATCAATATTATTCATCCAGCTCCAAGAACGGCTTGTTTTTGTAACAAGACAGTTTTTGATTCTTGTAGCTAGTAGTCTGTGCTATTACCGCGCGAAAGAGGGATCATTTGTGTGTGGACAACATTTCGCCTCAGAGTTATTGATCCCAGAAGTCCGGGTCTCTGAATATCTTTCCAACTTTACCGAACTCTGTAAATGTAAACTCGATTAGTCCCTTAGATCGACACCTGCATTGACTCAAGTTCACACGGACACTGGACCACGTGAAGCCAGACATGTCAGTGTTGGTAATGCTGAATGAATGAGGGTAGATTTAGTGTCCTGGATAGATGGATGGCTGAGGCATTAGGGTCCAGAGCTGCAAGAATTAAACAAACTTCCTCTAAATCCCCCTGGCAGATCCCGCTACTTAATTTGAATTCTCTCGTGGCCACGCATTAACATTTTCGTGGCCACGAGACACTAACTCGTGGCCTCGCATTAATTTTTTTTTCTCCGGTGTCACCAGAGGGGATCTGTAAGAAGCCACAGAGAAACTCCCACACCAAATTTTGAAACAAGTTCGCCTATGAAGAGGTAGCCAGTGTAAGAATTTTAAAACTGGAGCAATGTGGTCATTTTTCTCTGTTTTTCTCAAGATTCCAACAGACTTGAAATGCTGAAAAGCTTGTTGTGAAAGCTCAGTGAAAAGACCATTATGATAGTCAAATCTGCTGACCACGAAGAGCTCCAAAGGTCTTGCTTTGACATTATTCCTCCGTCTGACTCTGGCATTGTTTTCAAATGTTGACAGGATAAAGACAACGATGTTGGTGCTCGACTCTAAGCTGTAGGAGAGCTGCAGGTGAAAGCTGACACTTAAGGTTCCTTTTCAAGGCAAAAAGACAACTAGGATTTTCTTATATAAGATGAGTTAGAGGAAATTTTGCTGCATCAAGCCGCTGATGTGATTAGGTTTTAGCATGATCTCCTGGTGCAGGGGAAATGTATGTTTGGATATCATTCACTATAGACAGCTGCATTTATTACCGAACATGCAGATGAACAGTAAACCTGTAATGATGCTGCAGACTGGGTATAGATTTGGACTGGGAAAGTAGGTCAAAAGATACATTACCATTAGAAAAAAATACATAAATAGGTCTGCATTAAACGAGGGAAGCATTACTATCATTTAGCAAGTTCATAACATCAGATATAATTTCTTTCTCTGTTCTCTCTCCAGTGTGACAACTCATGAAGCCCTCTACAGGGAAAAGAACAAGAGCCAAAGAGGGAGAGTTGGGGAAAGATTTTTCCATTTTTTAATCAAAGGTGGCCAAAATAATGACATATTGGAACTTTCTCAATCATTACTTGAATATAAAATTTTCCAAAATGATCCTACCCTGAGGCAGTCGAGACCTAACCATTTGAAGCCAAATCTAATAAATTAATTCTGAAGCCAAAGACTATATTTTGTGCCAAATTCAAAGGCTGTCACCACCACAGAGCCAAAACAAGCTTTGATAAGAGTCATCTGAGATTCATCCCAAAGCAGCGGCATTGAAGGCTGTACCATGTTCAGGAAATATGTGCAACACTTGTACTTGAAGCGTACAAAAGAGATGGCAATACATGCATAATTTTGTATTTAAACTCTCTGACTTTGCATTTGTACAATTTAGATGGAGGCCAAGGTTGAACAGTTATGCTTTCAAAACATTTGGATGCAGCTACTATTCAGATTAATGTTGATAGTGTGGTAGTAGTGAAAAATAATGCTTTTTGGTTAAAATCCTAGTTCCATAAAAGCTGGAACATCATGAAAAATGTCATTAAAACAGACCAAAAAAAAGGTAGAAAAAAACCCATCCCTTTTTATTTAAAAAATATGTGCTAATTTTATCTATAAAATAGACTCATATGGGGTCAAAAAACTGAAAAATTAATTAATGCTTCAAAACACAACTGGAGGAATGTCTCACAACTAATTACAATTATTTACAGCAGGTTATGTACATGGCTAGGTATAAAAAGGGCATTTCAGGGAGGCTGATTCTCACAGAAGTAAAGATGGGAGGGAGTTTCACAACACTGTGCGAAACTGTGGGAGCAAATAGTTAATCATTTCAGAATTATGTCCCTCAATGCAACATTGAAGAAAAAAAAAGAAGATTTCATCATCTACAGCAAAGAATATTAAAAGAGAATCTGGAGAAATTTAGGTGGCACTGCATAGGGGCTTGCGCAAAGGGGAAGGTGCTACAATGATAACAGTATGTACAGGAATTACAAGTTTTGGAGTAACATAAGCTGCCATCCAGACAATGCCTTTTCAGGAAGATATCACATATTTCAGCAAGAAGATGCCATACCACATTCTGCACATATTACAATATTTTGGCTTGCCAGCAGTCCATACTTGTCAACTGTTGAAACCATATGGCACATCATGAGACAAACAAACACAACAAAGGTGACACAAAGCAGGTGAAATCCTGCATCTGGCAAGATAATATCTTACTTAAAAACTCTAAAACTGGTTTCCATCAAATTTTGTTTTTACTGACATGACACAGAAACACTTACTCTCAAATATTTATGTACCACATGTCACAAAGTTATCGAAATACTAACCAATTTAACTGCACATAGAATGTGTATTTTTTTCATACAGGCCTAAACTGGTACATGAGATATTACCATATGCATAAAAATATGTATAAAAATGTTGGTGGAAAAAGACAGTTTATCTAAATAGTGAATTAATGAGGACTGAGGATTGAGCCTTGAGGGACCCCTCAAATCAAGTTAGAAAATTGAAAGTCACCATGGAGACAGTCATAGCAGAATTTACTAGAATATTCACAAACTCCAATTAAATTCCAAGACTTAAATCACGACTACCTGATATAATGTTTTGGATAGGTTCATGAATGCCCCTTGTAACCTGAAATGACTGTTTTTTGTTTTTGTTGTTTTGTTTTTTGCCTATTTTCATGATCTAATCATTCTTTACAACTAGAATTCATGTTTACACTGTTCATGTCATTTCTTTCAAGATTACATTCATAGATGAAGATCACATTATGATTACTATTTTATAATTATAGATACAGGCTGCTTTAAAGAGATTTTATTTGACTTTTGGTGAGCAGTGTCCACAGCCTAAAACAGAATCCCACACTTTCACTAAATTATCAAGGTCAGTTGCTTCAAAGTCATCTTTAAAAGTGGGCATTTGTGTTTCGTTATCCAAAGAATACAATCATTTAACTGTAAGAGTTCAGTTGTGGTTACCTTTTTTCACTCCTGTCAGTGCTCTGTATTACTATTGTGTTCATAATTGCAAATAGGTACAAAGTATTTTCATAAAAACAAAAACACCCATCAATCAATCAAGATTTCCTGAAAATTACTTTCTATCTCTGGAACATTCATTGGGGTGGAGTGGCAGGGGTTACTTCAGAGATAATGGCTTAGTTCCAGTAAACATCACGAGAGAAGAGCCCTAATGGAAACAGTCGGGGAGCTATTTATGAGACAGTGAGGGAAGGTATCTTTGTGTGTGAGTGTGTGTATGTCTGTGTATTTCTGTGTGTGTATTGAGGCCTAATCAGCTCATGAAGGCAGAACACACCTTATCTGACATGACCTTTGCCTCCGGCATATCAAGGATATCAGAAAATGCTTCAGGCATCAAACTGAATGACAGGAGGTTGGTCTATTACAGACTGTGTGATTGCTTTTTTACCTGAAGTGTGTTTTTAATGAGCCACATGTTCCAATGTCTAGTGCAGCAGCAGCTTGATCCATCTTCAAGTAATAAAAAGATTTTCAAAAATACAGTTTTTGCAAGCACTTCCTCAAATGGTTCATTAATGAGTTTTCATTGATTAGTAGACGAACCAATACACAGTGAGACAGCCAAAACAGAGTGGTGCAATGCCAATCTCCTCACTCATCTCCTCACTCATTAGCTCACAGATTGCATGTGTGACTGTGCTGAATACTTGATTCTAATTGGTCAAAGCTTCATCACAGTGGTTTTTATAGCTCAACAGCAAAAGAGACATCAGTGACAACCTAGTCAATAAAGGAAAAAAAGTAAACAATCTTTGTCACAGTGCTTGTATTTGGCATTTTTGATATTTTTCTTGTTCTAGTCTCCAAAAATAATGATATTGAAATGAGGAATAAGTAAGAACCAGAGGCAGAAAAGACAGCCCAACTCAATTTACTAACCAATGTAAAAGCCTGATGTCAAGAAAGTCTGTGAGGCCTCGGGGTTTAGGCTTTACGGTGTAGGTTGGGCCTTGATCAGTCAGACAGCAGACAATGAAACATTGTGACTCATGAGAGACAAATTGCCACGACATTATATTGATGCCTAGGTCTTTGCATTTTAACTATATTTAAGTTTGACATATCTTAGACCCTATTCAGTTATCAGATTTTAAAAAGCCCATCTACAATATGAATGTTAAGCATAAGAGCTCAATCAGAACTTGCAATAGCTTCATTTGTGTAGTCAATTAAATGAAGGGGTAATTATCTCATTGCATCCACACACAGAGTAAAAGACTTATACTTTACGGTATAATGTCTGTGGAGGCAAACAGACATGGGTGCAAAAGGAATTAAATATATAAAAACAATTTAATAGTCCAAACAGCTACTTTCCTATAGGAGCAATAAGAGCAACACTGCTGTGCCTCCATTAAGTCCCTGTTCTGAAAGAATTGCTTGTGAATTGAATAATTATGAGGGGGAGTAAAAGGGTTTTTCTGGTAACTGAATGCTCTCGTAAACTCCAGAAGTGGAAGAAGTAATTGGTGGGTAGTAGTCCTATTCAAGTCATTCTGTTGTCATGACTATATCCTGCCAGTTAGCAGCAAAGCACAAGTTCCCATGGTGATGTACTCAGGACAGTCTTTCTTTCTGACTGCTACACAAGAGTCCAACTTCTTTAAGCAAAACAAATATAACAAAACATAGCAGAGTCAATACAGGAGAAAAGCTACGAAAACTCTTTGAGAGGGAAGAAGTCGATGTATGGAATGTGATCCGCCTCGACACAGGAAAAAAAAAGTCTTACAAGCACAAAAACATGGTGGAAAAATGTGTGTGTCCTCTGTTAAGCAAGAAAAAGGCACAGTGAATAAATCCAGTCCATGTTCAATGAACACAAAAACTATTGTTTGTGTGTTTACAGTGCTAAAAAAAACGGTTGTGTAGAAAAGTGCTGAAAGAAGCAAGATTTTTCCTCTGTGTCACAATACAGCTTGTGTGCTAAGGATTTAAGTCAAAGTGACAAAGTCTTTGTGTGTAAAAGATCAAGGAGAGAGTCCTTGCAGAGTTTTAAAGAACGCTGCAGACTTCTTTTCAAAGTCACCTTTTGTGTTTTTTCCATCCCAACGATGTCATTACACTTCTTGTGTTTTCTTGAAAGTCAATTTTCAATGAATTCCAAATAGGAGGGATAAAAAAGGTGCTACCTTTATAATTCACATAACATAGTAATTACCGTTATTCTTTAAAGCATCAAAGGGAGGTTGACGTAAGCGTTACACAAAAGAGGTCTGCCATACTGAGTCCTCCGCTCATCTAGAGATGTTTAAAGTACATCTTTTCAAACACAGGGAGAGGTCTTGATCTGTTTTTTTTTTTTTTATGTTTAACACCTGTTCATAAGTCAAAAGTGGTCACAAAAACTGAGCCGTTTGTTTGATGAGTTTAATTTGGGCTATGATGACAGACGGAGTGGGTAATGATGTAGATCTGGGCTGCTTCCTCCCTCTATTAGCCTTTGTAAATGAGGTGTGGCACCCCACTAGGCCACTCTTTCCAAAGTACAGGATGTAGTATTGCGCAGCATTTAGTAGGACAAACTTGGTGGAAATGGAATAAAATATAAATATATTACTGTTCATATCAGTGTATAATCACAGAATTATAAAAGCCATTACATTAAGTACTATTTTTTAACTCTGAATGAGCCTGTTTGATCCACAGAAAAAAGGTACCCCTCTGCAAAGGTTACAACCATGTCTCTACAGTAGCTACTAATGGATTACAAACTTCTACTTCCACTTCTAAACCCTGCTCCTTTAAAGCTCCTATGTGTTTTTTTTTTCTAATAAAATAGGCTGAAATTTACACTGATGTCTTTTTATGAAACAGCAAAGCAAATGAGACCATCGCTGACATGACTGAATGATTTTTTTTTATATTTGACATTAATTTTGAATGTATGAATCCTTTGTGAGGGGGTAGGAGTCAGTTCAGCAGCTGTTTATATATTTCAGGTAATTTTTTTAATTTTAAAAGTCAGCAGCAGGAGAATTAATGCCAGAGGACACAACTCAAGTATGTGGAGGGTGAATAACTGCGTTGTCCACAGGGGGCGCCAAAGTTGACATAAGCTGAAAGGTTCCCACAGGAGCTTTAACTGGTTTGATTCATCCTGTTGAACTACTGGTTGATATTTACTGGTGACATGGTTTAAAACCTCTTACACATATATGTATTTATGTAGAAAGATATTGTCCAAAACTTCGGGATGAGCATTAATTTTGGATCCTTACCTGGGTCATTGGAGATAGAACCTTTGCCGTTTTTCACATCCACGATCCAGGTGGCCTCTTTTCCATCAGGTCCATCCTTCACTTTGAAAGCAAACACTCCACCGACCTTTTTGACAAGCTGCTCTCCTTCCTGCAGAGAGTTAAATGAGCATTGGGTCCCATGTTGTGGACCTTTTTATGTTGCAGAGTTGGAAAGGAGAAAAAAGCCTCCACATTTCAAATCAAATACTTCAGTGATACATTGTTAAGGGAACGTGTGCATGTACATGTACAAAATTCAGCACATCTTGACTCACTCCCGGTTCTGAAGTGGATCTTATCTTCATCAAAACATCATTGTCATCTTACCAAAAACTCCCCAACAATATTCTGTGGACTCACTCAAGCAGCAGACATAGTCTCATATTCACAACAAAAATCCAAACAAGAAAATAACAAAAATGGCCAAGATAATCTAGCTGCAGATCTCCACTGAGAGGACCCACCTCCACCTGGAAGTACGTATTTTTTGTCTCGTGTGATTATAATCTTTTTCTTTGGGCTTTATTATATGTATATAATGTTAATATGACTTTTGTGTATTCATGTCTTTAATAAATACTAAATACAAAACAGGATGACCACTTCAAACAAACTGGAGTACATGAAAAACATTGTCACCTCAGGTAACAGTGGAGGTCTTCAGCCAGATCCCTCTCAAAATCACTGAGAGAAATTAACAAAGTACATAACAACCCTGTCTGTTCTCAGAAAATGTAAAAGGCCCCCTGCAAACCTTCAATCAAGCTAGAATGTGTTTTGCATGGCAGCATACACTTAATGTCGGCCTGAGTACAATTGCAATCAATAGAAACACTGTATCCCTCATAAACATATGCCATTGGGAGCCTGCAGGCATTTCAGCAACAACTAACCACTCTGACATAACTGCTCCCACACATTATTCAGGTAAAATGACTATCTTCACAGGTTACAACTACAAATCAATAACAATCAATAACACAGGGACAAATGGTTTACAAGTGGTCTTTTTCTCTGATTTAACAATGATTGTCGCTTGAGGCATTTAAAAATATGCACATACACTTTATTATGACGCTGTTTGGGTTGCTGACATCATTCATGACAAAGGTCATGTTTACATCTCGAATTAAAATGCAGCCTCCTGGGTAATATGATCCTAAGTGGAGGGCTCTGGGAGCATCAGTTTACATGTGAAGTATGTATTTTCACAGGTGCCCAGAGACCACTTGTGATTGGATCTCACTTTAACCGCTGTGAATGCAAATCACCACATAGATTGTTTTTATTGTAAAAACCAACAGCTGTGGTGCAGAATCTGGAGTGGAACGAAAGAGCGAGCACGTAAATAAGGGCTGCAGCATACACTGTTTGAGTAACGCCACCTTAACATGTGCATGTGCAGTCAACTGTCAGTGTGTGACTCTGACGTCATATTCACAGTGAGAGTTTGAGGTGTCCAAACTTAGTGGTGATGTATCTCTGCAGCTTTCTGACAATTGTTACCAGTTCACCACTTTCAGATTGTTCACCAGCTGACCCCCCAACCCCAACCCCCAAGTTGGGACGCTGTGTAAACATGAATAATTACAGAATACAATGATTTGCAAATCTGTTTCCACCTATCCTCAGTTGAATACACTTCAAAGACAAGATAGTTATTCTTCAAACTGATCAAGTTTATTGATTTTTGGAACATGTTGCAGGCATCCAACTCAAAAAAACAAAAAAAACAAAGTTGATCTGTTTGAACATTACACAACTTGTCTTTGTTGTGCCTTCAACTGAAAAGGAGCTTTTTGTTCTTTTGTGTTTGAAAGGTGCCATTAAGTACGTTAAAATAGAGCTGAGTTGAATCAATGCCCGGTGTAAACACGCTCAAGTGTGCCTCCTTGATTGAAAATGTTTTGTGCATTATTGGAGGAGAAAACAGATGGAATTGGAAAAAGCTTTAGCAATTGACTTGATCATTTTTGTTGCATTTAATTGAAATTGAAAGTCTTTTAATACAAGTTTCCAAACATAAGGTGAGAAAAGTTTTTTGAAAATGATGTTACATTGTATTATAGGGCTACGTGCCGTGCTTGTTCTTCTTTACAAATAAAGCTCACACCTCTATTGTTGGTTTTCTATAGTTCATTTCATGAAATAACAATGGTCACTATAGTGAACACTTTGTAGCAGTGGAATTAAGTGTCTCTATGTTTTGTAAAAAAAAGGATTGTGGGCTCAGTAGTGGGATGTCACAGCTGGAGCTGTCTGCCTAATGCTCTAATTGATTCACAGTTTAATTGGTATGTCAGTGAATGCATCTGCTGCTGATACAAAAGCTTTGAAGAAGCATAAATTGCCCTCTGCCTCCAAAATGAAAGAAGATAAAATTATTCCATGAAGACATCCATCAAAAAAAGTGAAAGCAGTCTGACATCTTTGTGGAGCTCATGGTTACCTATATGTGACGAGACAATTGGACGACTGGGAGGAAGAAAAGTGGGACAAAGAAAATCTGAAGCATGGCTGCAATTAATCTACTGTGAGAATACATTTCCCAACAGATCAAACCCAGAACAACTTCATGAAGACATGAGGGTGGGTCTGCAGCTGGTCATAACATGTTTTCATACCTGCTGTAGATGTTTCTCAATCTCTTTGAATACAGGATAAGCTTTGAACCCCTCCAGACCACCATCTGAGCTGGTGGGCACTGCAGCAATATGGGACCTGAGAGAAACAGATCAAAGCAGCTAGATGAGAAAAACACACTATGAAAAATGACTCTGAAAACCTGATGGCTGACACAGAGGCAGCAGCATGTGAGACTCTAAACAAAGTCACCACACAGCTGGGTTAAATACTTGGATCTGATTGGTCATTCCCACACTGTATTGGTTTGTTATTTCTTGGCAGCACACTGTGCTACGATTACACATTTCTTGAAATCTTAGAGCCCTGTGAGTATTCCCTGATGTTACTAGATGGCACAGAGCTAAAAGAAGAAATGTAATTTAGGTGAAAACTTTAGAAAAAATATGTCACTGACAGCTTGAGAAGCCAAAGTTACTTCTGTGTGTGTCTCAAAATTGAATTTGAATGAAAGCTCAGAGGGTCTCCTTTAAAATAACAAAAAAAAAACAAGTTTGTAAAACAGCAGAAAAATACTGAATACTGAACGATGCTGAACATGAGTCTACATCAGATAATGATGACACAGCTGCCAGAGGAAAATCTATAATACCAAAATATGAACTACACACAAGGACCTTTTCAACAATAACCACTTTCCTTTGGATTAAAAAAGTGAACATTTTGGTGTCTATTTTGTCCCTGAATCCAGGTAATTCTCTGCAGCATACCTCTTATTCTTTAAGCCCCCAAACCAAAGTTGAACTTTTTGGGCATCATTGCAAAAGGTATACTTGGCGCAATATCAACACTGCTCATCACCAAAAGGACACCATACCCAGAGTGAAGCATGGTCGTGGCAGCATCATACTTTGGGGCTGTTTTTCTTCAGCTGGAACTGTTGCCATAGTCAGGGTGGAGGGAATTATGAACAGTTCCAAATACCAGTCAGTGTTGGTACAAAACCTTCGGCTTTCTGTTTGAAAGCTGAAGGTGAAGAGGAACTTCATCTTTCAGCACAACAATGACCCAAAGCACACATCTAAATCAATAAAAGAATGGCTTCACCGGAATAAGATTGAGACTTTTGAATGGCCCAGCCAGAGCCCTGACCTGAATCCCATCGAACATTTGTGGGGTGATCTGAAGAGGGCTGTGCACAGGAGATGCCCTCGCAATCTGTCAGATTTGGAGCAGTTTTGCAAAGAAGAGTGGGCAAATATTGTCACATCAAGATGTGCCACGCTGATAGACTCCTACCCAAAAAGACTGAGTGCTGTAATAAAAGCCAAAGGTGCTGCAACAAAGTATTAATTTAGGGGGAGGGGGTTATGCAAACAGGTTATTTTAACTTTTCTATTTTTTATTTTTCCCCTTAAAGGTTTCAGTTTGTTTTTCAGTTGCATTGTACAGGTTATAGGCCACATTAAGGTGGAAAAAGTTGTGAAATATTTATCTTGCTGTCATTTTCTGACATCACTAAAACCTGGCAGTTGAACAGGGGTGTGTAGACCTTTTATATCCACTGTATGTCCTGTAGCATCAGAAAAATGCTGTGTGAACATATAGCCAACAAGAAAAACTTGATTTTCATCGGAGTCGGTTTTTAAACTGCAGCCAATGTTTTTTTTTCTGTGTTTTTTTTTCAGCAAGAGACTTAGTATTCCTAAATGTTTCTTATTTCAACAGCCCGGCTGAAGAAGTGCCTGTCTGTTAGACAAATGAAGTGGCTTTTCATGTGAGCACACACAGAGTCTGATGCAGGCAAGCAACATTACTTGTTCCAGGGTACAACCATCTAATATCTGTGGGCATGAGGTGAGAAGAAAAATATGCAAAGAACTGTTCAGCTGCAGGTCTGCAGTACATCTGGTGATGCTGGGAATACCAGATAGGGGTCTCAGTCTCAGAATAGGGAACAATCTGTATTTTCTTTTTTGTGAAACTTGTAAACAAATATCTCTTCAGCAAAAAACAGCAGACAATAGGAGCTGAAATGAAACTCAGATTGTATCTTTCAACCTGGAACACCCCTGCACAGGCTTCATTTAACTCCTGAAGCCTGTCTATGCGTGAATCCAGCTCACTCAGATATTTATTCATTATGTCAAGCTGCAGCTGAATCATCTTTTCATTCACATCACAATGACTCAACAGCTGAGACAATACTTGAAGTGTCCACTAAATATTGATTCTAGGACATATGTATGTGCTGGGACTTAAGATGAAGTACCTGCTGGTCTTTTTAACAAAGATCTTCTTCCAGGCTTTGTTGTCTGTGGATTCAGATCATTTGGATCAATCATATAACTCTGCATCTAGATCAGTGCCTGCTTCATTCACTATTAAGTTTTCTTTTAAGCCCAGGGGAATAAATCCTTTTTATTCAATCTCTTCTGTGGACCGTTTTTAGAAAACTTGTTACTGAGCCTTGTGGGTGAAGTCAGGGCTGCTGGAGAATCACAGCTTGAAAAAGTTTTCATTGGTTTTCTTTTTGTATGTTTTCCTTTGGTGGGTTATGTGTTGTTGGTTTTGTTGTGTTTTTGTTGTTTCGATTTTCCCTTTTTATTCAGCATTTTGAACATTTTTCAGTGTTCAATAGCACTGACGAAAGTACTTCTCTCTAACCTGGCCTCCTGAGGGAATCCCAGCCTGTAGAGAGTTACCACCACAGCTCCTCCTAAGCCGATGTTGTGCTGCAGGGCCACTTTAGCCTCGGGGACCTGCCTTCTGTCAGCCTGACCGCGGAGCTGCCAGCACAGCTCTGCACACTGGGCCAGACCTGAGAGAACACAAGGACACACAAGACAGGAAAGAGGGTGAGGATTACATGATTCACGGAGGAGGATTGGGGCTAAAATGAATTTGAGGGGAAAATGAATCCACACTTTTGACTATAAAAAAGAAGTACACCCTTTATCCTTAGTTTATTTGAACTTGTGTTGCTAATTGCTCAGACAACACACTCCTCTTTCCCGTCTGCTGTTGAAGTGCTGCAGCGCTCACAAAACTTGTCCATATAGATTAATCTTATGGACAATTCAGTGTCTTCCAGGTGAGAGGGACTGCAGACATAACTGAGTATTTGTCTCAAGAGTAAGGCCAATACCACAATCAGTTTTAAATGGTATGACATACAATGAGATGCTGCAATAATCTCTAAATCTGTACTTCCTTAAACACTGTAAGAATCAAATGTGTGCATATGGTTCTAGCTTCCTTTAACCCCTCACTTATATAAATGGCATTGCATTTATTTACAATTTATTTGTTAGGGACAGACACAATATACGTGTACACAGTGAAACAGCCTCCAATCCAAGGGTCATAGTGTTTATGGGGGTTGCTAATTTGTGGCTAATTAATTTAAGTTTTTATGTGAGATTTAGGCAGTGTGTTTAAAGGGGGGAAGGAAAAGGTGAACCGGTAACAAAATGAAACTATCAATAACCCACAAATAATGTTCAGAACAGCACCTAGCTTCATCATCAGTACATATAGGGTCCCGGCCACAGCACTAGCCACCAAACATCTTTTTTGAGCTTTGCCTAATTTCTTTAGCAAAGAGACTAAACACAACTCACCCACTCCCCACCAGCAGCCACTTGTTAGTGGGGGAAGCCCTGACGAATCGATCACCGAGTGCAGCGGAGTTTCGCAGCTCAAGGAAGAACATTTATGGTCATTACTTCATGGAAATGCAATCAGAGTTCTTGTGTATCTTGTATGTGCACTACAGACATGGTAGTTCTTCTGCCTTAGCGTCTTGGTCCGATTGCATTTCCATTAAGTAATAATCATAAATTTTCTTCCTTGAGCTGCGAAACTCTGCTGACCTCAGTGATTGACTCATCAGGGCTCCCCCAACAAACAAGCGGCTGCTGGAGGAAAGTGGGTGAATTGTGTTTAGTCTCTTTGCTAAAGAAGGCAAAGCTAAAAAGATGTTTGGTGTCTAGTGCTATGACTGTGACCATACCTGCACTGTTGATGAAGTTAGGTGCTGTTCTGAGGATTATTTATGGCTATAAAGTGGCTTTTTAATTGAGGTTTGCACGTGGAAACGTAGACCGCTGTGTATTGCTATTGTGCGGTCGTTGCTGAAGTTGGTATAACTACAGAAACAAGCGGTCGAAAACACTAATCTCTTGGGGGGGTGTCTAACTCAGTGTTACGGAGTGTTTGACCATAACTTAATTTTACGCCGGAATATCCCTTTAACAGGGACAGAGCCTGTGGAAAGCAGACAGGAGTGTAGGTTTGCTGCTGAATTAACAGGGTTTTAAAGATGAATATTTTTCTCTGAGTGTGAAGTTGTTTTTTACAGAGCAAAACTCTTCATTCTTAATTTGAAGCTGCTCCACTGGTTCTGCTGCTGCTCTCTAGTCTCATTATTTAGTTGCAAAAAGTAGCAAGTCTTTTCAAACACTTGAATACAAACTCTAAGTAGTGTAGACAGATAAAATTACTTCACTCAAAATCTAGCAATGATGTCCAACTTGTTTTTTCCCATCTAGGAGCTTCACAGCTCAATGGTAGAGGCACTTCAAGGATCTCATATTGACTGGTTTGCCTCAGACAAGGCAGTTAAAGCATCAAACAAATGTGAAGGTATCCTAGTGTCCACATGATCACCTCAAAAACAGAAAACGTTAGCCTTGATCATTTGGTAAATTCTCTTTTTATATGTTTTTTTAATCAAACTGAGAATCCAGAATGATTCCCAAATACTTCACCTCTGTAACTGGTTCAATAAATGCACCTTTAACTCTGTCAATAGGTGAAGACACTCAAGCATCCTGTGAGTGTTAAACACAATCTCTTCTCTGACAAGCTGGCCCCTAATCTGACAACTCACTCCCTAATCTTGACACGGACAGCTCCTTCTGCGCTAACGTTATGGCTAAGTATTTCATCCCATATGCTTAATGAGCTTTTACATTTCCTCATTATCCCCATAAGCTACAGGACTTAATGCTTGAGACCTCTTCATGGTGTATCTTTCATATTCTGCAGCGCTCTGATATTCTGCTTCCACATGAGGAAATTTAATTCGAATGCCAATTTGAAAATCCAGCGTTTGAACCGCTGGGTTATTGATCAAGTTAAAGCCCCTGTTACTTTGCAGGATAAAAGAAGTAGTCAATGACAAAACTGCTTTATTAAGATCCTTCCACTTCACTTCTCTAAACAGCAGCTTACATGGCTCCAATCATGAATAATGACAGTAATTTAGAGCCCAGAGCCTCAAGTACCCTCTTTGACGCGTCAACACCCAAAATTGAGACCCTCCTGCAGTGGATCACACTCCTTCATTGGAGAGGGTCTCTGCACGGGTCACTCAATTAGCCATCAATCCCCCTGCTCGCTGTGTTCATGAGAGAAGAGGTCAGAGCTTTGAAACCAAGATTAGGAGCAACACCACGGATCAGACAGAGCTTAGCTGACTGGGGCACTCGCACACTGGGAGTGACCCGAGAGATAAGAGTCTGGACTGATGACATGGATGGGGGAAAGTCAGTGAGCGAGTTAGGATACAGGAGAAGCTTTGGTTGAAATTGTAAGGAAAAAAGGAGGACTAAAAGAAGAACAATGAATGAGGGGAAAAGGTTACACTGCACTGTTTCACCTTCACATTCAGAGCATGTGGTGACGATATAAGGTACTCAAACTCACAGGCAGCATTAACATGAGCGTGAGAAACAGTTTGAGAATGAAAAACATTAAATTTGTCAAGAAGAATGTGAAGGTTGAGTGAGTCAGTCAGTCAGTCGCTCTGTTTGCACAGTGTTTCGTCTTTAACAGTTTAATACGTGGAGAGATTACAGGAGAAGCTGCCAAAGCTACAGGCTGCTGCTCTCTCACATGCAGGCTTCAGTGGGCTCCATTCATATGAGATACACACCACCTGGTGGTCACTGAGGGAACTGTCAGCCATATTAGAAGATACAGCTGTGATTAAATCTATAGCTGCTTGTTTTTTCAGTTAAACTGCCGCTCTAAAAAAGATGAAAAAATGTCAGCATAATCACAGTCTTTACAGTGATAACCCTGATGCAATAACAATTAACTGCATTGAGTGGTTAAATCAAGTGATGAGATGACAGTGCACCTGCTCAATATTTCAAGTCATTCTAATGAAATATGTCAAATACTTTCAACATGCCTGATTTTAAATAAAGGATGTGTAGTCAATGAATGTGGCCTTTGCTGTTTCAACATGTTTGTGTTGTTGCGATATTGTTCATGCTGCAGAGGTACTGGTTTAAGCGTGCAAAAAAAAAATTATCAACATTAATTGTATCTTAGTATTTCATAGTGTTTTGTGCTGTTTGCTATCATGAATGGCGTTTCTTTATCTTGCAGCAAGATGAAGAAATTCAGTTCAAGGGTGCATGGCCATCTTTAGAAATATCTAAATATGAAATTTATAATAATAATGATGCATCAGATTTTATAGCGCTTTACTCAGAGACCCTCAACGCACTTTACATTGGATACATCATTCATTTGCTCACAAAGTCACACCTTGGTGATGGTAAACTACCTTAGTAGTCACAGCTGCCCCAGGGCCAGTTTGCGCCTACAGCCTCTCCAACCACCTCCACACAACACTCACAATCATACACTAGTGGGGGACACACACACTGGGAGCAAGGTGGGTTAAGTGTCTTGCCCAAGGACACAACAGACAGACTTGGGATAGGATGGAATCGGACCTTCAACCTTCCAGTTATTGGATGACTGCTCTACCTTCTGAGCAACTGCTGCCTCAAATTTTGTCGCAAACAATTCACAATACTGCTGAACAGTTACATTATAACAAAAAAATCCCAATAATGAAGCCAAATTGCACAAGAAAAAACTTAATTGCTCTTTAAAGTGTTATGAAAAATATATTTTGGTGACTCACAATTTCCTGGGAAAAGACTCCAGGAGTAGAGAAAGGAAAACTACGGGGGTTCTTCTTTCCAATGATGAAGAATACATTTCAGAAAAGTCAGAGCCAAGACATTCAACATTAAAGCTCCTCACAGCTTCTATAGCATGATATCAAAAGGACACTGCCAAAGCCGGTGAAGAGTTTCTAGGATGACTGTGAACAAAGCAGCAGAGATTGTCAATATGCTACGAGTAAATGTATGAAAGTGCAGAGATTTCTCCCTGAAAATGACACCTTTCCTCAGTCTTGGATGTTCTTGTCCAAACTACAGTGAATTTTTTTACTTTGATATTTTGCTCTTTGCATGTCTAAGCAGGTTTCTGTTGAAAATCTACTCTGCAATTTTATGTGAAAAATTCTCTGTTTCTGCAGCATACTGTCACTGTGATATGATCATCTGAAACCTACCCCTCTCAGCAGCGACAGGTATACAAAAAGGCAGATTTGAAAGTCTCCGTCTTGTTGTTAATGGTGTTGTTTGTGTTTGAATGTAACTCCAGGTTAGATAAGTATGGTCTGAAGCCAATGCTGCTCGATCTATAGGTCAACATCTTTATTTTCTCTGTTCAGTGGTTCTTTTTAAACTGTCCACCATTAGCTGCTAATGCTGTTGACCTTGGTATCTTCTCTACCTACACAGTGGTCTAGACATCGTTGAGTGTATATTGTGCATTAGGAGTCAAAGGCTGTGTACCTGTGGCCCCCAGAGGATGCCCTTTAGAGATGAGACCGCCGCTGGGGTTCACCACAAACTTTCCTCCATATGTGTTGTCTCCTCTGTCAATCAGCTCTCCTGCTTTACCTGCAGAAGTAAAACAGTAGAGGGAAAGTTACAGTCTAGTAATAATATAAGTTTAAAAAAGTATAATGCTGCCTTCCAGTTGTACTCGGAAGTCGGAATTTCCTAGCTCTGAGTCGAAAATTAATCTGGAACACCCCCCTGAAGTTCCGATTTCATAATCCAGGATGGCGGCGCAGTGCATCAACAGTAAAGAGTAACAGCAAAAGCTCTCGTAATGTTATTATTTATTAGCACTAGTGTTTTGTTTTTGTGAAATTAATTAAGTGGTATATGTTGTACTGCCAACCATCTTACTGTGAACATGGTGCTATGGTGTTTGCAAGAGTAAAATACTGTGTTACGCCTTGTTTACATCTGGTATAGCTAAAAACAAGTAACAACAACTGACAACGGCTAATGACAGCTGACAGTTGTAAACAACAGCTAACATCGGCTAACAGTAGGCGTCCATCTTGGTTTTCCAACATGTCTACTGGAATGCCGTCAATTCTGGTGTAGTGTCATTCCCAGCTCTGACAGCCGACTTCCAAGGCAACCGGAACGCAGCATAATCAAGTCAGTACTACAATCATTTTACAATGTACCTTTGTTTGGTATGGTTTAAATTTAAACATACTCAGTAAAAAGTTTTCAAGAGGTTTCAAAAAACTAATAAATGGGAAGTCATAACCTACATTTGGACATGCAGTAACAAACTGAGTTCACAGACTGTGTTTTTTTATGTAAGTTTGAGCCCATGCAGTGATTTCCACTCCAGAGTCATGTCTGCTTCGAAGTCGGAGCCGCCTAATCTTTTTATCCCCTCAAACTTTATTTCCCACAAGAACAGATTATCAGTGAGAGATATGTTGTGTGTTTGGTTTCACAGTCGAATGCCCTCATAACCCAACACAAAGAGTCGGATCACTGGGAAACCATTCTGAGAATTGAATAATCTGGGCTCTATGCCGGGTTATTTGGGGACATCTTTTTAGTTCAGCTGCAACTCTGACTGCTCGGCTCAGTGATTTTGAAGAAAAAAACACAGTAAATGTTTCAACAGTATCTGTATATTTTTATCTGGATGTTTTAATATGTGCATGAAGAGGGCGAAAAACTTCCTGCTCTTTTTAAATTAGGCTCTTGGACGCAGTGGTCTTACCCTCTGGACACAGCCCGAGGGCCTCGTACGTGATGAGCTCATTGGCTGAGAAACAGTCGTGCAGCTCGACTACGTCAACGTCACTGGGCGTCAGTCCTGCAGCTTCGAAACACTTTTTGGCAGCTAACCGTGACATGTCATAGCCCACCTGAAGAGAGCAAAGAAGCCTGTTAAGACAATGACCTTAAAGAAAAAAGTTATCATAACGACAGCATTGAGGTCCTGGAGCATACTAACATTCTCCACTGGCTGTAAGAAGATGAAATGAAAAATGGCCAATCACTTCACTTGAGCTTTAGTTTTAGGGGTAACAACTCCAAGAGATGTGTGTTTTTTTTTTTATTTGGAAAATGCTCTTGAATTGGTATTTCAATATCTTTGTTTAAACTTGTGACAAATCAAGGTTTGGAAAATAATTTTGGGAGAAGTAATAGGGGTTATTATTCAAAGGTATATTCAGCCATGTTATCTTTAATCTTTAATGACATTTGTGAAATGCAGGGGTTGTCATGGCTGTGAAAGTAATCTTCACTTTATGGGAAAGTTCATCCTCTCTAGGTCTATAAAAATTAATTAAATGGACGCCACAAAAAGTACTAAAATGTTTGCTCGAGCCGGTGATGAAGGTGAGATCTCTATAAGGTCAAGGGGAGCTTTCTTTCTCACCGCTCTGCACTGCTCAGAAATTGAGAGTCTGTTTGGACTACAAAAACTGCTGAGCAACTTTTTGAGATAAGATAAGACTCTTCTGACTTCAAAATAATCTTTTAACTCCGTAAGAGGTGAATTAATATGAAACACAACAAACAGCAAGATAAGATCAACATGGTACACTGGGCAGCAGGTATGTAATTAATTTAGAGCCTTAATTTTAGATGAGTCACAACAGCATATATGCAAATTATGCTCTCCTGTAACCCTGTTCCTGCTTACTTAATTAAAATCAAATCCAAAAATAACTCTAAGCCAGTTCTCCAAGTTAGACAAGTTTCTTTTCAAAGTTTACAACAACAACATGCAGTGGATTAGCAACACAACTAAAGGTTTTGCATAGGTTTAATGTTATTCTAACTAACCTGCTACACAGAGGACCTGCAATAATTTACAGTGACTTTTGTTACAACACACATTTCAGCACCACAGAGAACACAGTGAAACACATTTTCTTTACTTTGTAGGAGGTTAAATATAAAATCTTTATCTGGACCCTTTTTATTTTGACACAAATCTTGAAATCAAATCAAAGCTGAGGTGCTGGTCTGTAATGACAGCAAGTCCTAGCTCTCTTTGCAGTGTTGTCTGATATTATAATTCATAACAATTAATTGAAAGAAGCGGACATAATTTGTTCATTATGCAGAATCTAGTTTATGACCATAATATGGAGTGAAACCATGTCTCTGTCTGTTTTCTTTCATGCTGCTCTTGAGTCTCTTCATGTTGCAGTGGTCAAGACAGTAAGAAATGAAAGCCACTTGACCTTTAAATACAGATGAACTAAAGACCTGCTTTAAGTATCTTTGCAGATAAATCACATGACAGCAGAACTGTTTATTGTTGAAAACTTCTCACCATCTTTATGCAGCTGTTTTCTTCAAACGTGGAGGCGAGGTCAGTCACCATCTCTTGGGCCACAATCTCCACTGCCTGGTGCTCCAGGTGATGTTTCCTGACAAAGTCTTCACTGACCAGAACTGCAGCTCCCGCACCATCAGATGTTGGGCTGAAAAGAGGAGAAGAACAAGAGAAACAGACATGTAAAGAAACCCACATGATTATCATCAATACCTCAAAATAATTCAACACTTTCTAGCATCAAATTCACAGTAGTTACACTCAAGTGGAATTGATTTCCAAAAATAATAACTTCAAATCAATGAGCGTCTCACCAGCACTGCAGCAGAGTCAGGTATTCAAACACCTTCCTGGAGTTTATCACCTGCTCCAAGCTGTACTCATCCTGGAACTGGGAATACCTACATGGATGTAAACATGCACATTCCCATGCACAGTTAAATGAAATCTCATTCATAAATGTTACATCAAAACTGGTTCATAGAGCGTACGTTGACTTACGGGTTGTTAGTGGAATGCTTGTGGTTTTTCCAGGCAATTTTGGCAAAGTGTTCAGGTTTCGTGCCTGGAAGATATTCAAAAATCACCATTAAAGTAAATAATTAACAAATGGTATCATTAATCAATGGACCTGCATTCATCATGCATGCAGTCTGTACCGTATTTCTCCATGTGTTCTCTGCCAGCATTGCCAAACATTTGTGGTGCTGCTGGAGCTGCTGCGATGCCGTAGCGGTTGATCATCACCTCCATGTGCTTGTCCATTGGGTTGGTCCGGTCCATATACTGGAAACATTATCAAGAACATTCATCGTTGCTTTTGAACGTGTAAAATGACGCAAGGGTTTGATGCTCTTTGCTTCACCTCCTCTGGATGCAGTGAAGGAGTTTATGATTCTATGGAAGCGTGGTTGTATTTTTCTGTGATTTGTCCTGTAGAAATGACCCTATACATAAAAGTATTTAAAACTCATAACATGTAGTTTCTCACCTTTGAGGACAAAGAGCCTCTTTCCATCCGCTCAAACCCAAGAGCAAGCACACAGTCAGCAAGACCTGCAGAAGAAGATGACAAATGAACACAGGTTTTACAGTTCAATGACAAAAATAAAAATGTTTCTTTTAACAGAAACCCCTTTAGGCCTTTTTAGTTGTTACTTAAGAAGGTTTATGGTTTTTTCAAAGTGGCTGAACTCACCTCCCAGAACCAGCTGCCGTGCCATGAAGAGAGCGGTGGACCCCGTGGAGCAGTTGTTGTTGACATTGATGATGGGGATCCCAGTCAGGCCCAGGCTGTGGTAGATGGCTCTCTGCCCACATGTAGAGTCCCCTGAGAGAGTGAGAGGAGGAAGTGTTATGACTTTCTTCAACAGTAATATGTCCGTCTGTAGGGTCATAGCCTGGAGTTTATAGGATAGTAGAGTATGTAAATACGGCTGCTATTAAGAACCAGTGAAGTGGGGTGAAATAAACGATGATTCATACATCAAATCTGTCAAACCTGCACTTTAAATAATTCAAAACTAGAATAGGAAAACCAGAATGAAGCATTCAGATTTTAGTTTTTTACAAGAATTAAAACAAAAACTTTCAGTGCCTTTCATTTACTCCTGTCTAATTCTGTCATTGAAGGGGAGTGACTGAATTGTTCCGACAAAGATGTCTCTCACAGTAAAGAGATGCATGCTAATTTCAGGCCCTTTTCTCATAAAACTGTGCATAACAATACTAAAGTTCGGACAGTGTTCACCACTGCGCTGTACGTAACATGAGATGTTAGATATTAAGTACACCTAAATACAAAATCTTACCGTAAACGTATCCGACACAGGCCTGTTCGATGGCAGAATATGGGATTCCTGCATCTGCCAGGGCTTTTTGACCTAAAAAGTAAACATGACATAAAGCGTATTACACAACAAGATCAAATTTCACAGATGTTAAGATATGATATCTTTACAGAGACCGAACAATGTCCATATTCTGTTTAGATAAGCACCTGCTTCCTTTGCCATATCAGGGTAGTCATAGTCTCCTCTGGCCCCAGGTTTGTCAAACTGCAGCAAAATACAGAGATTGAGAGGGTCGGTGAGTGTGTGAGTGAATATGAGGATCTATATCTATTATTCTGCATATCTGACTTCAGTTTTATTTTCAGCAAAAGCATGAAATTTTATCTAATCTTTCATATCAGATAAAAATTTTAAAATGGTCCAGACTCTAAAGATGCAGAGTTCAGCTGCTATCCCCTCTCATATCCTATTTAAAACTCAGTATTTGGACTTTTGAACCGCTGTTCTGACAAAACCAGACATCTGATGACAAGGCTTTGGGCTCTGCGAAATGTCCAGGTATTTATTTAACTTTTGAGTGAACTGTGCTGAAAATATTTCACAGCCAAACAATTTTCTATTTTATCAATCATTTGCAAAGGTGCAAAAGCTTATCATGAAATTAAACCACAAGTTTGTAAATTGGGATTTGACAAAATACTGATACAGCAGCATATCCACATCCTGACTCATGCTTTATATATAGGTTTTGCTACCTTCAAATATCAGTATTATCATTTTAAAATAATACATGTCCCCAGATAGATTTCTCTTCCAATTTGACTCTTTTTGTCGTTTCTTTATGAGTCTCTGAGGTGGAAGTGATCACACTTATCCTGCATTTAACCTTATTCTTACGTCAATTAAATATCACAATGTTTGGCTGTATGATTATTTACAATTCATCAGTCTTTACAGAGTCCCTGCACTATTATGTTAATGTTATCACAGGCAATGTATCAGGTATCATATTGCAAGTTGTTCTGCATTTTTCACCCCTTCTTGCAGATAAAAAATCACGAACAGAATTCACTGGGTCTATACAAGACAGAAAAGACATGGAATGTTTTCTATGGTGATCTGCACAAAAGGCAAAAAGTGAAAGCTGTACTTTCAAATTAATCTTGTGAAATGAGAAAATTGTGTATTCATTGCAAACTATGAGAGGAGCAATAGTGACACAGATTAGTTTGATTAGAAAAGCATTTTATCTCTGCAAGCATTACAGATAAGACACTCTCCTAATGCACCAAAATTATTGGATTTCCAATCTAGAAAAATACTATCTTGAAAAACAAATGAGTAAAAGTGTCAAATTAGCAGGAAGTGGTACAATCAGAGACTTTTTAATAAAAAACTTGTGTTAAAACCATGAGACCTGCACTGACAGCTCTGTGTGTATAATGTTAGCAGTCTGCTGGAGGGATGACCCTTAACACAGTTTATAACCTCTGCTGGCCATGAACTATGGACTCAACAAGTACATCAGAGAACTGACAGAGAGACCTAAGTACGACTAACATTCACACCAAAAACAACAAATTTGTAAGTAAAACTACAAACTTGTTAGCTGTTTTCAGCTTACCCTGCTAACTGATGTTTACTATGTATGGTGTCAGCTGCTGACAGATTTAGGAGATTCACACTAAATAGGCAATATGAAGACATCTTAACAATACTGTAAATAGATAAACTGTGACAATAAAGTTTAAGTTACCAGGTTAGTTACCATGTTCAGTGCACTTTAAACTAGTGTTAGCCACATATGCTAGCCTCAAGTCTTACATAATGCCCTGTCGTTCTGGGACTAGGTACAAAATAATAAGTTTACCTTTGTCATGCCCACACCGATGACAAATACCCTGTTCTTTTTTGCAGGGGTCATATTTGCTTCTCTTCAGCAGCTGGTCCAAACAGACAGACACACACACAGACAGACAGAGGCAGGCAGGTCTGTGAGCAGCAAACAGCAGCAGCACTGAGACAGTCAAGCTAGCTCACAAAGATCGTCTATTGATGAGATGATCACACGGAGCAGATAAACACCGTCGCTATCAGGATAATACAGGCTACTGCTGCCATTGAAAAACCGACGAACACATAAATAAGACAGAAATGCATCGATTACATAAGTATACTGATATGTATTTTATATTATGTAGCCTATGTCACAGTTTTCACATAAAGCCACATAATGAAGTTTTGTTTCTTTCTTTTTTATTGGAAACCCTTTCAGTTGAAGCAAGCGCAATGCAAAGATATTGTGAAAAAGTTTGAAAAACTATCACTGATATTCAATGTTTTTATTGTGTTTAACCACCAAACTTTGAACTATTTGTATTTTTAACTGGTGAATACACACATTTATCTATCAAGTGTCCGTGCTTCACTGTTATATAGACATGGGGCTAAGCAGAGAAAACTTCAACATTTCTCTTGCAAGTGTTCACACACAGTATGATAGCTTGACTGAAGCATTGCAAAGAACTTTATGGTATTCGTATACAATATTTCTTTAAAGAAAGAGGGGTCTACTCTCGAACTGTATGTCGCTAACAGGTTATGAATGGTTAAAAGTTCTAAATATGCTCACAGAGTGAGAATTCTTCCTATACTTACGAATCTTTGCTCAGCCCAGCTTTACACCGCCCATTACAATACTGGGCTGTAACAGGTTGATATTACTATATTACTCACTCCTCCTCTACTAAAATAAACTGTGACACTCAAATATGCAAGAATAACACTTGACTAAAATAATTCACCTTTCAATTTTATTGAGGCAGTGAAAAAAAACTGAGCATGTTGATCAATCCAAGTTGTGTCTGGACAATGATTGACTGAAAAACTCTGTTTAACTCTCATCAATGAAACCCTTTACCACCGCAGCCTCTGAAATATCCTGAGTGCAGGATGCCTGAGGAGGTCTGGCTTTAGTGTTCATTTTTTACGGCTCTTCGGCTCATTATGTGATGACATCAGCATTTGATGAACTGGTGTGTGACCTCATAGATTCCCACGGACTCCTTCACTTTTTCATCGTAGTCTGTCCAGTCCTGATGTTTAACAAAAAAAAAGAAATACATGTTTAGCAGATAAGAAGATGCATTCAGACTCCTCACATTACTAGGATCATTTCATATTGTTTCATTTAGATTAATTGTGCAACTACCTGATTTTCATGTCAAACTTGCACAGGTTGTTCCTCCTTTACTTACTTTTTCTTGTAGGTTGATTTCAGGAAACTGTGTTCCGGACTCTGCGCCTTGTGCAGCGAAGCCAGCCTACACACGTTAAAATACAAAAATAAAAGGAGTTTTATTGCAATATCTTACTGCCAAGTTCTTTCTTTTCTGTGATATATTGTCTCCACACTTGGTATCCTGTTTCAGCAGGAGCAGCAGTGCAGGTGTGTCTTACTAATTTACAGGTTAGTTTATCTAAGTGAGCCAAAAACAATAATTGTTCATAGCAATGCCAGCAGACCTTTGTGGACTCATGTAATTTCTAATATCAAAATAGTTATAATTATATAGCTGTTGAGCCAAAATTTCATTCAAGGTTAGTTAGTAAGTACACGCTGTACTTTCAAAGTTTGCTTTCAGAAGATTTTCAAATACCCGTGGAGAAAACATATTTTAAATAACATAAGCCGTCATAACTGATTGTTTTATGCTTCGTTGTTGAGGATGCTGGTTCATTTGAATGGAAGAGGCATGTTTATTTGTGAGACCTGTGCACATTGTCACTCCCAGTTCACACGGTTAAACTCGTCTCTTCAGTGACTCTTACTTGTGGTTGAAAGTCAACCGGCTCCAGACCTCGACACTCAAACTGCACCATCGTCTTGAAGCGCTCACTGTCTTCAGCCTTCGACACAGCAAAAACAGAGGAGCATTAAAACCATTACACTGCTGATTATTATGGGAAAAAAAGCATTTATTGGACATTTATAAAACCGTTGCTGTTTGGTTTGCTCAGAACTGAAAAGGAAAACTAAGGAGAGAAAAAGGCAACAATATTTCCAGACAACCAGTTTGAAAACCTCCCTGTGAGACAACATACTGTTTAACCATTATTTGAAGCTCTGCCATCAGCTGATGCTTGTTTCCTTCTTTGTTTGACTAAAATTAGGACTTTGCAAATAAAAGGTTTAGTGGAGAAGAAAAGTAGAAATTTCTGTCCTTACACTGTTAGTCATGCTTTGATGTAGAAACTTGTAGGTAGATAAAAAATAGAACTACAAGATGCTCACTTACATTGTAAGGTTTAATGGTGTCTCTCAGGATATCTGAAAAAAAAACAAGAAATTAAAATTCAATCTGAGTTCAAACCTTTGAAAGAGAAAACAAAGTAAGTAAAAAAACGAGATGTCAGTTCATACCTATTGAATTTTCCCTTGCACAGAGTTTACACTTTAGCACCATGCTGGCACTGCCTCTTCCTCCCTTTAGAGGGACACTATCCTGTGAAATCCATAAAAAAGAAGGAGCTTTATGTGTGTCACAATCTTTGCAACAAACCAAACTACCAAAGGGTCACTTTTTCCTTACCGCTAAAGTTACATACTGCCATTTCTCTGGGACCTCTCCACAGTTTCCACACTTCAGCTACACAAAGGTTAAAAAACATAGAAAGGTTAAAAAAATATATAAAATAGCTGCCCTCTGAAAGGAACTATGGATCCATCAAACCGGCAAACAGACTGCAGGACAGTTTGTCTTCTTGAGCTAAACTACTTTGGAAACAAATATGCTGCATCCTGCCAACCTTCTATCACATACTGTAGACACTCACACACTATCTTGTACATCTCTCCTATTTTCTATTTGTCTGCTTCACTTTGTACTTATCTTTTCTACAGTGTATTATACACTCACCGGACACTTTATTAAGTGCACCTAGTCAGCCACTCATTTGTCAACAACTTAATGTATTTAGGCATGTAGACAAAACTATCCCCTGGGTTAACTGTTTACTGTGAATGCTCAAACTTTGTTCATCATGCTAAGAAAGTGAACATGTAGTTCTCTAACAGTGCAATATGGACTTTTTCTGATGAGAGCTACTTTATTGTCATGTACATTATCTGTCTGTATACTTTTTGACTGTCCATAATACTTTGTCTTTCACTTCTTATTCTAATTCAAAGTTGTGCCTTAATGTTGTGCAATATGAGGTGAAGCATTTTGATTAAAAGAAAAACTGCATAACAATGAAATAAAAGACAATAAAGCTTCTGTTTAAAGTTTCTGTTTCTTAGCCCCCGCTGTCAGCATTTACATGAGAAAACTGAGCAAGGGGTGAAGTACAGCGAACACATAAAAACAAAGAGGCAAACACAATAACAAATCTGAAAACACAAAGACATTAATTTCTTATAAGTAAAGCAAGGTAGCGACATGAATTATTGCAGATTGACAGTCCAATTGTCCAATGAACAGCAACCTTCTTTACCTCAGCTGCAAATTGCTTTCTATTCTAGGCAAGTGTTGTTGTGATTTTTCTGGTTTATGTCATTGCGTTTCTTTAAAATTTTCATTTATATTTCTGTATTGCACTTCAGGGCCACCGTAGTATCTATTTTTAATACACCCCATTAATTGTACCCATAGATAGACTGATTGTACCCCGAGCGCACAAGTCAGTAGAGAAGGGAAAAGGTAATCATTAATAGCTTCAACAGAGCAAACAGTGGTACCAGATCATGAGTTTTGACTACCAATTCATTTTAACAAGAACGCTAAATTTGCCGTAGTTATTATAACACTATAAACTAACTTAGCTGGTATGCTAACTTGACACCCATCCTACCTTCAGAAACCAGCGGAAATCGTCGCCCTCCGGTCTCACATTGGTGACATTTTCCAGAGTGGCCTTGAACTGGAGCCCAAATTTCTGTTTAAGACAAAAAGACAAGAAAAGTTAACCCAGGGCTTACTGAATCAGCTCACTGTTTACATCTGCAACATGCTGCAGAAACACATACCACCATCTTGACGCTTCCACGCTGACAGCCTTCCTGCTGCCTTCAGGTACTCCTAGGAAATTATGGTTGCAAAACGCCATGGGGTTATGTTTTTTTGTCTTTTGACTTGGGGATTTCGAACAACTTATCGGTTACCGTGACTTACAAATGGAGCTGACGTGCCGCCATATTATGAAGTCAAAATACACGGAGAATATGCGTCCTTTGTTTACGTACATGCTTGTTGTTGAGATGTTTACAGTTTTTTCGCTTCACAATTCACAGCTCGTAATACGACACATATACAGTCATTACTGCGTGAACGATTTTGCCATTCACCTCGAGTTTTATGGTCATTAATCGCATTTAAATTTTATGACATTCATTTACAAGTGGAGGATGCGTAGCCACAGCGCTCCCTAGTGGACACATGAAAGTACGACATGAATGACCTACATAATGGTGCCCTAGCTTTTTACTGTTACATGCTGTCTGTATTCATACACCGCTATACGACCATACATCAGACAGTTACTGATATGTTTTAGCAAAATAGCATTTTTCTGAGAGGTTATCGAAACAGAGGCATCAGACGACCATCGATTGTATCAGTTTATTGACCAGTAAGTAAATGACGTCATTCAAGTAGAAACCATCCAAGTGCACCTCAACAGTCATACAGTACAAATCAATCATTCAGTTGTTCTATACTAAAAAAACACAGCACATGGAGTACAAAACTGATCATTCAGTTATTTCTTTTTTTATTTTCACCTTGACATTAAACGGAAACCTGTTCTGCTGTGAATACTTACTGTACACAATAACCTGAGGCAACTTCACAGAGGCATTGTGGTGGGTCTTTGTGGCTGTGAACCGCAAACCTGGGAAAATTGATATTGCTGTGGCATTAATACTTTATTTTGGATCAAATGGTATCAACCTGAGTATACACTAAGTTAATAAACTGGGATAAGTATTTCATGTGAATCTGTCTTAATCTGGTTTTAAATAAGTCTAGATTTATTATTTCACATGGATAATTCAAGTGTGTTTGGATTCATTAATAGGAGGGCAAATAGAAAATACTAAATCAAGAGACAGATGTTTGAACTTTAAGCCTTTGGCGTCATTGGTCTTGTTGTCACATTAGTCAGCATGTGACGATCAGTACTGGAAAATCATGTAGTGTGTTTCTGCTGCTGCAAACTCAAGAATCAATGTAGTGGACACTGTGTAGTAAACAGACTTCTAGTGTAACACTTTACACCACACAATACAATGAGGGAACATAAACACTGAGAAACAAAGTGTAAAAAAAGATTCCCAAGATTGTCATTACAAATACAGGGTGCAATCTTGGTTTCTTCAGCTCTTCTTCTCATGTAAATCATTCTCATTAGGAAACCACCAGAACAATTATCAGACTTCCAACAACTTCGAGGGTTCAAGTTTTCTCAGACATTGCAAAAAAGCAAAATAAGGGTTCCCCTCTTTTATTCATTAGCGGCATGAATTTTTCCATGAAGCAGCAGGGGGATACATAAAAAACAAAATGCAATCTGGGAGGAAAAAAGCAAGGGGCTGTTTTAACCCATGGTCTCATCACAAGAATAACAAGATCATCTTTAACCCTCCGGACAAAAATCTAAATCCAACAATTACAATTAAAGTAACTAATAACGAGAGTAGTCATAATTATAATAAAAGGCATTTCATTTCTTCTTGCATCTGTTTTTCTTTTTTTTTTTTTTTTAAATACAGTGATGCCAACTGGCATTATTTACAGCGCCACCCCTACACCCCTCTCCGCTCCGAGAAGAGAGGTGTGATGAGGTCAATGAGGCCGGCTGCTGGACTCTGAGGTCCTCCTCTGGCGTGGGGTACTGTGGCCGTTCATACAGCCGTTGTGGCGTTTGTTTAGTCCGCCGTTCAGAATGTCTTGAATGTGCTGCACTATCAAATTGATGGCCACTGCAGGAAAACAAAGAGAGGAGGGTTTGGCATGTCAATACTGGCAGCATTTTCCAACTAAGTATACCACGACATAATGAGACATCTTATATTCCTCAGTCTTCATACTTGTAAAAAGAGGCTTCCACAATACCCACAATGCAATTCAGCCAACACGTACAGGCATTTAATTTAATGCTTACCAAGGTTATCTGCTCCTCTTGGAATAATCACATCTGCATACTTCTTTGTCTAGTAGTGGCAGAGGAAATAAGAGTCAATACACACGTTACAGCTTTTTTTCTCTGAACAAGGTGCATACCAATACTAAAAAGTTAACCAGCTGAATAACTGAAAGTCACTTACTGGTAAACAGAACTCCTCAAAGGCTGGTTTCACAAATGTGATGTACTGGGCCAACACCTGCTCCAGCTCTCTGCCACGCTCACTAATGTCTCTTAGGACTGAAACAGAGAAACAGAAAAGATCTATAATGCAAATATTGGTCGTATAAACAAATTACACTCAAGGATATACACGTATCAACAGCTGGTCCTCAGAAGCAACTGACCTTTGTGTTTTATGAGCAAGGCTTATTGTTTAATGTTATGCTTCCAGTAAGGTGGTGCATTACTTGTTAAACATGTTGTCAACCCAGCTCTTACTACACACCTCGACGTGAGAGCCTTGTGTCTGGATCTGTGTCTACGAAAAGCTTCATCTGGAACAGGTCTCGGATTTCCTGGGAATAGAACATGAGGATCCCTTCAAACAGGACCACATCGGCTGGATACACCGTGACAAACTCCTCTTTCCTAAAAAGGACATGCACACAATAAGTGACAATGACCAGATGCACATTTACATGATCACACACCCATGTTATAAATAAAACATTTGGTCTAGGACTTTGTTAAACGTGACTATAACTATAGATGAGAAACTACGTTGTGCAGGCTGTGATCATAATGGTTGGCTCACCTGGAATGAGTGACAAAATCATAAACAGGGATCTGTACTGTCTTTCCCTGCAGGATCTGTCGCAGCGTTTGCATGATCAGCTCGTTGTCAAAGGCATCTGAGGACAAGAGAAAAGCACGGGTTTGGTAAGAATCTTAACAAGATGTCATATTTAACCATAGCTGTTACAGCTTGGCGTGGACACGTGGGAGCTACTCTGCACGTTTGGTAACCCCAGGAATCTCTTCAGTGTGTAACAGGTGTGGGTTTCAGCCTGAGCCTGGCAGCAGCTGCCTCTGGGAGAAGCCTGCTGACCGAGGGAGTTTTAAATCAGCTGAGAACTTCTGAGAAAGGAAGCAGGAGCAAGAGGGGCCATGTCTCCAAAAATGGAGTCTATGCCTCTAAAGAAAAATTTGACACACTAGAAATGAATGTTGCTGCTTCTGAATATGTGTCTGTTGGAAAGCTGTCAACGTGTCAATACACTCGACAAGTTATTCTCATTCAAGTGTCAATATTTGATTCATTTAGTGCTAAAACTGCCAAGTTCCTAAATTTCCTATTTACAGAAAGTCTTGTGTGGTTAACATAGCCTGTCAGTGTGTGGGTTTTAAAGCTGTAAATCCACCGGAAAATTCCATTTCTAGATTCGGAGTCTGGTTTCAAATCGGTTAAAAGGGCTTTTACCTCAGGCAAATTAAACTCTGCACATGTGTAACAAACGTGCCTGTTTCAGGAAATGCATGAGAGGAAATACTATTCAGTGTCTGCATACCTGGATGATCAAAGTTAAATTGGCCTTTCAGAGCCTTGGCCTTCTGCTCTGGCGTTAGCACCTTGTAGAAACTGTCCTGGCTAAGGATGGCCACCTGCCGCTGGTGGTGGTCGATCTTGTTCTGGCCCAGCAGCTCCATGATCTTCTCACATACCGACGACTGCAAAAACACAAACACGGATCACTGCTTAGAGTGTCAAGGTAGCCCACAAAAGGAAGGAAGTTACAGTAACATGTTGTACCCCAAGGTCTTATCTAACGGGAAATACAGAGTGGGAGGGGAATTTCCTACCTTGTATGAGTCAGCTGACAACAAAAGTATAAGTGAACTCCTACCAACCTGCCATATTTGTCCGCACTGACCCTCTTAATTGAATGCATCTCACACCCTGTGCTGACGGGGCGTTCTGGGGGCAACTGAGGCCCTGTTGCCTTTGTGTCCATGAAATTGAATCACAATGAACTTCTATCCCCCCCAAATAGAGAGACAACTGCGCTAAAATGCAACCATTTCGGACATAGTGACTGAAATTTAAGATTCAAGACTTGACCAAAACTGAAATTTCATGCGGCAACATGATAAATCTTGTCAGATGAATCTTAACACATGATCAATTGGTCTTTTATCAAGCTGGAAACACTGTTTAATTGATGAATAATTTCTAAGCAAATAGGTACTTAAAATCCGGAAAACCAGTGAAAATACAAAACATCTGCATTGCGATTACACTGATCTCTGGGCTCCTTACAGATGGGATGGATGAGATTGCATCACCCATCACAGGTGCAGTCAGACTCATCAGTAAAAAGAGTCAAATAAACCTCCGCCTGGTCCCTTGTGAGGGTTTTTCAGAAAGCACAACTGCCTGTGCCAGTGTGCTGATATCTGGGACAAAGTTGGGAAGAGGGCAAGGTAGGATGAATCTGGATCTAAGACACCCGGTCATGTCTAACCCAGCCATTTACCAAAATGAAAACATTAACCAAGCCTGTGTGCTCACACACAGTAAGACCCCCAAAGACATACTTAAATGGAAAGATATTCAAGTGCAGGGGGGTAGCATGCAATTGTGGATTCAGTGCCTTGCTCAATGGTGCCTCTGCAGTCCCCTAGAGTTAGATGGCACCACTCCAGCTTATTTCTAGACATGGTCGGTAACTGGACTCGACCCTCCTGTTCCCTCACAAGCCCCTGCTACTTCAGAATTGTGGGTTAAAGACCCACCTCAGGTTCTGACAATATGTGGATATTTTTTTAGGAACCCAAAATGTCAATAGTATTCGGTACATAACAATATTATGATTTCGTCATTATTTCCACGCCTGTGTGTCATTTCTCTCCGCGTGTCTACGTGCACACTTCATCAGCACGGCCCACGCTGCCGCGCAAGTTACAGTAAACTGAAGCTAGGGCGGGCTGCTAAATGTCTGCTTCTTTTCACACTAACGTCGGTTTATGGTACTCTACCGGTTCACAACGTAATACCTATTTTTCGTGTTATAATCAGTTACGAACAAAGGGGACGCGGGTAGTGAGATAACATTGGGGGTGTTTTCCCGCTAGCGCTACTGTCTACCACCCGTCATCACACAAGCATCTAGGTTAACGTTATACAATGTGTAATGGTCACTTCAACGGAAAAGTCATCCCACGGATAACATTTCACGCCGAGGTTTTCGCTAACTTAATTTAACACGTAGCGGGTTGACCACCGACAGGAAAAGAACGTGGTTTGCATTGTTTACAAACAGCTTTCAGCCAACGGGCGCCAGCTATTGTCTTGCTCACCCGGCCGGTGTTGTGATGTAAACGGTGACCGTGTTATATGGCGACTTTGCCCGGATTCATCCGTTGTTGTCGTAGATAGAACAGCTGTTATAACACGAAGGTCTTCACGAGTCGACACGTTTATATTTTCATTATTGTGTAAAAATACAGAAATATAACAACTTTAATAAAAAAAAAATACACGCATGAGGAAGAGTAGTCGATAGCATTCGTAACTTCGACAACAAAAGATGCATTCGGCCATTGTACGCTAATCATCAGGGTCACTCTTCTTACCGAAACACCGACACTGTTAGCATGTGATGGAATGCTAACAGTTAGGCGGCTAAATGGGCTAACATCTGTGATCTCCACGTAGTCTAAAGTAAGTCGGTCTTGCCAACGACTTCCAGGCCGGGCAAATAGCAAATTTATAATCCTACGAACACAAAACTCAGTGTGCCAGTTGATGCACAGGGTTGCTTAGCTCAACTGGTGCAAGCAAGGACCTGGATAGTTAAACAGATGATAGAGCTGTCAATCAAAGCCCAGCACTGAGCTGCTGAAGCCACGCGGTCAACTAGCAACCGGCTATCAACTGACCCCTTTACCGCGATTTAGCCCGAATCTATCAATGACAATTCTGGAAAACCATTAAATCAACAAGCTAGGATGCCAACCTTGCCACTGGCGGTACCCCCGGAGACACCGATGAGAAAAGGTTGACGAATAATGGTGGTGTTCTCGCCACGGTCCTTTATATGTGTTTCACTGTCCCCGGCCATACTTGCAGTGTGCGATGTAGACTGCTGCGCTGGAAGATCGTTGCTAGGAGGCTCCTCCCACAATATACCAGTTGATGTTAAACAGCTCCAATACTAATTTATTTACGTACATTATTTGATACAGTTTCTGCTAATTGAACAAAATCTTATTAATCTTTGGTAATTAATATTTTGTTATTTTATTTCGTTTGATTGACAGTCAAAATGTCAAATCGTGTGATTATACGCTTTGTGTCCTGGTCCTCAGCAGCATAGATAGATACATAGATAGACTCACCGGCGTCCCTAAACGGCGGCCATCTTACTCCAGTATATCATTCTGGTACGCTCTATGGTAACTGACGGGAGGGGAGTAATCTGCATGATCAAAAATATTCTTAACTCGCTGAAATCTTGACAGATTTACAAATGGTTTTGTTTATTGCAGACCTTAATAACATGGCTATGAGTCGGGATGCTTGGGCATATTAAAATGGCAGCTTTTCTTTAAGGAAAAAAGAGACTTAATCATGAAGCACAGTTTTTTCACGTCTATTTCCGCGCAAGGGCTAACTTTGAGTCGCTTTGCGCAAATTCTCAAGGCAATCAAGATTTTAATTTCTTGTATGACCGCCTTTTATTTATTCATTTATTTATTTATTTGGTTAGTTACTTAGTGACAGTCTTTGTGGACGGCTTGTGTTTATTAGCTGTCGTAGACTCGCTGTGAGTGAGACCAAGTATATATTAAAAAGTTGACCCAGCAATTTCACATTAGTTGGAGAGGCAAAAATGCTCTTTCGATTCAACATAACTTAAGTTGCACATGATTTCCAAGCTGTTTGCTTCGTGAAAAACATCTAAAATGGCAACATGAGGCAGAAATTTATATTGAAAATAAATATTTATATGTGTTATTGCTGTATGTTATAATAGTTATCTATATAATAGAAATACTACTAATATAACATACATGGAATGATAAAATGTTTTATATATTAAGGATTTAATATAAGTGCCTTGTGTTTGTAGTGCCTAAAGCTATTGCTCTACCTATCTGCTTAATGTTTATTTATTAAATTCCATGGGCAAAAAAATATTCTTGAATATACAGAAACATAACTAAAAATCCGAGGTTTGTTACAAACCAAACTGTTCGAAAATCGGTTCAAAGACTAATGTTTGAAGTGGGCGAGCATTCTGAAGCAAAATGGCCGCCATGTGCGGACGTCCGCCTCCATTGGTTAACAGCGTGCGTAAGCCATCTAGCGTTTAAATATATCTATCTATGCTCAGCGGAGCCGTTCAACATGCCATTCCCCGCCCTGTGTGACGTTCAGGTGCTTGTCGGATGATCAGTTTCCGAGACTTGAAAGGTCGTTGCATTTTAGTGCTGAATAACAGTCTAGATCACTCTGCGAGAAAAAAAAAACGACCATAGCTCAAATTCCTTAGTAAAAATCCAAGGACAAGGCAAAACTGGACACATAGATCCGAATAAATACAATCTTTTTTTATATATCAGCATGTGGGTTTCACTTTAAGAATGATCTTTTCCCGATTCTTTTAACACCACGTGAATGCAGGGTTCACGTGAAGTGGACTTATCTGTTTGTGTTACATTAAGACTGTGCACTTTTAAACAAACGTAAGTCAAATTGAATCTGTAAGTAAGGTGTTCAAATGTCTAAACACAAAAGCAAAACTACTCATTGACAGGGTGAGACAAGAGGTGCTAGCTTGTGCCCCTTGCTAACTAACACTACTTTAACTTTGGGCTAGTGTTGTTGTGTTCATTTCCACTTTGTATCCTGTTTGTGTTTCAGTCAAGTGTTATTGTTGCATGACTTTCACCTGCATTTTGTACCTATTACAGTTACCAGGCACATCTGTGGGGAATCAGCCGTTTATAGCATGCTCCAGAGGCTCGCTGCTTCGTCCCTGTGGAGGCCCGCTCCTGCCCCCTTCGCTGCGGTGGTACGATGTGTGTCCTCCGGCTCCGTGGACATTACAGCCCCGCTGAATTTCTGGGCTGGAAAGAGGAGAACAAGCCAAGAGAAATGTAGCAAGGAGAACGTTTATGAACCTGCTACGGGTAAGTCACACAATACTCAGTTTTTGTACGAGCAGCTTTCTTCCATTGAACTTTGTTTACATTAACTGGACTTTGGTCATTGATTTGAGAAGTTCCCAATATCAGGTGTTGGGCGATCTGTTTGTGTGTTGTGTTCTACAAGTAAAAAGAAACCAGCCACTTTTGTCTGTCTCCCATCAAATCAAACCCATAAAAATACTGTTTGCTTGCCATGCGTATCTACATCTGCTCAGTCATTCTTAATCTCTTCCTTGGAAGATCAGGAGCAGCTTCAGTGTAACAGCATGGAGTCATGTGATCACATCATAGCTTATGATTGTCCTGGAATTTTGTATGTGTTACCTTTTCAACTCTAATTCTGACTTGATCCATTGTTTTAATTCAGATGTATTGGGGTCAGCCGCTCAATCTTTAACACCACCAATGACAATGAAATGCTCATAACCTCTGTGTCATTGCCATGCTATACTCAGTTTACAGAGGCCTGTAGACAAGGCCAATACAAGATGAACAACCTTTTTTTATAGGATGACCTACATTGCACTTGTGACAATCACACATACAGGTGAAGTGAAATACAACACCAAATTGAAACAGTCTCTCCTTTTTGTTTCTCATGTATAAAAAGCCTAAGGTAGTTATGACATATCAGATCAGTTAGTTTGTGGATAAGCATGTGGTGAAAGGGTTGGCAATAAAAATGTGATTCTAAATAATATTGAACCAATAATACAATACTGGATACACTACAACACATGAACTTGATTTATCTCCAAAGGGAAATATATTTGTCTGGAATCTCATGGAGAATTTTCTCTGAATGGACATTTAAGAAACTATTAATACAGTCAGGTGAGGGGAGAGGGTGATATGGTTGAAGAGTCCTTAAATTATTTCAAGTGCATCAGGATGTCGAGTCTGTATCCTATCAAGAGTAACACAGAGAATTCATGTGAACAAGTGACTGAACTCCCCTGGAACATAACATGGCTGGAGAGAAACTGCTAACAGTTAAGTATCTAGACAACACATCCTCTTCTTGACATTTATGTGTAAAGAGTGAAATAAATGAATCAGTATAACGTTTTTTGTTTAAGTTTACATGTAGTTGAGACTGAGAGACGCATCTAATTAGATGAGGGGAGTTTGTTACGTTTTCAGCTCTCATAGAGGTCATGAGTCAGTACTGGTGTGTTCGTATATAATTCCTTTTCTCTGTTCCATCCCTGTCTTGGAGTTCTGTGGCTTTGTGAAATAAAAAGAGACACCTCAAAATACTTTTTGTTTACTAGCTGTGACTGCTTGAAGCAAAATGAGGCAGGGCCTCGTTTAGGTCTTTGCCTCGGGCCTTCAACTTACAAAAAATACCTATAGACAGCTCTGACAGGAAGAGATGGATTCTTGTTTATCTAGAATAAGTTTGACAGCTATATGAAGCTGTACTGAATATAGTTTGACAGGTCTGTGTGGACTCTCCAAACACAAACTGTTCTTTCACAGATAACTTTCCTTTTCTTACACGTGGTGTTCTCCTTCCCTAAAGCTGTATTCTTTTCTTACTAAAGAGGAAAATAGTCTTTGAAATAGTTTTCAGCTCTCAGTTATAAATATTACATACCTTTATTTTGGTTTTAGTGTGCCACCCTGAAGTTTTCAAATCAAGTTATCATTATTATATTTTCAACAGCCTCATCTGGCCGCCCATATGAAACATTTTACCCATCGTCACTCAGCATGTGTTTCATTCTGCAGGGCGAGTCCTGTGCCATTTGGAGCCATGTGGTGCAGCAGAGGTTGATCAGGCTGTAAAAGCTGCCAAGTCGGCATTTGACCTCTGGAGCAAACTGTCTGGGATGGAAAGAGGGAGGATCATGATCGAAGCTGCACTCAACATTGAGGTGATTTTTGTTTTGTTTATCTGAATTTTGATGGCTGTAGTTGCAATAAACATGCACTGATTACACTTGAAAATATAATCTGGAGATATTCTTGATGGGAGTTCTGGTAATTTCACACCATCAGCACATTTTTTACATAGGCTCTGGATCTGTTTTGTTGTGTGACATTTACACTCCTCAAATGTATTACACGTAAAATGCCTTTCGTGCACAGAGCAGGAGAGAGGACATCGCTGAAATGGAGGTGGTCAACAATGGAAAGTCCATCACAGAGGCTCGCCTGGATGTGGACTCTGCCAGGCTGTGTATAGAGTACTATGCAGGGGTGGCCAGCACTTTGGCAGGTGGGCGCAGTGCAACTATCACACCTTAGTCGTGTGTTTACTAGAGCAGATGGTGAATATATTAACTGATTCTGGCATGACAGACAGTGGATTCAATCAATATTCTATCAGGCAGATTTCATTAAAGGTTTTCTGTTATGAAATATTGAAGCCACACATGATAGTGCCTGTGTTAAAATCTTACTAGATGGACTTAGTTGAGCAAAACAAACAATAACTCATCTTATACATGAACCCCAAAAAAGTTATAGTACATTTTGTGAGAGGACAAGGCCTTATTCATTGTCAAAGTTCTGAAACCATTACCTTTCTTTACTGTGTTATTACTTTTGACCATGGACCTCTTTTCTCAAGGCCAGCATGTCCAGCTGCCGGGTGGATCTTTCGCCTACACCCGCAGGGAGCCCCTGGGAGTCTGTGTTGGCATAGGTGCCTGGAATTATCCTTTTCAGATAGCAGCTTGGAAGTCAGCTCCCGCACTTGCCTGTGGTATGTATGTAACAGTGTATAATTACTTTTCTAAATGACATCTGAAGTTATTTAGTCAGTCTGGTAGGTGAAGTTAATGTTCACCTTGGTTTGATTACTCAATAAATATTTGAATATCTCAAAAAGTGCACGACGACAGTCAGGAAAAGGTTGCAGAGGAGTTTGAACATGTGCAAGATAAAGGCCTATTGTTCGAGGGAACCTCAAAATGTAACATTTGAAGTGTTTGAAACAGTACAAAATCCTGGCAGAATAAATACAGCACATGTGGCAGGAGATCAGTCTGCTGCAGCTTTATCTTGTCTTGCTTTGCTGTTTTAAAGCAATTGGTTGTCAAACTCCTCTTGTTTGTCTAATTTGATATAAACTGCAACTACAGCTACACGCTGTTCAGTTGCAGACAAAGTAAAGCGGCTGGTGTAGGAACATACTTAGCATTCATGTGTTTGCTGTCACCAGCAGATGGCACTGCTACAACATCATGAATTAAAAAATTACAGACAGGCGGTTATCGTGGCGTCTCATCACACAAACCTCAAGATGTTTTGATTCAACAAACCAACAGGTTTCAAATTAATTGTTATCCCCAAAGGACCTCCACTGTCTTTTTCTTTAATTGTGGGTATTTCAGAAAATAGGGCCTGTCTGAGATTTGTATAACCTGAAACACTCTCAACTGTCTGTCTTATCTGTGGAAACAGGTAACACCATGGTGTTCAAGCCGTCACCAGTGACCCCAGTGACGGCGGTCATGCTGGCAGAGCTCTATGCAGCAGCTGGAGCTCCAGAGGGCCTGTTCAACGTGGTTCAAGGCGGCCAAGAGACGGGAAGCTTACTCTGCCATCACCCTGATGTCGCAAAGGTGTCATTCACTGGGAGTGTGCCAACGGGAAAAAAAGTCAGTTGTTTTTCACACATCTATATTTTCATCTGCATCTAATTATGTATTTAGATATATGAATTTATCCACTGTATTTTCAAGGAGATTGGTTTCGAAACTTTTTATCTACCTACCTCTTATTTCTCCCGTCAGCATCTTAATCAGTCTATGCAGGCTTTGCATGTGGTTGGGAAATTTTGATGGCGTTTTGTCAAACTTCATTTAACAGAATTCTGTTTCTTAAATGTGTTTCTTATGTTTTGTAGCTGTTTTTGCAGTAGATTACTTACTTTTTAAACTAGTTTCGATAATCTCTCCAGAATAAGTAAAAGTTATAGTAGGAGTATAAATCCCAAATGCTTCTCAGCTTTTCCTGGCTTTCTAAATATGAGTTGAAAAAAATTTCTGTCCTAATTTTGATCCTCAGATCATGGAGATGGCCTCAAAGGGGGTGAAGCCTGTGACGCTGGAGCTCGGGGGGAAATCTCCGCTGCTCATCTTTGAGGATAGTGAGCTGGAAAATGCTGTGAGGGGAGCTCTAATGGCTAATTTCCTGTCTCAAGGCCAGGTAAGCAGTCTGTTGATGTTATGTATTATGTTTTCTTAAATCTCAAGTTCGTCATGTGTATATTATCTGATATTGTAAATTAAGGTCTGCAGCAACGGTACAAGAGTCTTCGTACAGAGGAGTATTCTGCCGGAGTTTGTGGAGGAGGTGGTGAAGAGGACTCAGGCCATAGAGATAGGTGACCCGCTACTGGAGGGCACTCGAATGGGAGCACTGGTGAGTCGGCCTCACCTGGAAAAAGTCCTGTCCTTTGTTGATCAGGCAAAGAAAGAGGTAAGATCTCTGAGAATGACTTACTTTGCTTTACTTTATCAAAGTCAAACATGTTTGTTTTTAAGTGTTTGTGCAGCAGTTAAAATGTGGAGCTGCTTGTTTTAGGGAGCTTCGGTGTTGTGTGGAGGTGAACCTTTTGTCCCCTCTGATCCTAAACTCAAAGATGGGTATTATATGACTCCATGTGTGTTGGGTAAGACTCACATTTTCTTAAATTTAAATTTATAATTACTGCAGAATATTTTCTTTCAATTCTTCCTGTAACACTTCTTTATTCATCCAATGTTTTCCCCACTCACAGGTAACTGTACAGATGACATGACCTGCGTGAAGGAAGAGATCTTTGGTCCCGTCATGTCTGTTTTATCTTTTGAAACAGAAGAGGAGGTGCTGCAGAGAGCCAATGACACCACCATGGGTCTGGCAGCAGGAGTTTTCACCAGGTAAGACAACCAGCACAGCTCCTCAAGCAAACGACTGTGACTTTTCCAAAATCAATTATCTTCAAGCTTTGTGACAAGTCCAGACTTTTAGTTTGTTGGTTTTGAAGAACCTTTTGTACCCTGAATTTCTTCGATGATTTTCTCCCATATACAGTATGTGAAAGCTCAAATTGTTTATTAACAGCCATGATCTCTTGCTGCAAATAAGAGATTCTATCCATACAAGCAAAACGCCTGAAGACATAACCTGAAAGAATCACTTTGTCTGACAGCAGCAGTTTCAGACAAACAATAACTTGACACAAAAATACATCTTTGTTATTATGGTCTTGTTTGTGTAACTCATCAAGTGACATCTTTGTTAGAAACCATTTACCCACAGGAGCTTTAGCTTAACCAGTAGTTAAAGAAATGAAAACAAACTTGTAAGTACAGATAGACCCCAGCAAAAAAAAACTGTGTTTATTGCTAACACAACATCATTTAAATTTAACCACCAACAATACTCAGTTTTTGAAAATCTGTCTTTTGTGTTTTTAGGGATGTGAGGCGAGCCCACCGTGTGGTAGAGCACCTCAAGGCCGGTTCGTGTTTTATCAACAACTACAACATCACCCCTGTGGAGGTGCCCTTTGGAGGCTTCAAAATGTCAGGTACAAACAGACCCGCAGTCAAAATTCACAGACTTTGTGGTCCTAACACCAGAAAGAAAAATGATAAGACAGTGTCTCCTTGCAAAGTCTGAAACAGCATTGATTTAAAAGTCTAGTTTCATCGGCTGCCAGCCATATGAGTTTAAGTAACTTTCTATTATCTTTCTTTTTACCAGGTATAGGACGAGAAAATGGCCAAGTGACAATCGAGCACTACTCTCAGCTGAAGACTGTGTTTGTGGAGATGGGAGACGTGGACAGCTTATTTTAAAACATGGCGTGTCTGGTAAGATGAGGCTGTGACCCAAACTCAGAGACTGTAACATGGATGATCTGGATCAGAACCACACTTCATCACTCAAGGAAGAAAATAAGAGTTCATTTTGAGGCGGTGAGAAACAAATCTTGATGAAAGGAGTGAGTGTGGCTTTGGGGGATTTCCAAAATGTGAAACAAATGTGACACAAAAGAGATGATGAAAACCCGACAGAAATGTGATCTTTCAGTCTTAGCATTATTGACGTGCCAAATCAATCAAATTAAAGTTGATCTTAGTGTTTACTTAGCCTTGATGCATTTCAGCTGCTAAAGCATAGAAAATAATGTGCAGTGCATGTTTTCTTTCTAAACATGTCATTCATGTATAGAATAATATTTTTAATAATATTGTTCAAATGTTTACAAATGAAGCTTTATTTTCTGACAAAAAACACCAACATAGTTTTATACACACAACAATGAAAAACGAAGCACTTTGAATATTAAAGGGATTTTGTACCTCAGATTAGTCACAGCATGTTCTCTCCTTTGCAGTGTTTTGTCTACATAAGAATTTTAACAGTAAAACTGTATCTGTGCAAAGAACACATTGTCTTGTTAAATTAGTTCTAACATAACCTTAAACATTTTATAACAATTATAAACTAAAGACAGTAGCTTATCAGCTGATTATCAGCGTCTGTCATTGAGCTCCTGTTTTTTTTATATCCATGCGTCTAGATTCTTCTTTTCCTCCTGGACAGAGTTTTTGCTGCTCTGTTTCTCTGCAATACACAAACAAGAAAATCACTTTCACTATAACCTTTTAAGTTGTGATATTTTTCTTAAACCTGGAGGCTTTAAATAATAACTGAGCACTACTGTACCTTTGCCGGAGGTCTTACAGGTTTTTTGAACTGTGCAGACTCTGTTTAAAAGAAAGCCAACAGTATTAAGCATTTGATTTTACAGCTTTTACCAGAAGCAGTTTATAAACGTACCATCCTCAGAGGGTAGATCCTCTTCTTGGTATTTTTTCTTGTGAGGATCCTGAAACGGTGTGTTCACAGACAGTTAAAATAAACTCTTAGTTAACTTGAGCTAATACTCGAAAACTAAAACCTGCACTTGAATAATCCTCTCCTCACGCACCTCGATCGTTTCCTTCTCCAGAGGATTTTGTGGGGGAGCCTGCTTGATCTCCCTCAGATGGTTCCCTTCTTGGAGTTTCTCCAGTCTGCCTTGTTCCGCTGAGACTCGCACTCTCAAGGTGTGGTAGGACGTCTGTACCTCACCCACCTTGAAGTGCATGGCTACGCCCTCAAACCAGAGGCTGTCACACTCGCCCTCCTTAAAGCCAGGCGGCTGGTAGTCTGCTGGGGTGACTATTAGAGGAGGAAAGGAAAATGTTTTCACCATGCAATCAAAATAAGACCTTACTCTCTTGATTGATTTACTTTCTTACCATCATCATAGTAGTAGAGCTTCATGGTGAGATAGACGTTGTTTGGGAGGGCGTCCAGGTTCTGCATAAGCAGGAAAAGCTTCCTGATGAGCAGCACCGAGGCTCTCTTGGTGTCCTCCAGAGTCACTTTCATTCCCACGTCATTGTTCCTGCAGTTAAATGGAGGATTCGTATCTATCAATTAAATCACATGGAAAGGCCGTGTCCAGACTATTAATATATAGATCCAAACCTGAGTATGTCCATCTCTGGCCCCTTTTTGGTGTATCTGAATTTGAACTGGTATGACTCAACAATGCACTGTAAAAAAAAAATAGGATCATAATCTATTGTAATGCATACCGATGTTGAAATTTATCATTTATTTTGCAATTATTTTGACACCTTAATGTGGAGCATTATAAGAAGAAAACTCACATTAGGTTCATCTGGATTGGTGTATACCTAGAGAATATGTTGCACACAGTTAGTTCAGTTAGGTTTCACCTTTTTCTACTTCATGTAATAAGCATAATTATAGATGTTGCACCTTTGATCTGACCTAACTTACCCCAATGAACACGATCTGGAGCTGTTAAAACAACAGCAAGGAATAGTCATGGCTTGTTATTTGTGAAGGGCAAACCAGGCAAAACAAATGTTCCATGTGTTCATGAGTGCATACTTACATACTGCTTTTCCAGTGCATCAAAGCTGCCCATTATCCTGGAAAAGAAAGCAGATATTAAAAAAAAAAAAAAAAACACAGTGAAAACATCAAAGAAAGGAATATAATAATTACCATTTCACCACTTTGCTGGCTCCAGGTGTGGTGAGGTCTTCACGCAGAACTTTAACGCACAAGTCTGGTGAAATTGAAATGAAAATATAATGAAACAAGTGCATCATTATCCTGGTAGGCACGATGGAGAATATCATGCACCTGTCAGTGGTGGAAGGGGTACTAAAATATAATACTTAATTGAAAGAAGTTACTTTAATTACATTTCACTGAGGTAGAGGTAACACTGTCAGTCTATCTCTGGTAGTGAGCATGGTGGGAGTAAGATACGCAGCCTTAAATTATGTAAAAGCATATTTATTTAATAGTTTAAAAAAGATCTTCATTAATGTGTAAAATGAGTTTAACTTTGCACATATCCAGACTGATATTATTGAATATTTCTGCACCATTTTTAGTTAGTGTTGAACAATGTAAATGGTGTCAGTACACATCAGTCATGGCTGGTTGTGCTGAAAGGCTCACATTACAAGCCAAAAAATAAAGATTTGATTGTAATAAATGGTTGCCAGTGCAGCAAGTTAAATTTTCTGGATAAATTTCTTGCATCAAGACGCAATTCTTCTGTTGATGAACTTATCAAGAAATTATTGCTTGAAATATCTCGAAAGAAGATTTATGTTTGGATGTTTCAAGTCACTGCTGCTTAAGTTAAGATTGATTATGTATTTTGACAAGAAATGAGACCAGTTCACTTTGTAAAATGTAAGTTTTTAGAGTAGATATTATCCAAAAGCTGAGTGGAAAGCTTCATGTTTTGTTTTTCTCAGTAACTGGTGCTATATAAAATTTAAAAGGGAAAAAGTACTTTCCACAGAAAACACTCAAGTGAAAGTTACCTAATGATTTTTAGAACTACTCAAAAAGTACAAATCCCCCCAAAAATCTCCTCTATTACAGAAATGTGAGTAAATTACCCTGGTTCCTTTAAAGTTTTATGAATAAGTACCACATTTATAGTTTATTTTAATGATCTATTACAAACAGCGGTATTTTGTTGTGTGATACAGGGTGAGGCTGGCTCCGTGAATTCATGTCCTTGACTTTCATCAGGTCCTGGTCTGTATCTGTGTTCACCTTCCAGGTATCTGGATCTGTAGGCATCTTCTGGAAAAATCCCTCTGAGGTAGGTGATGGAAGACACGGCCACAGCCATCAGCCTCTTGACGAACACGAGGGACTCTTGCTCGGTCTTCAAATCACTCAGAAACAATCCTGCCCACTTAAAAACAGATTATCAAAAACCTCACAGAAAAGAAGAAACCAGTTCAGTTAAACGAGACTTGTTGTGACATTAAAGCCACATGATGGCGCCAACTCCTCCGTGTCTGTCAGCGGATATTTAAACACTAAATCAATCCTTGACTTCACCAAACACACAATCTGAATCAATTAAATCATACATTCAATAAAATCTTAATGTTATCTTTTAGGTAGAGTGGTCAAACCTCGACGGATCCCTTGCTCTTTCTGGTGCACATCTTTCCTGAAGCCATTTTGCGTTTTGAATTGACAATCTAAGCTAGCTGTCCGGAAGTTTACATAAATATTCAACAATACCGACAATAAACGGGTCCAAAAGACACCCCTTCTGCCTGAATTGACTTATCGCTTATTTCTTAGTTGATAAAGTTATTTTGAGCTATTTTTTACGGAAAACAAATTAGCTCAAAATCACCGAAGCACGATACAACTCCAACTCCGGCCGGATTTCATCGTTTGTGTTTCCCGCCTTCAACTCTGACCCCAATTAAAGAGAAGGGACTTTACGCGGTAGGCTACTGTAAAATGACTGAAAAGGATATTTATTAATTTGATTAATATTAGTTTAACCATGAGTGAAATTAGGTTCAAAACTGTGAATGGGTATCTATGGGTATTATTAAAAAAAAAAAAATAAACAAGAACTTTTAATGAAATAACCTTTTTTTTTTTTTATTTAACCCATAGACTGTGTATATATATATATATATATATATATATATATATATATATATATATATATTATATACAGTACAGGTCAAAAGTTTGGACACACCTTCTCATTCAATGCATTTTCTTTATTCTCATTACTATTTAAATTGTACATTCTCACTGAGGGCATCAAAACTATGAATGAACACATGTGGAATTATGTGCATAAGAAAAAAGTGTGAAACGACTGAAAATATGTTTTATATTTTAGATTCCTCAAAGTAGCCACCTTTTGCTTTTTTGATAGCGCTGCAAACTTTTGCTGTTCTCTCAATGAGCTTCATGAGGTAGTCACCTGAAATGGTTTTTACTTCACAGGTGTGTCTTGTCAGGGTTATTTTGTGACTGACAGAGTCAGTCACTAAGTACTTCTGTCATCAAGAGCATAGGGTGGCTATTTTAAAGAAACTACAATATAAAACATGTTTTCAGTTATTCCAAACTTTTTTTATAAGTCCAAAATTCCACGTGTTCATTCATAGTTTTGATACCTTCAGTGATAATCTACAATGTAAATAGTCATATAAAAAAATAAAGTAGACATTGAATGAGATGTGTTCAAACTTATGGCCTGTGCAACAGAGCCCAAAAGTTGCCTAAGAGGATCATAGAGGCTTCTAGCTTTTTCTTTGCACTTTTATTCCATAAATAAGTCAATAAAAGGTGGTTTTGCGATTACTTTGGTCATAGGCAGCATACCTACACCTTTTTGTGGTAGGAAACCCTTAGTTTATGCAGTTGGTACTGAGGTTCCATTATGATTATATTAGTGGTCAGGAAAACATTTGGGCATCTAGTTATTTATAAACCTAATTTAGTCTACGGTTTTTAAAGTTTAATAAATAACTGGTGGTGGTAACAGTCCAAAAAAGGCCTAGTTAACTCACCTGTCTGTTCAGTTATTTCATCTGATAACTGCGCTTAAGTCACCTTCGCTTGGTATGTATCTTTTACAGGTATTCAAGAATATATCGATAAAACTTTAGTTTACATTCATGCAGTAATTTGAAGAAGCATATCAACCAAATGCAAAACATACCTTGTGATGATGTGATGAATGAAACTTGACAGGTTCATTCAGCAAATAAAAAATGTATCAGGTGAATGAATTTATCAGTAATTACTTTAAACTCCAAGATTTATGTTTGAACACAATTCACTTAAAACCTTCAACATGTTTTTGCAACTAAAGCTCATTTATTCATGTGTTTATTATTGTCTTGAAGGTTCTGTAAATACCCTCAAATGTTAGTGATGTGATAAATTATAATAAATACATCACTGGGATTTGGTCTCTTATCATTCTGAAAAATGCATTGAACAAAGACATTGAACAAAAAAAAAAAAAAAACACTTTTAGGATACTTAACTGCTTACTCCAAAATCAAATACCTCAATATCTCAACTAGTTTGTTAAGTAAAAACTTGTTAAAGGAGTGCTACAAACTGTGTCCTTTATTTATATGAAAGAAAATGTTTTTCCACCCAAAATAGAGGAACAAACAATGGGCATTGTGCTTCATTCAAATAAAAAAGCATGTGTGGACTGTTTCACTTCACTATTGTGAGGAATGACATGACAGAGTAAACAGGCATATAGCTCAGTCTTACAAAGTAAACAGCATACATCATTGCAACATAACTATACAATTATATACTTTGGTCATAAGTGTACTGCTACACTACATAGACGGAGATAAACACAACATGTTTACTACAAAAACTGTCTCCTTGCTACTTCTCCACAGGCACAGCCGCTGATTTAAATATTCTCTAGTAACGTAATCTAAATGAAATCTACAGCAGGCTGCAGACTCTGGCTCTGCGTTTATTACTGCTTGGAGAAGAAGTCTTTGCTCTTCTGGACATCAGGTTTGATGGTGTCACTTCCAGGTTTCCAGCCAGCAGGACAGACTGAAAAGATAAGCCGGTAATGAGTCCTGGCCCGATAGATGAGACAATGAAGACTTATGCCAGAATGACAGATATATTTCATATACAGAATCTCTTTCACCTCTAAGCAGGAAATGAGTGAGAAGAAGTTGGGGTTGTGTAAGTGTTTAATGTCTGCAACCATCAATGGGAAGATCATATGACACTCACCACTTATAAGAACTTAAAATAAGCCCTTTTCCTGCTTTGTCTGATTTATACAAGTAGAGTGCAAGCAACTTAGTTTGTTTTTTATGTAAAATGGTGTAAAGGCATGACTATTATAACACACTTCCATTCAACAGGTTAGATGTATTCATGCTGAGTGAGAATGTGTTGCTTGTTAACCTATAAAAACTTTCTTGTTGTGTGTGTTAGGGATGCTTAGAATACACGAATTGGGATTTTTTTGTGCAGCTCTAATCTGTAAGATGCAGTAAATACAGGATCTTCATTAAGGTGTGAAATATTTAAAGCAGCAAGTTACCTTCTCCGTGTTTATCTGTGAACTGAAAGGCTTGGACCAGACGCATTGTCTCCTCAACAGAGCGTCCGACAGGGAGGTCGTTGATGGTGATCTGTCTCAAGATACCCTTGTCATCAATGATGAACAGACCCCTTTCAAAGAACAGAAAGAGCAGTTTGTGAGTTTGTGAGGATTAGCATGCGCAAAAGAGATTTTGAGACAGGAAATTACATTTTAGGTGTGCAAAGTGTAAAAGAAACATCTGTCTTTTGTTGTTTAAAAAATACACCATAGTCTCTTTCTCCACCGATGAAGAGTGGTTGAAAATAGCAAATGTCTCAGGTACCACCTAAAATATTAATTGGGTTTCATAGAGAATGAAAGTCGATATTACAAATTTACAAAATGCTATGATGTATTTGCACTCCAAAATATATGTTTCTTCACAGTCTATAAGTTACCAACACAACAGTAATCGTTGCTTCTCCTTGCAAAAAGTATTTTAGAGAAAAGACAAAAAAGAGTACTGTTTACAGTTAAATTTTTTTGTGACAATTTAATCGACATCAGTGCTGTATTTTCTATTTTAACTCTTTGGTAGGAGTTGAGCTGATATTAGAGAACATTGGAGTAGCTTGTCCTCGGAAGAATTTAAAAGTTTGCAATTTCAAAATGTCATGAGTTAAATGTGTATAAAAAAAAAAAAAAAGGGAACCCAATAACTGCAAATTAAAAATTACACATATCCTATCGACTGTTTTTTTCCCCAAATTGTGTGCTGCCATCTACTGGTTACTGTTAGTTACTGAAACACAATCTGGGTGTTGAACAAAAGACACTTGAGCACTTGTTATTCGTTGCTGTATTAAATATTTCATGTTACAAACTTTCTGGATTTTTTTTTGGTCAAGGGAATAATTCTAGCTCAAAACCAGGTAATGGAATATTTATTTAGAGGAAATAATTGTCAGATCACATCAAAACACCCACCTGTAGGCTATGCCCTCATCCTCTTTCAGGACACCGTAGTCAGTGGAGATTGTGCGCCGTGTGTCAGACACCAGGGGGATCTTCATGGAACCCAGACCACCCTGCTTACGGGGTGTGTTGGTCCTTTGAGAAAGTAAAGCAAAAAGGAGATGTGAGAAGTTTGCAGGTGAATTTAGACAATCACTGGCCGCTTTAATAAAGCCTCATAGCTACCATGCAAAGTGGGAGAAGTGGGAGTCTACGGAGACGGCGATGACCTCACAGCCAATCTTCCTGAAGTCGTCGGCAGCATCACTGTAAGCAATGATCTCAGTCGGACACACAAAAGTGAAGTCCAGCGGATAGAAGAAAAAGACAACATATTTCCCTGCACAAATGAAAGACAAAACTAGGTGAGTGAGTCTGTCATGTGACATGCATACATAGTAATTACAGGTTCATTAATTCTAGTCTTTAGTTGTGTAAATGAACGTCCATTCAGTATTTTGTTGGATCTCAAAGCGGTGAATTACAGTCCAGCGTCATCAAAGCCTCCACTCATCAGAGGATGAGACACAGGTTGAGGTTTACCTCTGTAGTCTGACAGCTTCAGGTCACTGAATTGTCCGTCTGGCATCACCGCTTTAGCAGTAAAATCCGGGGCTGGCTTTCCAATCTGTGCTTTTCCAGCAGACATTTTCTTTTATCTAAACAGATAAAAAGACACAAACAGTTTATGTAATTTATGCTTATGTATTATTCCTGAATGAGCCCAACTCACTAACTTTCAGGAAATACTTTTATGTATATATATATATTTTAAATACTGTTCTGTCTATGAAATGACAGTGCATTTATGCTACATCTGCTACAGCAGTTAGCAAAGTTATCTTTATTTCTGTAAAAAAGTGAAAAAAAAAATGCAGGATTATCTATTCATTCACCAATGTCTATATATTGATTTACTTCACTAAAATCATCATTTGTCACTTCCAATAAATGCATGAAATACCTGTTATTGTGCATCAGCAGCAATTTTTCTCCTGATTTAGTTTCTTTAGCATGATATTGAACATCACTTTGCTCTAGCTTCTTAAAATTAAGAGTTTGTAGCTTTTTATTGAAAAGCAAACAAGAAAATAATCCCTTTGTACTGTAGGGCGTTTGTTGGTTTTTGTTTGTGTGTGTACATTTTTTCACATCCGAGTAAAACGTGAGTATATCTTTTTTTCTTTTCGGCTTCTTGGTCAAAAACAGACAACTTCAAGTCACATTGACTTTGCAGCAAAACTTGAACATAAAGCAGAGTCTTAAAAGACACCGTAGTTATATAAATAGTGGCACATGTAAATATGCACACAAACACTTTGTACAGTACAAAAACCAAAACTCATGAGCCACTTCCACTTCTCTTAAAGAATTCACAGGTGTTTCCGCATATACATATTTACATTTACCACAACAGTGTGAACGTTTTAGACTGCCTTAGTCTTCTCTGAGAACGTTGTCGCCACTATTTCAGTTTAATAGCAAAGGTAACATAAAACTTGCTATAAAATGTGCTTTTGGTGTTTTTACTTATTGAGTAAAAACCAACTACCGAAATGTGAGGAGACTTTATGACACGCATGAGTTTGGAGTAAGTTGGCGCCTGGTCCAGTTATTGTAATTTTTTCCGTTGACAAAATTAAAAGCGTTTCCTTAACTTTTTTATCCTAATGTAAAATAGGCGTGTGTGACTTCAAAAGAAACAAATAACCACTTGTTGAACCGTGAATTCAAAGCATTTTAAAATGACCTCAATGCTCATATAAACTCAACAATTAAACACAATGAAACGCTAAAAGAGGGTATAATTGTGTTATACAAAAAATATAAATGATTTTGGCGTACATACCTCAGTTTTGAGCCCACAACACCGTCAGTCACCAGAGAAGAAGGAGTGTAGATTCTGCCAGGCTCGATGAGAGGAATTTATACAGCGGCTCAGTTCTCGCGATAACATGGATCCGAACGAGTTCAGAGACCACTTCAGTTCAGTCCTCCAAGCTCAACCCACCACTATCCAGCATGACTTTGCACTTTTTCTCATAAATTTCCTGGAAATTTTGATGCTCTTGTGTAATAACATCAAAACGTAAAACAGTCTATGGTGAAAAGAGAGGAAGAAGGAGGAAATAGTCCAACAGTTACAGTAATCCCCGTTGGGCATGTTAAACTTCAGTAGTTCCTCAATCTGAAGTAAAATGAATTAACAGAGCAATATTTGTTCTGTGGATAACCTCTGCTGACACTTAAATGTCTTTCTTTTATTTTAAAAAGTCAACTTACTCCAGAAAAAGGGGGGTTTAATGTGATGCAGGTTCCCAATCAGAGCTAGTAGAGGTCACAGAGTCAGGAGATTTCATCATGTGACTCAGGAGTGAAACCTTTGTCATCATGAATCGACATGAAAAAAACACTTTCACATTACTACTAAGGCCTGCTATTGAGTTGCAGTCATATAAATCTTACTCATTAACTTTTACACCCAGGAAACAAAGCACATCATCAAACAAAGTACCATCAATAACTATTTCAACAATAGTTTCTGATGTCATTTTGGATATGGGCAGATGCAACAACCAGGTTTTTCAGTTTGTACTGCCTTGCAGCAAAACCTCATTTACTCTCCAAAATAAACTTGTAACTCACAAATCAAGTACTTTTTTTAAAATCATTTTTGTTGTTGTTGTTGTTTTGTTCATAGTAAATGACACAACTCAAAATGCTCCCTAAAGGTATTTAAAAAAAATCCAATTTCTTACAGTTTCATACATGATTCCTGTCATTTAAACTACCGCAGCAAGAGTAAATGATTCACTCTCCGTGAAAACAGATTAAGACCATTAGACTTTGGCTTATGAGGACTATCAGAACTGTGACAATAGTTGGTTGAGTTCCTCCAGAATTTCTGGGTAATAATACGCCTATTTACTTTGACATCACGGCTTACTGACTGGGACAACGCACTGTTGCAACATCTTGCACTTACACTGTGGGCAGCAGAAGGCGTTTTTCTTTTTCATTTCCTCCTCACCACTGCTATATTTACATGATGGCTTGGCAGTGAAACAGTGTGTTTGTCTTTGCATTTTGACACAGCAGCAGTGTGGAAAAGAAAGGAATTTCAAGCTTATACTTCCTGATTGAAGAGTCTGTGACTGACTGAAATGTATATTTGGCAAACCATTTTAAGGGGCGTCTGACTTTCTGTCTTTTCTCATCTTATTTTTAGTCCGTCTGCATTTGAAAGAACTTTTCATCTTTCCAACACTGCATTTTTTTATTATGAAATAGTTGCAGTAATAACTCGTTGTCTTTACTTATCAGAAGTTTGCTGTTTGCATATAACTTGACAGTAGTTATTTTACGCTGACATTTTTGTATTTGTTGGACCTGAAAGGCAAACATGAGCCAAGGCCCTTTTGCCATCAGACTCAGCAAGTGCCCTATTTTCTCTGGGTATTTCAGGGAGCTCCACTCTAGTTTTAAGGACACAAGAATGGAAAAGTGAGTAACTCGGTTGTCAAATTGTTGCAAAAGCAATGCATAGTCCACAAAGAAAAGCTGTATGTTTCAATCCAGCTCGGATATTTTCTAAAGCTTTTTTCAAATGTTTAATTTTAGATAACATATTAACAGCAAACAACCACAAATATGAATGAGGGAAAAACAGTTGGGTCCTCTAGAGGACTGAAAATTTGTTTTGGGGATATTTTAGGGAAGTAAAGGAAGCCTGACAGGGACACTAAAGTAAACACTGTTGTGCCATACTAGTTCAGGTAATGTTTTTTGTAACTTTCATTTTTATAGATACTACTATTTGACCTGAGTGTATGTGAACTGTTCAGAACAAGACCGTTATCAGCTCAAACAGCCCCTCCACCCTGTTTTCATCCTCTGCTGTCACTGAGCGATGTCTCTGCATTGTGGTCGCCATGGAGACAGCATCAAGGGCCAGATAAGAGGGCAACACACAATAACCTCCTGTTAGAAGCACCGGGGTGGGTTTCTCATCAAACGTCCCCCTGTGTTCATCTTCTGCCTCACAATATGCACATAATTAGAGCATCTGCTCACTGCTTATTACAAAACAAATGGCTGTTTAAAGGCCACTCCTGTGCTGGGTCCATTATCCTACTCCTTTTCAGCTGTGCTATGAAAACACACAGGACAGGTCTTTTTGCATTAATGGGATAAAAAATGTTGCAAAATACTGGTGCTCTCCACCTATGATAAATGCCAGCGAGCATTCTTCCTGACTAATTCCCAAAATTAATTTCCATGTTTACATAATGCATTTAATTTTGGACTGATGATGACTCAATGCTAGAAATGTAAGCAACAGGTTAAGTAAAACAAGAGTTTTGTTAGTCTACATTAAAGAAATTAAACCTATTCATATTAATAAAGTGCTTTTTATCCCTGATACCTCAGCCAGAGGAGTAGATTAAAGATAATGTTATTTACAGCAATATTTTACAAATGTTAAAAAAAATCACACGAGAGACATATTTGGCTGTGACCAAAGGAAGAAAAGTTATAAATGTTATATGTCCTTAAGTTAACAAATTAGTTAATGTTGCTAGTCACTCCATATGGAAAAAAAGTGAACATTATTAAAAGCTGAAATGTAGTTAAGATGAAAAAAGTAGTGTTTGTTCTCCTTCTAAGTGAATGACAATATACCATGTTATGAGAAAGTATCTGAGGTATGCTTTAAGACATTTTGTAAGGCCCCCAATCTTCTGTAAAATTGTCTGTTATTCCACTGAGATTAAATCCTCTCTCCAACCAACTGTGGCTGATTGATAAATTATTATGGGACAATCTGCACTGTGTTCTGCTGGTGGTTTTTATTTTAAAATTACAGCTGTTGAAGCCATGATTTTAATGATGATGGCGTGAGGGGGTTGAGTGCAATTGTCTCAGTATGAGGCTGATTGGATCACAGGTCCAGACTCGTCTCCAGGCTGAGGCACATACAATTCAACAGGAGGGGCTCAGAGGAGATCTGTATACCACCCCTGTGTCCCTCACAGCAGGACATGACAGGTGCCTTTGTTTGTGTGTTTGCACAGGGGAAACACACACAAAGATATACCTGTACAGTACTGCTATAACCACTTCTGTAACTCTGTATTGACCAGCTTGGATATAAATGTACAACAGAGGTGGTAAAAGTTAAACCATAATTTTAAGTGTGAAATAAATGGAGAATATAAATGACATTAGCATCAACATGATTGAAAATATCCATTCATTCATTCATTCATTCAATCAATCAATCAATCAATCAATCAATCAATCAATCAATCAATCAATCCAGGTAGTATCAATACAGGAAGTATATTCAACAAAATATAAAAAGATGTTTTGAAAAAGAGCTTTATGTGGTAGCCGTAACCAGAGTATTATATAACTATTTACACAAGAGTTATAAAGCCTGATGGCTGTTGGTACAAAAGATCTTCTGAATCTTTCTGTCCTGCAGTGAAGAGAGAGGAGCAGTCCACCACCATTGGTCCTTGGTCCATCAAGGTGTTGTGAAGTGGGTGATCCATGTTCTTGAGAATAGACTCCACCTTCCTCAGTGTAGATCTCTCCACCACATCCTCCACTGAGTCCAGCTTGAGTCCAACCACAGAGCCAGCCTTTTTCATCAGTTTGTTAAGACGTCTTGCATCTTTGTGTTTGATACTTCCTCCCCAGCAGACTGCAGCGTAGAACAGAACACTTGCCACCACAGACTGATAAAACATCTGCAGCATCTTACTACAGATGTCTTTTGATTGGAGTCTTCTCAGGCAAAAGAGGCGGCTCTGCCCCTTTCTGTAGATGTAGTCTATATTCTTAGATCATTCCAACTTATTATCCAGATGTACACCTAGGTATTTATAGAATGCCACCACTTCGATGTCCACTCCACAGGTGTTCACTGGCTGAAGAGGAGGTTTGGATCTGCGGAAGTCTATGACCATCTCCTTTGTTTTTGAGGTGTTGAGGAGGAAGCAGTTTTTGTGACTCCAATCACTGAAGGCTCTTATCAGATCACTGTATTCAGCTTCTTGTCCATTTCTGATACATGCCACAATTAGCTTTAATTTTGTTGAAATTTATTGGTGTGAGCAATAATAGCAGCATGGCATGGTGTGATCTGGCCTTTCACAGTGATCAGCTCAGTGCTCAGTTTCTAAATGGGCAGGAAATCATTTGGTTATCGAGAGAAAACCAACTTTGTTTCTCTGAAATGACAGGAAATAGCAGTGGCGAGTTCATTATCAGTAAAAACTGAAATAATTTTAAAAATTCTGTAACTATAAAAGGATAGTTACATACTTTTATGTATGTACAATAATTCTTTTATTACTATTTGTCCCATTATTTTTTGAATTGCTGAATTTTGTTGTCTTTAATATTGAGCACGTTGGGTCCATGTATTTGCATTGGCAGCAGCTCCTAGCAGTCTTCTCCATTTTCGTCCTGGCCCTTTAAGAATTCTCCCGCGCTGGTTAAGGAACCCGGAAATCGACCGGAAAGGGTAGGAATATTTCGCGCCAATTTGAAACAAGAGAGCAGTGAGTGTGAGCGGTGGAAAAGAGAGGAGCAGACACACAAACCACCGCACTGAACTTTTAAAGTTTCACTCTTTATTTTTCGCACAATTCAAGGTAGGTACGAAGGTAATTCAAAACTCTTGACCGTGATGTAGGAAGAAGAGAAGCAAAGTAATTAAACGCTGTAATGAACTTTTTGGTGTATAAAGCGGAATTAAAAAGTGTTTTTCTCTGTGTAGTTTTGTGAACATGGAGGAGGCTAACAAGCTAATTGGAGCTGGAAAGAAGCACCTGGTAATGGGGAAGGTGGTCGAGGCTGTAAGCACCCTGCAGGAGGCCTGCGGCATACTGTGAGTTCACCATCACACAAAAGAAACACACAAACGCTCTGGCGTTTTATTAAAAGACACTTAAAATCATCCTGAATGTATATATATTGAATGTATATTTAAGCGTTTATAAGTTTTTGTTTGTTCTTGAAGTTTTTTTTTAGTGTTTTTTAAATCGAGTTTTTAATACAGTGTTTTGGCTTTTTCTTTAAGATATTAAAGTTACTTTATATCTTGTTATTCGTCAATAAGATGGAATAAATTGTTGTAAATTAGGAAAAAAGTTACATATTTTTGTTTGTTCGGCTTTTTTTTTGTGTGTTTTTAAATCGAGTTTTTAATACAGTGTCTTGGCTTTTTCTTTTAGATTAAAGTTACTTTCTATCTGGTTATTTGTCAATAAGATTGAATAAATTGTCCGAAAGCAGGAAAAAAGTTTACATATTCATTAATGTCGCAATTTTTTTAAAGTTTTGAAGTAAATGATGGAAATTAAGTGTTCATGAAATCATTAAGCATTCATTATGAAAATCTCAAGTTTGTTTTTTGTCTTTTAGGGCTAAAAAGTATGGAGACACTGCAGATGAGTGTGGGGAGGCTTTCTACTGGTGTGGAAAAGCTCTGCTGGATTTAGCACGGTATTCTTTGATTGATTTTAACTCTGAGTTGTATTTAGATTATTGCCCGCTATGGTTTCAGATTTTGCACATCTTTATCATTCATCTTAACCATATGAAAATTGACATGTATGAGGTTCTGTTCCTGTAGGATGGAGAATTCAGTTCTGGGAAACGCTCTGGAAGGAGTACCGGAGGAGGAGGAGGGAGAAGAAGAAAAACCCAAAGACTCAAACATTGACAGCACAGAAAACGTTGATGGTGAGATGGTCATTTCCATCTTTCTTTGCCTTATTTTGGGCGGTTTAAATTCTGAATTGTGCTTTTTAAACTTTAACAGAGAAGACCCGAGATGAGCTGCGGGTTCAGGTGTACGACGCCATGGCAGAGAAGAAAGATGAGGATAAAGAGAAGAAGAAGGATGAAGATGCTGAGAAAGAAGGAGAGAAGCAAAGTGAAGATAAAGAGAAGAACGGTGATGTAGAGAAAGTGGAGAATGGTGATGAGAAGGAACAGAAGGAAGCAAAGATGGATGGAGAGGAGGAAAAGAGCCAGGCAGAAGAAAAGAAACCTGCTGATAGTGTAGAAAAGACGGAGAACGAGAAGGAGGCTGAGAAAGAACCAGAAGATAAAAAAGAAGAGGCAGAAGGTGACTTGATTTTCCACCTCTGTCTGTCCTTTTAGGGCAGATCTTGATTGTTAATATCTTTCTAGTAGTTAAATTTGCATGTTGTTCAATTTTTAAACTTAAGTTGATGTTTTAGATGAGGAGGAGGAGGAGGCAGAAGATGGCGAGGATGCAGAAATGGAGTGTGACACAGAAGGTCAGGGTGAGGGAGACACTGCTGCTGAGAAGGTACATGACCATATTCCTCATGTGCAAATCCAAATAATGTGTCTGAAAGTGTGATTTGATGTCACATTTTAAAAGTCTCTTCGTGTCCGCCAGGAAAGTGATGATGAGGAGGAGGAGGTGGGGAACCTGCAGCTTGCCTGGGAGATGTTGGAAGTTGCTAAAGTCATCTACAAACGGTAACCTTTCCTCTGTGCCGAGCTGTGACTTGGTTGGGTACATCTCCAAACCTGATTGGCTAATATGTTTGATTTGATTTATCAGGAAAGAGACCAAGGAGGATCAACTCATGGCGGCACAGTCTCACTTAAAACTGGGGGAAGTTTCTGCTGAATCAGGTACAAACAAATCACTGGATAACTCTTGTTTTGTGAACTTTTTCCTCCCTTATTTACTACGTGACTCATTCACCTTTTAATACACACATTTTAACACTGATAGCAGATGCTGCTATGTTACCTGCCAGTTTTAACTGTCCACAGAGACCCTGAGCCACCTCCAATTGTGTCCTCTGCTTTTCTGCATGTTTTTTTTTAAACAATAGATGGCGAAAAATCTAAATCCTATAACAAATCAATGACCTTACAGTGTTCTCAAAGCAGTGTGATATGAGCCGGAGTATCCATGCAGTGATTTCCTGTCAAACAAAACACCACATTAAGTAGTTTCATGTTAAAACTCACCCCTGCCTATAGATGTGTTTAGGCCACTATAGGAATATTGTGAAGTGGGACCTTTCACAACCACATGATCAGTGTCAAGCATATTCACACTAAAAGACTCGATACATTTACATGACACTTGAGAAAACCGAATTATTGCCTAACTCTGATTACTAGGACAACTGAAGTGCATGTAAACACCTTAGTCCGACTATAATTGGAGTTTGAGAACTCTGATTAAGACACCCAGATAATGCGACTGGGATTCGATTTTCTCTACCATGTAACCAGCATAGTCGGAGTATGATAAGACAATGCATGTGCGCGTGCACCACGCCCCTGTAGCCCCGTAACAAGAACACCAGAGAAGAGGCTAGTGTGCATGTCATCTGCAGAAAAAGTAGTGCTTACATCATGTACGACAAAAACAACGCTGTACGATGCTCCATCTTCTTGCTCGAAAATGCCCAGCAGCAGTTGTAGTCACGTCTGACGTCTGGCACGGACCTGGCACAGCGCCTCTGAAAAGGCCCATACCTCCTCCTAGTTTTGGGGAGGAGGACACGTTCACATCAATAATTTAATTTTCTCAGCTGCATGTATACACTTACAAGGAGAGAAGCGGAAAAAAACTAATAATGAGCTTAGTCCGATTAAGCTGCGCATGTAAACGCACTGATTGAGTGGATAACTGAACCTTCATAAAGCTGAGTCTGTTCCTCTTTCTAGGGAACTACTCACAGGCATTGGAGGACTTCCAGGAGTGTCTGAAGCTGCAGGTGAAGCACCTGGACCCTGACAGCCGTCTGCTGGCTGAGACTCACTACCAGCTGGGTGTGACCTCCAGCTTAACTTGGCAGTACGGCCAGGCCATCGACTCCTACAACAGCTCCATCAGCGTCATCAAGAGCCGGCTGGGTGAGCAGGAGTCTGAACACTGCTGTAGTTTTTCCACGTATTTCACTCCGTTTCATCATCAGATCAGACTTTGATGGTTCATCTTGTGACAGAAAAACTCCAGGGGCTGCTGGATAAGGCGGAGGGTCCGGAGGCTCTGCCTGATGAGAGGAAGGAGATGGAGGAGCTGAAGGCTCTGCTGCCAGAGATCCAGGAGAAGGTGGAGGACGCCACAGAGGCTCAGAAAACAGCGAGTAAGGCCGCTGAGGCTGTGAAGGAAGTACTGGTGAGTCCTGGATTAGGGTTTGATTCACCGAGACTGAATCGGGTCTATTTTTTAATTTACATATTAGATGAGTCAAGGCAGGAGGGTGGAGCTGCTCAAACTTGCTGGTTTAGGTCTTGATACTTAAGTTTACCCCTACTCTACAGCTTTTTTTCTTTGTACAGAAAGAGGAAACATAAAGCTGCGGTGCATGAAGTATAAAACATCCAGAGTCTACAAATGGAGACATGATCTTTATATTTGAGCTGTTTTTTTGTTTTTTTTAAAGCTAGGCTGCAAATTTATTTTGGGGCTTTTTGAATGTGAAACCTGATGGAGTTTTCTTTGCTTTTGTAGTCGGCCTCTAGTGGACACTTGTGAGACTGCAGTGTTAGCTTCATTCTTCAACTCTGAGGTTGCTGCTTGATGGTATATTGACTGTCCTTTTCTATTCTCTCATCAGGATGGAGGATCTACTTCCTCTGCTTTCCCTGGAACCTCTGTGCAGAACGGAGACTCTTCCTCCAGTCCAAAGGTTTTCTTTATACCCAGCTTCATCTTTTTTTTTTTTTAATCCATCTATTAATACAGATTTTCCATTGTTGCACATGCATAAACTATTAATCTTTCTAGTCAATGATTGCTCACTGTAGCTGTTAATCAGTCAGTTTTCTTTTTCTGCACAGATTAACGGCACTAAAACCAATGGAGTCAGCTCCACCAATGGAAACTCCTCCACTGCTGCAGTCTCTGATATCTCCCACCTGGTCAGGAAGAAGGTGAGGGAGCTGGATGAGCTTCATTTGTAGTCTGCAAGCAAAGAATAGACAGTCCAAGTAACAATAGACAGACTTGGCCATCATGAGTAAGGTGATGTCTTGACATCATGTGGCAGGAGAAAACGAGGGGGGAAAACAAAGAGTAAAAATAGCAGGATTACATGGCAGTTCAAAAGTTGTCTTTGAGAACTGTTACACTAAAAGTGACAGTTCTCCTGATGTGTTTCACTTCCTCTGCTGGCAGGCCTTAAAAAGTCAGTAGTTAAACCATTTCCTGGTGATTTTGTCTTTTCTGACACAGACAAGTTTTGGATTACAACACAGCAGCTGCTTTGCTTTTCCAGCTCTGTGTTCAAAATCCCTGGTATTGATCAAATCCCTGTCACATTAACCCAGAAAGAGGAAATACCCTAAATAAGTCACAGCACTGGCCAGGCTCAGGGTTGTTACTGTTTCTTGAATGTTTTTTCTCTCATCCTTATGTAAGGTGAGGTTTGCGTTTTAATCTTTTCACACACACACACACACACACACCTGTTGAAGTTAGTCTTGTTTCCAATGAGCGTGTCTGTATTTCAGAGGAAACCAGAGGAGAGTCCAGTAAAGGAGGGTGTGGTGAAGAAGGTGAAGCAGACTAACGGAGAAGCAGAGCCTCAAACTAACGGCAACACTAACGGACACAGTACAGAGGTCCAGAGGTGAGACATGCAAGACCGCTTCCATCTAAATGATTGTCTATGTCGTTTCTCTGCTGAAACTGAATCTCTTCTCTTTCAGTCAGTGAAGCTCGACTCCATCCTGGTCCGCCTCAGCCGCGTCACAAAGCTCTTATTGTTCGTTCACCTGTTTGCTGTTTATATATGTGAATATCTTTTTCTATGCCTGTTGATATGTTGGTGATTGTAAACATGTTTAACCTATCGTTCAATAAAGAAGAGTATTTGATTAAAGAAACTGCTCATCCTGCTGGTTCATTCAGAGTCAGGCGATTTGGATTTGAACCTTCAGCAATGACAAATTCAGGTAGTGAAAAACAATTATTTTAGTGGATGAAGGAAATGCCTGAAAACTTTCACCAAATAGAGGTGAACACAAAGTCTAAACTGTACACCAAATATTTGTAGTTCAGAACAATCAAAACTGGAAGAATCTGAAGTCCTTAACATTCAAACTGGGATTCATTCTCCGATTTCTAGTTACAACTCAATTTAACATGAAGAGTTATCTAACGGTGAACTGGGCCACAGCTTCACATGTATTCTAGACCAGTGGTTCTCGAGGCTCACTGTCCTGCATGTTCTGGATGTTTCCCTGATTCAAATGATTAGCTCGTTAATAAGCCATTACAGAGCTTGATAACGAGCTGATCATTTGAATCAGGTGTGTTGGAAACATCCACAACATGCAGGACAGTGGGCCTCGAGAACCACTGCTCTAGGCTGACTGCTGTTTTCAAAGGTTAACGCTTGGTTGCAGTAACATCCATCACATGGTTGATCATACTTCAAGTGTTTTTGTCAGAGGGCCTTGATATTTGAGGCAGAAATCAGGAGAACTGGAGCAGGACTGTGAGGCTCAAAAAAACATCATACACTGCACAGACACAGAGCTTCAGAACTGAGTTACCTCCAAATAGTAAACATCATTCAAACATCTGTTGAAAAAGAGTGGACGGCACACACCGGTAAGTTTTGTCCCAGCACTTTAACACCCAAGTTGATATGAAAGGTCCACTCTTTATGAAGGAGATGCAGTTTGATCCAAGTTAAGAGTATAAAGCACGGAACTTTTCCAGAAGCTTCTCTTACTTTCACTCAAAGTAGGAGGAAAAAAGATAAACGTGTCTGCATGGAGCACTTTCACATACAAGCATGAGTGAAATTCAACAAGCTGAAAAAGACAAATTGCCCTCAAGTGAGTGTGGGAACAATGAGGAACATAACAAAAAACACCACAGTAGGCAGATTCATATTGAAACATATCAGCTTGTCAGGAACCAATTTTTATTAATATCATTAATAATGTGTCATCAGCATCATCAATGAAATGAGTTAGTCTGTTTAAAGCAGAATCAAGTGTGCATTCATTGCCCTTCTTTTCTTGATGAACACTTCAGTTCCACAAAGCGAGGAAGAAAAAAGGAGGGGGGAAGGGAGGGACGTGGGAGGGTGGAGGAGGGAGGGAGGTCAAAAAGGGCAGGGACTGCAGTGAAGGAGGACACGCAGGGAAAACGACGTCTGGCGGAGCAGGAATCTCCCCCTTCACTGGGATATGATTGGTTTTTCCCTTGTGCAAGAATGACAACAACAAAAAAAAATCAAAACAAAAAGAAAATTCAAAATGGTGCTCTAAAAACAAAGATGAGAGAGGAAGAGGGGGATTGCTTGCTGGGATGTTGTGTTGGCTGTTGTTGTGTTGTTGTTGTTGTTTATTCATTTTTTTTGTTCCATAAAGCCACGTTAGGATTTGATGCAGTCGTCGTCGTCAGAGGTCTGGCTGCTGCTACTGGTTTCGGACTCGGAGCCCTCCTCGACGTTTGCCTCCGCCACACTCCTCCAGGGGGTGAAGTGGAGGGTGACACCCCGTGCCCTTGGAAGAACACCATTCCTCTGCATGCCGTTCCTCTTCAGCTGCTCGAAAACACACAAGAGATGAAAGTGTGAACAAAAGACACCAGGCTTGCACCACGCTGTTAATTGATTTGAAATGTCACGTTTTGTAAGATTCTCATACAGAAGGCAATACATTGAAGGAGAATGTGGATCACATGCAGCATGGAGCAGAAAGCTGGAGGTGATGCGGAGAGTGTCAGCACTTGGTGCACAGACTTCACTTCTGAGAGGCCACTTAAATGTTCAACCCTGTAATTATGCTGCGTTCGAGTTACCTCGGAAGTCAGATGTCCGAGCTGGGAATGATGTCACACCTGAGTTACCAGCTTTGGGTTAGCAAAATCAGAGGCGGAAACAAGATGTTGCAGAAGGACAGGAGTTGCTTATATTCGGACAAGGGAAGTGCTAAAATATCTTTCGTATATGTAGCCATCTTGTTTCCGCCTCAGATTTGGTAACTGAAACGCTGGTAACTCAGGTGTGATGTCATTCCCAGCTCGGACATCTGACTTCCAAGGTACCTTGAACGCAGCATTATTTCACCTGCTTATTTTGGTGTTGATCACAAACAACCTGAATCTGGTCAGGCTCTGCTTCAGTTGTCTTTAACCAACACACACCGGGACTTTGACTCCATGTCTGAGACGTTCTCCTTACTTATTTCTGTCTATCCATTTTATTTGGTAATTCCCAAACAATGTAATTATACAGATGATCTGAATAATAAAAGAAAATAAAACATGTTTTTTCAAACAGATTAGGGCTCTCATGAATTTACAGAAGAGACTCAAAAGAAGGGGAGTAACTGTCTGACAGTGTGGAGGCTTCATTAGATAATATGTGGTCATTTTAGACACTGATCATGGATGGGGTTGTTTGAGATCAGGGGTCATGAAAATGTTACCCACACTCTCCATACAGCTCTGGACAATATCTCACGGAGGCTCACTCTAGTCACGCACATTTATATCTATGAGTGACTCTGGAGGAGACTTTGGGGAATTAACTGACTTCTTGACTGTGTTGTTGATTAATTGCACTCATCTGTGTAGCACAATAAAGACTTTTCTGGTATGTAAATGCTGAGAAGAGCTACATCCAGACATGAGACCATTTTCAGTTTAAATCTGACCATCTAATTCAAAGAGGCATTGAATTAATAGGTGTTAAAAACAATGGTCTCATATTAACTGATGAGTTTGTTTTTTTATCGTTTCGAAGAAAAATGGAATAAAACGTGGTTTTCTGAAAGTTTTTGTCTGTAGTTTAGTCTTTGAAAGGGGGGCTGGTGTCATGTTCGATTCTGGTAGATTTCTGTTTCCTGTTATTGTTTCCTTTTTCATCAGGGTGCTGGTCCAATTTTCAGCGTGTGTCTCACCTGTTCAGTTTTAGTCTGGAACTCTCTCAGCTCGTCCTCTGTCAGCGGCAGGAAGTTGTCATCATTTTCTGGGTACTCCTGCCAGCCCATGGCCTTCAGCAACCTGGGAAAGCATGATCATTCCAGCTCAGTTCACTGTATTTGTGTGTTTATGAGTGTGTGTAGGAAAATGTGTGTGTGTGTAAGGCTGTGGGGTGTAGTACCGGTGCTCTGCTTCCAGGGAGCTGGACAGGTGTTCGGTGTCTGAGTCACTGAGGGAGTAGGATAGACCGTTCTCATGACAGACCTCCTCGCTGTAGGCTTTGGGCTCTGGGGTGCTGCTTTCACCCTGAGACGATACACAGAGAAAGAGGACAGCAATGATGTTACAAATGAAGCTGTTTTAACAGTGAAAAATCTGCAGATAATGAAGACAAATTCACTTTCTATTACAAAGACTAATGATCATATCTTTGCTGGTTCATGGACTTCAACGCACTGTCTTTTAACTTTCGTATATGTACAAACCAAAAACGTCTTCAGTCATAATCTTCCACATTAAGGCAGACTATAGCTTTAGAAAACTCTTATTGTTGTCAGAGATAAAGAATAAAACCATACTGTACATCTGCACATAAAGGATGTGTGATGACACACTGAAAAAGAAGCTTCTAAAGTTTCAATCTGTAATCCTGGAGGATACAAGTTTCATGTTTGACAACACTGCCTGAGCATGAACTAAATTGAGACTAAAGGAAAGGTGATCTCTGTTAATCGTTCTTGATTTTTTTCTGTGGCCACACAAATTTTAAAATCCAATTTTAAACTTTTTTTTAAGATCCATTCAGGGAAAAGTTTTTAGTATTTTTTAAGCAAGCTTGTTTGGTTAAAACAACACATAAAAATATGTTGTGTTCTAGTTTGGTAAAAAGTGATTCACACTGCATTACTCTGTGAGGTTGTAGTTGTTGTACTGCAAAACCTGCATGTCAGGGTGTGTTCCTTTGTCAAAAAGTGTTCCACCTGGGCAGTGCGCTCTTTGGTTACCAGCTCTGGCTGCAGGTAATCAAATACTGGCACGTTCAGGGATATTATTCTCCTGTACTTGGCTTTGGCTAAAGCGGAAAAAGCTGCCCACAATCATGACGAGTCTTGACATGCTGACCGGGAACCAGGATAATGTTTGCCATAGAAATAAAAACTTTAGATACACTCAAAGTGAAATAGTGAAATAAAAAGAAAAAAGAAAAGAAAAACATCACATTAAAGACACCAAGTAGATTTGATTTGGTAGTCAGGGCAAATCAAAATTAAAAAACGTCTTTGAAGATAAGAAATTTTTGATGGTAAGGAACTTCTGACTTTTTAAGATCCACAGGAACTCTGTGATATTGTTCAATTTTTGGCCACAAATCAGACAAATTAATCAAATTCTGCAGACGATGAAATCCTTCCAACCTTCTTGTTTCTGGAAGCCAGTGTTGAAAAAGCTCCACCATTACTCTTGTTCCCCACAGCTGAATTCTTCTTGATCAGTATTTGCTTCATCTTTTTCTGATGATCATGCAAACTGCTTGCACACACCACCTGTCTCTACAGTTCTGTCCTGTGAGACGGTTAAATGAGACATGCTGCTGCCTACCTCTCCTGATGTTCCCGGGCTGCTGCTTGTCGTCAGCTCTCCGGTCCCCTCGTCCTTCAGAGCCCGCAGGAACTCGCTCTTACGGTCTGGACCGCGGCGCATCAGCTTCAGCCTCGACGGAGCAATGTCAATGGGAGGGGTCGTGCTGGAAGGGTGCTGCAAGTACGACAGATAGGAAGAGAGTCAGGGAGAGGAGAATTACTGAACATCTGTTTTTTTAAAGCTGTGGCGCTAATCTCTTCGATATGAAATGCTTTTAAAAAAATGAACATAAGTTAGCAATGATCTGCCATTTTGGTGCGATAGCAGGGAAAAATCTGCAGCACAGGGAGCAGAGGGAGATGCTCAATGTAATACAAGTCTTTGGACCAGATGGTAGTATTTCTAGCATAGATTGCAGCACTTTGACACACTGGGGAGAAGAGAGAGAGAGAGGGAGAGAGCATGTATGCTGCTGCAGAGGAAAAACTTGATGTGCACATGTGGGTAAGTCTCTCACTCTTCAACCACACTGACACATAATTACTATGTTTAGATAAAACCTGTGATTTACTTTCAGGGGGAGAGGCCCACTACACACTCAGCGAAGAGAACTTCAAGTTCAGCTCAGACAGCTTCTATGGTTTGCTTGCTTGGCAGTTTTGTCTGAGGGAGACTGAAAAAGTCTCGTCTGGTTTGAAGAAAATCCCAAAATGTCTCTCCCCCTGTCCTGGTGATGGAGTGATTTGTTTGTCTTTTGTTCTCACCTCTTTCGGGGTGTTGTGCTGTGGTGCACTGGTTGGGGTGCTGGGTTTGGCTGCAGAGACCGGGCTGGTGAAGACTGAATCTCGGCCTGGCATGTGGAGGCCGGGCTTCGTGATCTCTCTACCACCGGATTTCCACTGGGTGCTCTGGAAGAGAGGATCACAGCGTTGACATACAGAGTGTAAAATCTGCTTTTCTATCGAATCAGATGTGTTTTGACGGATAATCCGGCATGTCTGTTGATTTGACACGTTTCATACTTTGGTGGGGGCCACAGCAGGCTTTGGGACCAGGTTCTTGTAGACGCTGGAGCCTGTGATGGGAGCTTTGTTTCCATTGGTGGGCAAGGCGCCAGCAGTGGCGAATCCTGCAGAGAAGGCTGTGCTGGGGTCCTCCTTAGAAACCTTCTTGATCACCAACATTTTGGACACCATCTGCTTGCCACTGGGAGGGTTTTCTGCAATGAAATGAGAAAAGAGGCCGTTTAAAAACTGCTCTGGTTTCTACCTCCAATCTTGCATTTGTTGGAGAATTTCCACCCATTATAGATTTATCACTCTTACCCCAAACTCCAGCGTGTGGAGCCACTGCCCGCATCTGAGTCCCAGGCTTTCCAGTTGTTTCAGGGTTGAGGGAAGGCTGGAGAGAGAAATATGAAATAAAACCTTGAGCACTCAAATCATGCACACCTTTTCCTCCACTTAATTCACAAGCATCTTAAATTAAGTATTGCAGGGTTTATTTTCTGTTACGGTTTTTGTTTGCAGTGATTTACCAGAAGAAATGTCTGATCTGCCAGCTTGTTCGTGTGCTTTTTCATTCACTCTGCATTGATCATTTATGGACTTATGTAGACACGTTGAAGGCAGAACATGAGGCTGATCAATGCGCGCATAAACCCACGTGGATTGTGTTTATAAAGGGAACACTGCATCGAAGTGCACATGCATGTTTATGAGTTTGAACTTTAAGGTTTTGGGGATTTATATGCTCTTGTTGTAAATGAAACCCCGGGTCCACAGCTTGTTTCGAAAATCAAAGTGAAACTCAAATACTCACAAAGTCTTCTTCCACAAACTTGAGCTTGTCGTCCTTGCTGTCCTTGCGTTCCTCGTTGGGGAACTTGTCCTGGTACGAGGTGCCCTTGCGGGGATGAAAGTTGCCATTGCGCTGCCGGTGCCCGCCCTGCCTGTCCCTGTCGCCTCCAACCCGTTTAGGGTGGCGTCCCTGGTGGTGGTGGCCGTCCTGGGCTCCCCGTGGAGCTCCGTGCCAAGCGGGTGTTTCTTTCCAACAGGAGCCCCCCGCCAGTCCACCGTGTCCTCCTTTGGCCACCCCCGAGTCCACTGAGTCATGTCTCAGGAGCAGAGAGGGCTGCTGCCAGCCGTCACCTAGAGAGAACAAGAGTAAAGTCAAGATCAAAATGATGCCATGATGATTAATGAAGCACTGAGAGTCTGAAGGAATCAGACCTGCCCACCTGTTGCATTTTTGGTTTCTACTCACTTCTCTGACAATAATTTTATAAACAAGTCAAGTCTGATTTTTGTCCTTTTTATAGCACAGAAACAACTTTAGTAAAAATCACAACAACTTCCTCCCAGCAGCTGAATCTTGACTTTTCATTCTCCTCATCCTCCTTGATCTGTGGGTGGCCTTCAGCACCATCAACATCCTCCTTAACCAAAATCCCAGCCATTCCCATGAGACACTGGTGTTCCCCAGAGTTCAGTCCTGGGCTCCCTTCTGTTTTATCATGTATCTACTACCTCTTGGTAGGGCTGGGCAATATAGCCTCAAATCAATATCACGATATATCGAGCAGTTCACCTCGATAACGATAGATGGACGATAACTTCTCCACAAGCTGCTCACCCCCTCCCACATTAACTTCGTCTACTTCAGCCGCTACTCCAGCCGCTCCAACTTTTGAACCGTCCTCCATCTCCTCACCTGTCTTTCCCTCTTTGTTATGGACTGGATGGGGTTGAGTCACGTATCTGACATGGGACAGCGTCTTAAAGGGACATGAGACCATAGTCTACCTACACACATCCAAAGCCAACTTTTATTTATTTGTTTATTTTTTGACACCAAATATACTGATATGGGCAAATTGCCGTTGGTTATTGTCGGAAAATTTGGTCTCGGTACATTTTCAGTTTATCACCCTGCCCTACCTCTTGGTCATATCTTCCCTACATTCAATATCCATGTCTATTGCCATGTGGATGACACCGAGCTCTACATGTCCACTAAAACTAACCTTTTCTTTCTTCCCATTTCCTTCTCCGATTGCCTGCAGGAAATAAAATCCTGTTACCTGTTTCCAGTTGTCTTACCAGGAACCAAACAAAGGCTCTCTTTATTGGTACCAACAGATTGTCCCTCTCTTGATAACTTGATAACTCCTCTGTCACCTTTGTTTATTCACTTATTCTTATACTTTTTTTTTTCACTCTGCCTCATAACATGACCTTGAGTGTTTTAAAAGGTGCATTCCCCCAAACTACACAGAGCATAGTAGAATATTAACTAAAGCTAAGTATATTAGGCTGTCACTTACTGTTGTCTAAGTGTCTGAGACATTACTGAACGGCCAAACATTCCTCTCTTAGAAAAGATGCTTCCCTTATTTTACGTGACTGGTTGGTCATGTTAAATAAAGGAAGTTAATACTTTCTGTGTGGAAGTAAAAGGCAAACATAGAGTTGGACATGTTGAAGCCCATGTGCAACAGGCTCAGGATCAAGACCAGTAGTTGTAAAAAGCAATTAAATCTGAATTTAATGTATTTATTCAAGAGCTGAATACTTCCTGGCACCAAAAGCAAAACATGTATGATTGTTTACTTGAACATTGCTTCAACACCTTGAAAAATGCTGCTCCACATGTGGCAGGGAAAGTCCGAACCTCAAACTGAAGCAGTAAAACAGAAGACAAGTAAGACCGAAACTATCAAAATAAAAACTGGGCTTCATCTTCAATGTCAGCAAAGCAGCAACATCCCTACAGTTAGAGCCATCTAATCTTCAAAGAATCTTCAGCATGTAGGGAAAAAAAACAACAAACTTCACCATCAAATTCCTTGCAGTCAATTTTTGGAATACCAAACACCTCATGAGACAAAGTCCAACACGGACAAAGGAAAATCAAGGACAGAAGAGAGACACTCCTTGGTTGGAGGAAACACAGAAGAAGCTCTTATCAAAAAGTTGTGACCAAAGAAAACCACGTGGGATCTGTGAGTGAACTTTACTGATGCACCCTGACACATCCAGGAGATGCAGCTGAACTCTAGAATGACTTCATTTCACCAGGAGGAGCAACACAGCAAAAGCAGAGACAAATTCAAACTGTGAAGCATGCCCTTCAAAAAACCTTTCAAATCCAGCCTCTCATGAGGTTTAGACTTGGACCTAATGTTAAAAAGGTTTTTCAACGTCTAGAATACGTTTTATCAGTCTCTCTGTGATACATACACGTCTAAACTCTTCTTCTCTAATAATGTCACTTTGTTATAAAGCATTCGATGCAAATACTCCCTGTCTAAATTTTGAAATGTATCTATGGTCTGTCTCCTACTTTCTTGCAGTTTCATTCACATTATCTGCTTGAACAGATAACAGGTTTGAAAATGCTGCAGTGAAATGTTCCTTTTCTGCCTCATTAAAACTAGCAGGAAAAAAGGCTGCAGCGGTTTCGACATGTGGATCAAACACAAGCAGCAGAGAGCTCTTGTCTGATCTGTGATCACTGCAGACATTTAATGATCTCAGTGAATGAGAAAGGATGGCTGGGTGATGAATCATTTGACTCTCATTTGTTAGTGGAGGCTAACTTCTTTCCATGAACAAAAAGCTGACTTCACTGCTTTGGTGCCAGAGGAGTTTTTCTTCTGGTGTGTTTGGCAGTAACCAACAGATTTAAGGGGCATTACCATCTCTCTCTGCACAGACCGACCCTTATCAACATGCAGATGGGAAAACAAAGACAAATTGAAATCAGATTGAAAAACCAGCCAGGAGACGGTGTTATAAAACTGAGTGATAAGCTCAAAGTTTTATGCGCGTTGGCTCGGATTCTGCTGGAGCGCAAACAGCAGAGGTGAGGATCATTCTTCCAAAAGTTGTTTGTTTCCTCTGCCTGACATATCAGCAGAATTCCTCTGTAGGAGTTCAAATCACACATGACCTGAAAAAAAGTCAAGGCAAAGGTAACGGATCAGCTTCATAATGCTTCATAAGCCTTCTATCATTGTGTCGACCTATGACGCCTGATTTTACAGCAGCTTATTTTCAAAGTGAAAACACAAGCTGCAGTGTTTTGATGATTTTTTTATCTGGGGAATATATTCTTGTGACACTTCATAGTTGATCCACAATCTCTTTAGATATCTCTGTGTGGTCTAGGGCTTTAAAAAATGCTCCAAAATGACGTTCAAATATTCGTTCTAAAAATAACACATAGGTTCCAACATATTCAAATATCTAGCTTACACAGCTTGCATACAACTTTATCTCACTCAGCATTTTTCCCCTCTACCGTGTCTACCCAAAATCTGAAGAATTTCCAAACGGAGCTTCTAAAGTTTGTTGGAGTCCAGACCATTCTCTCTCTCTCTCTCTCTCTCACTCTCTATGTTTGGCTCCGAACATCCCGTCATCTCTCTCTGCACGTGCCACGGATGGTTTTTGTCGAGTCTCACTGCAGGTGCAGCTCCTGTGACCCGCCCCTGACCCGTCGTTATCATAGACTGTATATAATATGGACAACTCAGTTCCGCCTTCAGCCAGTATATGAATTTGAAGCCAAAAAGCTCTCGGTATTTATGGGTTTTCCTCAATCTCCTGAAACCAACACTGCGCAGTAGCATTGTGCGCATTCGGTGGGAGAGTCGCAGAGAGTCGCTGTGATGATGCTCCCCAACCCCCTAATAACTTTTAAAAACGGAGCTGCAAAGAAAAAAAAGAGGACTTGAGCACAAACCAGTCTTACTGTAACTACATGTCAACATCACGAGCAGGGGGGGAGATAAATTTATACTCTGTGTAATAAATTTCTAAAGTTTGTCCACAGCTCCATAAGCTTTGCTGGAGGAGGCGGGATTTATGACCTATACTGCAGCCCATCACCAGAGGGCGCTGTTCTCGGAGTGGCTTCACCCAGAGAGGAAGCAGACGCTGTCCATTCTATATACAGTCTATAGTCGTTAAAGTGCGCTCACTATATTTGAATTTTGAATATTCGTTGACAGCCAGGCTAGTGTGGTCTGTGGATCACTAGGAAATCCAGCCACACCATGCATGCACAATGTTTCCCAAATATAATAACCAACCAAGGGATTACCTCAGTGCACCAGTCAAGCATCCATGTTTTTTCTCTATCAATGACAGCACCTGTAGCGGTCCTTGTCATTGGTCCGTCCATTCCTTTCATTCGGTCTGATCCAAATGATCAGATGATTGAGCCGTCGGCCGACCTGCTCACACTCTGCCCGTGCACTTACAGCACATGAGCAAACAAGTTGAAGCAACAAGTTCAAACCAGCAACGGGCCCAAAATAGAGCGCTTGTTGCAAAAGAACCGTAGAGAAAGTCCAAATCTGGCTTACTCCTGCAGGTTTCTCCAAAGTTTCAAACCACCGCTTCAACAAACTGACACATGCTTTTCTTAAAACGATGGTTTTAAAGCTTCTGCACACCCACACTGACTCTACCCACACGTTTCACTGATTCCTCCTGATTAGACTCCTGCTCAGGACTGTGCTGATATGTGCTATCTGCACTTGATTGACATCTCCCCCACAGTCCTCTTGGTTTTGTGGTGCGCGTAGGTGGGGACGGCTTACACTGATTCCAGTCCATAAAGTTTGGGGACATTAAACTATCCCCCACTGAGTATTTAACACTTTTCTTAAACAACTTTTTAAGTTCCACTTCATCTGCTCCACCAGAAATGTGTTTTTAAAGCTCACCCTCATATTTGCCCCGCTGACAATAAGAGGATCGAGAGTGAGGGAGTGTTTACCTGCTGGAGCGCGCAGGGAGCCGTTGTTGAAGAAGCCATCGGAGGAGTTGTGGCGGCGGCGGCTCACAGCGGTTCTGCCGTCTCTGTGGAGATGAGGCTCACCTTGTTTCTCAAGGTTGGCAGCAGGGGACTAGAGAAGGACAGAGACGGGACATGGTTAGTCAAAGTGGGACTGTCACTTCTGGATGATGGAGGATGAATTATCCGTTATCTCTCCCGGAGCAAAACTGAGAAAATCAAGGAAGAGAAAACTACAAAAAAATAACAGACATGACCTCTTAACCTTTTGGAGGTGTGTTTTCAGTCTACTCTAACACTCAATAGATCCTCTCAGATAACTAAAATAACTCCAATGGAATCTGTCATGATGAGGATCTATTTTTAGGAAATGAAAATGAACAAAAGCAGACACTGAAAGAACTAAAAACAACCCTGGAAAAGCATTGGAATAAAAATGTGCAGCTATGGAGGCCAAGAAGAGGAGAGAAAAGAAAACAGGGCTGACATAATCCTCCACGGTGAACCTTGAAGTCTCTGCGTTAATGACACTGCAGCATGTTTGGTTTTATTGACTGAAATGCTTCATATTTAAAAATCTGATGCGATGTTTGTTCACTGGCTTCTCTAGAAAGCATCATTTTTTAACAAGTTTGTATGACTTTTTAAACAAAATGCAACAGAATAAGAAGAGAAATATAACGCTCTATATTGTCTCCATATGCAGACTATTCCCTGCAGACAGATGACATTAAGATGAAGTCATATGTCAGCAGCAGGACGGTGACTGTGCACTTATTTCACTGGATCACCTCTTGATTTCACAGATGGACCACTTTGCTTCCTGACTCCAGATTACACTGAGCTGTGGACACGTTCGCAGCCTCACATGGTCTGTCAGTCAGACAGGAGAAAAATCAATCCAATTTTCACCTAGCATCACACTCCTCCATTTACAGCATCCCTCCAGTTCCTCTTTCAAGGGGCAATGATTTGAATGTGTCTGAATGTTTCCCATCTTTTTTCATGTTCATGTGGATTACTTACTCTGAACTTTACCAAACAAAAAAAAAGCTATCTCCAAAAAGGGCTGGGCAATAAACCAAAATTTTACCGATACAGAAATTTACGGCAATAGCCGACATCAATTTGCCCATGTCAATATATTTAGTGTCAAATAAATAAATAAATAAAAGTTGGTTTTGGATGTGTTTAGGTAGGCTATGGTCTCATGTCCCTTAAAGACACTGCCCTACGTCAGAGACGTGACTCCACCCCATCCAGTCCATAGAGCAGGGGTGGGCAATCATGTGCCATGGAGGGCCGAGAGGCTGCACGTTTTCTTTCCAACCCAAAACTTCACCAGGTGATTTCACTGATTAGTCCCTGCTCTTTGTTTGGAGGTAAGGTAATTAGTGAAATCACCTGGTGGAGTTTTGGGTTGGAAAGAAAACCTGCAGGCTCTTGGCCCTCCATGGCACATGATTGCCCACCCCTGCCATAGAGCAAAGTGGGAAAGACAGGTGAAGAGATGGAGGACGGTTCAAAAGTTGTAGCGGCTGAAGTAGACAAAGTTAATGTGGGAGAGGGGGAACAGCTTGTGGAGTAGTTATTGTCCATTTATCGTTACAGAGGTGAACTGCACAATATATCGTGATACTGATTTGAGGCCATATCGCCCAGCCCTATCCCCAAATATCTTCTACAGTTTGCACAAACTCTGGTGTTGCTTCTGTGAGTTGCTGTTCGTCAGCCTGAGTCTTACTTTGAAACAGGCCAAAAGGTCATGATATTTCAACTGCATCTCTCTACAGAGTAACAACATGGACAAGCCTTGATTGTGCAGTTATAAAAATACTTATCCTGTAGTGACCAAACTAAAGTTTGTTTAATTTCCTTGTGAGAAAACATGAAGAAGTAACACAAGAAAAGGGCCGGCTTGGCCTGTCAGAAGAGAAACCCTGCCAGCCTTGTTAGCCTAACATCTGCTGAGGGGATAAAACAGCCAAGTTGGGCAGCCGTCAATAAATCCTCTAAGTTGGCTGAAATACTGCTGAATGTAATTAAACACAGCTTGACTTTTGTTGGGGTTCACTTCGTGTGATAACACTGACAATAACCTCTGGTACATGAAATCAATGAAATCTGGAGGAAACTTCACTGAGCAGTCTGCACAGCAAGAATCTAGGAGTGACTTTCTCAAATCCCTTCATGGACCAAAGTTAAGTTCTGGTCACTGAGGAGTCCTGTATGTGCACAGTAGGGATGGGCAATAAATTATCATTCACGATAAACAGTCAGACTAATCTTCATGATAAATATTTGCTATCTCATGATAAATATGATAAATGCAAGTTGATGGCGGACTCGCAGCTGTAGCCCACACAGAGTAACAAACAAACATGGCTGAAGGTAATGAAGAAGACGATTCTGAGCAGCTCGTTACTGAACGAGGCTCCACATGAGGGATTTCCTTCAAGATTGGGGCTTAGATGAGCGCAATCAGGTATGCCTGACATTGAACAGAGGATCTGCTGCTGTTCACTCTGTGCGATAAGAGTTTTCAACAAATGTTGAAAGTGTTTTCACCTTTGAGACTTGTTTGATGTCATTAGTTTTCTCCAAAAACCTACCACTCAAACTTGTGGTTAAGTATCTTATTTGACCACTCCAACTGGTGTTCTCAAGACAAAATGAGTCAAAAATATAGATTGGAATTATAATATTTTTTATCTGGATTTATGCATGATCTACATATGCATCTCTACGTTGTTAATGAAGCTAATGGGAGGTGTGACCCTTAGGCATTTGAAATGGGTCATGAATGACAATAAAGTTATATAATGATCAGAGATAACCACTCAGCTCTTATCATCTGTTGTTTTACTGTTCGGTCTGGTGAAGGTGAATGGAGCTCTCGGTTTATTTGCATAAGAAGCGGCAAACTCAGATCCAATCATGAGTGGTCATACGTTTGGAAATGCAGTGAATACAATTAAAGTTAGTCTGACATGAAAATAAGTCCCTGTAATAGCGAAACTATAAAGACATACTAATGTAATATCCGAATATCTCACCTATCAATATCAACAATCCCTCATTTAGTCATGGTAAACTCACACACACATGCACTGTGTATCAAAGATGTACAGACACACTCAGTTTAAGGTATTGCTGTAGTGATACTGACAGTGTTTCAAGCTCTGTCTTATCAATCGTACTTCTTCCAAGCAATCAACAGCCCACTCTCTGGATCATCCTGCACACCCGCGCACAAACACACACATACCTTGGCAGGCTGGGGCGTGGAGAAGTTAAGCCAGGCAGGGACAAAGTCATGCTGCGCCATTTAGGTCCAGTGTTTCCGGTCAGTGGATCGAGGCATCAAACCTCATGGCCAGGATCTAATGAGAGACACAGACGCAGGGAAAGGCCATTTTTTTAAAAACTCAAGATTCTGCCGCTTTCACTTCTAGTGTCATAAAACTCTGGAATTTCATCTTCGGAACGTTTCTACTGGACTCTTGAGAGTGTTTTGTCTTCCATCAGTCATTTTCAAAATTCCCTGTGTGAAGAGCTCCTTTAAGACGAGCCAAAAAAGAGTCCTATTCTTAGCAGGAAACAACAAAGCTCTGCTCACTGCGGCTAATAGCTGCTTGACAGCCTGGATGGAAAACATCTTGTGCATATGCAACACACATTATTTCTACAACACTGTAACTGATTTGTGTGTGTGTAACTCTCACTCATGAATCCTGAGTCGACTTGTTATGGCTTTTACACTATCATATGCACGAGTTGCTATCACTTACTCTAATGCACCAGGCGGCAGCAATTAAGTTAACGACTATTCATTACAAACTGCACCTCGAATACAATCCTTGCAGGGCATCTCAGCTGAATGCGGACTGCTGCAATATTGAAGATATTCTGAACTCTGCACCTTGTTGAAGAAAGTTCTGCAGCCTCATCATGAATTGAACTAAACTGTCAGTTTCAAGTACCAACATCTGACCTTATCAAAGATTTGTCTGGTGGTGTCTTTTGAATTATTCTGAAAGCTTCAGTTTGATTTCTTTACGAGCGTTTCTACGATCATTTTATGATAACGACTAAAGGATGGGATCTGCAGAGAAACACATTTTCCCCATGCAAAATATAAGGTGACAAATGCTTTTGAGACTATTCCTTCCAGAGCATACATGCAGGTTTACCACTGATGGTTACTGTATGTGCACTTTCATCATCATTACCCCAGAGTCTGTGGCTCTGAAGTCCTCTGCCTCCTCTCTCGGTTCGGCTCGGCTCGCTTTCTCAGGCCTCTTGGCACTGATCACAGAGTGTGTGCACTGACTGACGGGGAGCAGCACACCCTCGACCCCCTCTCCACCTCCGCCAGGACAGCGCAGCCCTTTTCCACAGAGGCAGATCCCTTCGTCCAGGGTGAAACACTTAGAGATGGGTCAAAAGGTTGCAGGAATAATCTGGAATGGCAATCCAGAAAAACTGGCCCGGCAAGGAAGTGAATTCTTTTGTAGCAGAAGCGTAGAGGTCTGTGAGGGGACGATTTTCCGCCTTGAACCAGATTCTGGAACTGCTTGTGTGTCGGTCACGTCTCTGATGAATTCTGAGTGCTATAGTTTCCAGTCCGGGTAGATTTAATCCTTCACAAGTTTATCTGAACCATCCGCTCTTCTGGTAGGAGTAAGACTCAAAATCTGACTTGATGCTGATTGGCAAATGAATGGATTTGTGATCGATTGGGTCTTATTTCATGTAAGGAAGCAGTCTAGAAAAGTCGTGTGTGTCCTGTGATCAAACAGCAGTTTGTGTAGCAGTTCCACTTTGACACCAGATGGAGGGGGAAAGACACAGGTGTTGTCCTGCCACACTGTGTGCCAGTTTGCTTCTACGTCAACCTCTTACCGAATCATTTTAAGATTGAATCAAACGCATGCAGAAAAGAAAAAGAGATCAGAGACAGTCTTTTATCGGCGATGGAGGTCACTGAAAACCGCTGCTCACCTCATTAAACTGATGAAGAAGACTGTCTGAGTTGGAAAAAAATAATGCTCAAAGGTTCAAAGTCACATGACAGTGAAGGAAAGTACACCCTATGTTACATTGCCGTCATTTTCAGTTTGGGTTAGTGAAACAGGGATGCTGACGTGGGATGCATTCTACAGCCGTTTTTATCGCTATATGTTTTTATATCACATTTGTAAGATGCCCATTTAACTATCTGCAGTTTGCGGATTGAAGCAGATTTACTATAGCGCTCTGATTTCATAGATATGCAAGCTCTACCACTAAACAAAAATCTCCCATGTGTCAAAAGATCTTCCTGTCATGTGATGTAAAAATGTAACTTGTCAGAAATCCTCACGATGTCCCGGGATTTTCTTCTGGAGATGAAGCAGGCTGGAAGATACCACGGGTCAAAAATCTGTCAACGTCAAAAAATGGATCCGTCCTTGACTTGAATTCTTGAATGAGTTTTTCCTCCTTCACGCAAGAATCTTCTGTTCTGTTCTCTCTCTCTCTCTTTCAGTGTTCACAGGGATCTGCACAGGAACAGACTGGACCTGCAGTAAACATAAACAGCATTAGCCCTTCTTATCATAGCTTCAGGAGCAAAAATACACAGGTTCAAGTACTCCAGGGAATGTAACTTCTTAGTACATCATCTGCTACAACTCTGATTCATTACTACAGCATTCCTGCAATACACACAGCACTCAGTAATAACATTTTGATAGACCGGTTTCAGAGGGGAAAATACTTCTCTATGATCAAGGTGAATGGCATTGATATAAAGCTGCCAAAACACTGCAGAAACATGAGAAAATACACCTAAATAAAACAAAATAACACATAACTAACAGCAAAAGTAAATATTAAAACAGCTATTTAGTTGATTTAATGTTTCTCTTGATGTTTTACTGCAGGAGTGTTGTGTTTGATGCTGTAAGTTCAAGACAGAACTATCAAGCCAACATTTCCCTACAGCCATCTAAAGGGGATGTTTGATACCAATTTATTCAATGGCTGATGCCAATAATGTTAGAGCAGTCGACTTCTGGCCAATATATTATGCTGGTATCACATTGTTGTTGTGTTTTTGCATTTGTTGCAACACCAAAAATGAACAAATGCGAAACAAACCATAGAATTTCATCATCATTTCATATACATAGTTATCTTGAATTAGGAAATACACGCTTCAGATTTCAGAAGATGACTGATATTTATGTCAGATGCAATATTAAACTGCATTGTTCCATACATCATAACAGGATTTATGTTAAGCACTAGCCATTGACTCTTGTAGATTGTATCTGTTGTCCTGTTAGGATGGGAATAAAGGTGTTATCATACAGAGGAGATATTGGTGACTGAGAAAATACTGCTACACATTTAGAGCAGGGTGAGCATCAAAGTTCAAAACTTTTCACCACCTCCCCAAAACTAACTGTCCCAAAGCACATTGAATATGTTTGTTTGTTTGGTCACAAGCCAAAAAGCTAATCCAAGTGAATGCACTTCATTTCCCATCTACCATCGTATGCAACACTGACTAGGCTGCCTGTAGTGTCTGCAGACATTATCTGTTTATTTTTTCAAATGACCTAGTAAGCACAATCATCTGCCAGTTATTTCAAAATGCTATCAATCTGCCCATTTTATCAGTCCGTCTCTGGTCAGATGGCACACCTACTGTACTTAACACCTTTATTAAACCCCCAAAATAACTTCTGATGGAAGACAACTCCTCTCTTCAAAGTCTTGGTGTGACTCTTCAAATACACTTTGAGAGGTATGAGAGGAAAAACCATGACTCAGTGATCCAGGAGCAACTTTTATGCTGAAAGCTGCCTCTTTGATAAAATTGTGTCGGCTTTGGTGAGTGAAATATTTATGACAGTACAAAAATAACTTGAACACTTTCTTCCTCGCCTCTTCACTCATGTCTGCTGTGCATCCTAACAGGCCTGCTGCTGCTGCTGTGGGGACACGATGAGGATGAGGCTTTAACAATTGAGTCTTTGGGTAAATGCATGGATATGTAAAACAGCTTTGGTGTGTGCACCAAGTCAGAGCTGCCATAGTCTTGTTAACATATCCCCACTGAACTATTACATAACACATCAACATCAATGAGTCTGCCACGGATACGGGACACAGACATTACATTGAGACACAACAACAATCATATGAACTTATTTATGTCTGTTATTGCAAAATACCCCAGTAAACATCATTATCAGCTGATGAAAATCCTCGATCATTGCAGCAGACCAACACAACACAGTTACGATACTTGCACGTTTCAGCATGCTAACTAGCCGAGCCGTGTTATGGATTAACTTACAGAGCATCGACATAAATCTAAACACAAGTCAGCTGTTGTGTTGTCTAACTAGCTGATATTAATAAGTAGTTAAAACCAGTATCGGACTTAACTCCACTGCCAACCAACTCTGATGAGTGAACTAAGGTTAACGTTAGCATAGCAACTGTTAGCTGATCGCTATCGTTAGCCTGCCTATTACCTACCAACGAAAACCGACAGGTAGATTTTACTTATACATATAGTTAAGGGGCTTAGCAAAGTAGTAACACACCTGATATGTTTACGATGTGTAACTGTAAGTACTTCTGCAGCTGTCACGATCATACAATAGAGGTAAACAGACCTGGCTTCGTTGGAACCCTCGGTTTCAAAATGGCTACCTTAGCAGCGGCAGCACACATTCATCAGCACGCTAACAGCTAACGAGCTACTTCTCTGTGTTTCAGGACTAAAATGAGGAGCTGTTACCTTCTCCGGGGCAAGACACACTCCAGTGTAGATTGACCAAACGGCGGTTCAATCTCCAATCATATACGATATGAGAGTTTTTCGCAGCTATGAACTTCTTTAATGAGACGGTTGTTGGTGTTTGTTTGGGTTTCGTAGCGCTCACCGCGGCGCTGCCACTGAGGGATTCGAACAGCCTTCGTTGAGGTTATGTTCAAGAAAGGCGCTGATTATGCAACGGAATGAGGTTCAGTAGTGTTTCAAAAAGCTATATCTTACCAGTTCCTGATATTACTCGTGAAAAACTTAAGACTAGTATGCAGAACCACTGGTCGCAAGGATATCTGTTGATTATAGAATAATTGTTGTTTTCTTAAAATTGTCCTTAAGATTTGTATCATTTTATGATATTGAGTTATTGTTTTTGGCTCTCAAGTATAAACTTATTTGCTAGACCTCTCCTGACACGCCTTTTAATGTTAGTGTGGTCATATTTTACGCAATCTCAAATGTGCGCAAGTACATAAAATACATTATAAACAGTGTAATTGCCTGGCAACTCAAAAAAAAATAAATTGACATAAGTTATTTTACGTGATTTTTTTAATGTAACTATATCACCTACCAAACAGTTCACATATATATGTAAAATCATCATCTGAATATGGGGGGTGTCATTGTTTTAACTAAATTGAATTTGGGTAAGTATGGTACATAGACTGTATATACTATGGACAACTTGGTACCGCCTCCCACCTGTATACGGACTTGAAGCCAAAAAGCTCTTGGTATTTCCGGGATTTTTCTTCATTTCCTGAAACCAGCGCTGCGCAGTAGCGTTGTGCGCATTCGGCGGGAGAGTCGCTGTAATGACGTTTGGCTCAAACAGCGTATCACGTATGGAGCTACGCAATCCTGCAAGGCCCATAGGCTGTATCAGGTGTCAATCATAGAAAACATGAACCCCCTAATAACTTTTAAACTACATGTCAACACCACGAGCCGTGTGGATAAAAAATTATGTTCTGTGTAATCAATTTCTAAAGTTTGTCCACAGCTCCATAAGCTTTGCTGGCGGAGGCGGGATTTATGACCTATACTGCAGCATGTCACCAGAGGGAGCTGTTGTCGGAGTGGCTTCACCCAGCAAGACGGCAGACGCTGTCTATTTTATATACAGTCTATGGTATGGTACAAATTATGGTACAAATTATCCTCTATAGTATTGCCCTCGTCCACATCTATGGCAATATAATTTTACAAACTTACTAACTAATGTGATTTTCATTTAAATATTTGGAAATAAAAATGATCACGTGTGTTTATGTGTGCATACAGGCTTTCAAATCTATCTATTTATCTATCCATCCATCCATTCATCCAAACCTGGTTCTAGCTCCATATTTCATCACATCATTCTGCCACTGTGATTTTGCTTCTTGAATGTAACTTTGTACCTCCCCCGCTGCAGACAGCCAAACCAATTGATTTCAGATCCATTTAGCTTGGGAAGATGTAGAGAAAGGCGTTTAATCGAGTACCGATAGAGGCTAGGCAGTAAACGACCTCTACTAGATGGTTAACGTGTAACTTCACTGCCATATAATCCATGTAACCGGGTCGGCAATGACCGCTGCATAGCTGTGACTATCAAGATATCCAATGGTAATTTTGACGCCACTGTAAAGTCATTGTTTTTCAGTTGTTACAGTAAGTTAGCTCTGTATTGCGTCAGGTTGTCTGTTAGCTGTAGCAGCTCCAATGATAATCTGCGAAGGTTGTAGTATTCTTAAAACGCTTCATGTGAAGTGTGGATTTTCATATCACTAATAATGGCGTTTCTTTTTCAGACTGAAAATGATCCTTTTTGCATCTGGAAGACGCATATTTTCTGGGGTAAGACCAAACGTAAATAGAATGTTTACCAAGACAGCTTGCTCAAAAACAACTTCTGTGTATTGTATAAGAATAAGAGGTCATCAAGTTTGTATATTTTTGTTTATTTGTATTCAGCTTACGGTATGGAGAAGTCTTCAGAAGATAACCAGTGCTCCAAACAGCACAACCAAGACTCAGCTGCTGTTTCAGTCTCAAGCCTCCTCAGTACTGATGCCACCCAGACCATCTTCATCCAACAGCTTGTTAAGCATCAGGCCTGTGAGCTGGCATCCCTCACGCCTCTGTCATGGTGACTCACAAGGGACTACAGAGGGAGGCCAAAGTAAAGAGGGTTTCAGTCTGAGTGCCCTTGCTCAGGCACCTAAACCTGCTCTGTACCTTGGCTTCTCTGGGCTCATCCCCTTCCTGTCTGCTCCTGTCCTGATGGCAGCCACACAGTCCTTCTACCCTGAAATAGCTTTCGCTCAGGTGGTTTATGGGGCCGCAATAGTCTCTTTCCTCGGAGGTGCCCGATGGGGGTTTGCCCTCCCTGCTGGTAGTCCTGCTCAGCCTGACTGGATGAACTTGGGTAACAGTGTTGTGCCTTCACTGCTGGCTTGGCTGGCTCTGCTCTGCAGAGACAACATCACAGAGGGAGCCTTGGTGGTTATTATGGGCCTGGGTCTCTCTCTGCACTACGACTTGACCCTTCTGCCAGGCTACCCCTCTTGGTTCAAAGCTATGAGGACTGTCCTGACCTTGGTGGCCACCTTCTCACTGGCAGCCACTTTGGTTATTAAAAATTTCTGCTCAGAAAAGAAGCTCAAAGAACTTCAGAACTGATTGAAGAGGACAGATTAAACTTTGAGCCATATGGACTAAAAATTTTAGTTTAGAGCAATCCACAGACTGTCTGGTTTGTTCAAGTTACAGTCCAATAAAGTACACTCATTTTATACCAATATAATGCTCTTATGTGTTTTTTGACAGATGTTTCTCATATGCATGCACTTTTTTTCTAAGTGGCAGGTTAGGCAACTGATGGATGAATATAAATCTCTCAAAAAGTATACATATATCAAGAAAACATGCAGAACTTTCTGTGAGTTATTGTTTGAATTTGAGCTATATCAACAGGTAGATTCCTGTTATTTTTTGCCTTTTATTTTCTTCATAAACACCAGGGGGCACTGAGCACATGACCAGTCATTTTCCTCACAGGTTCCTCACAAAGGTAACAGGTGTATCACAAACAGGTGATGGGAAGGGGACACTTTGAGTTTTATTAACTTTTCAAGGTCAATAAGTTGCTTTATGGAATTATGTTTGTTTGCTCTGACTCGAAATAAATCAACCCAGAAGTGAAGCGTCTATGCATGTCAGACGTATTGTTACTTGAGCACATAACAGCTGGAATGGTAAACCAATGGCATTTTCTGAAAATACAGATTTTCTTCGATGAGGATCCTTTTATTCTAATTTCTGCAAATCACCAAGACAGGCAGTTAGGGGATGAACAGTGGGACCTTGTCACAGTTCTGTAATTCCAGACAAATTTGAGTCAAAACCACAGGAGATCAAATGCTGTTGAAAGGAAGGATATGGACATTGGTATTTTGCTTCCTACACCACTTGGAGACAGAACCTAACCGTCCTTTAGCATAAAACTGAAAAGAATTCAGTTTTTTTTTTTACCAACTCTACAAGCATCCTTAAAAGATTCAAAGAATCTAACATTTTTTTTACAAAAAGGGACAATGCCAAAAAGAAATATTAGATGGGTGGCACTGCACTTTAAACATGATTCTGTAGTGGAAAGTGGTAGTTTTTGGAGCTTGAAACCCCCTCCTAAAACTATTTGTTGTGAACACAGTTTGCTGTTACATCTACAAAATCATTTATCTGTAAAAACAAGATCCTTAAATGCTGACCACTTCTCTGGACCTGAGCCCATTCATGACAGACAAGCGAAGTGGAAAACTGACAAATCAGAATTTCACACTCTTTTTGGAAATCATGGACCCCTGACCTCTGCTTCATTAGGAAAGAGGAAAATCAAACGTAACTTCAGTCAACAGCTTAAAAGCTAGCAGAGTTGAATGTAAGGGAATGAATAAGAGCCTACATCATGGTTAGCTCACACATCTGGTGAATGCTGAATTATATTTACAGAAAGCAAGATATGCTGCCATCTAGGAAATGCTTTTTTCAAACATGACCTATCATAGTACAGCAAAAAGATGCCAAACTACATGATACATGCATTTCAACAGCGAGATTCCTTAGCAGAACAGTCCAGGTGCTACACCAGCTTACCTACAGTTCTAACTATTTATCAGATTATGAAACTTAATGTAGGAGATTCAGATCTATTGAAGGGCAAGAAGTTTGTATCAAGCCAGAGTGGGACATTTGACATTCAAAATTTAAGAAACTGCTTTTAAGAGAGGAAACACTACAAAAACATACAACTGTGTCAACGTCTATGAAAGTGATTGCCGGAATCAAATGTAAACTATTAATGACTATTAAAAATGTTTGTATGTTTGATATTTGTCTTAACGCCATTTACAATTAAATAAAGGGGTCAACTGGCAAAGAGTCAAAATCTGTCTTTGATACCAACATTGGAGGTTGTTTATTGACAAGTTTCCTCCTTTATTTAAACACCAGACTCAAAAAAAAAAAATCAGTGTAAACTCACAGAGGAAACACTTACTTCTCTCATTTGTACAGAAAATGTATTCTTACCAACTTTGCATCTACTTTGTACAAATCAAGCATGAAGATCTTTGATTTCATCCAAACAGAACTGCAATCATACCACACTTATCTGTCTTACAGATCTTAAAAACGTTACTCATCACAGTTTGAACAGGAAAACTTGAAGTAAAAAATCTAACCAAGCTTTGATGAAGATTAGCCCAACATGCACATACTGGAGCTCTAATGAAGTTTAACTCTGAAAGAAGCAATAAAAGCTATTTTTCATTTCTGTGTAAGATAAATTACCTGCTGTGAAAATGTGTAACAGTATACAAGAGGTAATGCTGTTTGCTGCTCTACTAAGAAATAAAATGTACCATTAAGGTGAACATGTTTCTTAACACAAGTGGTGTCTTATTATAACAATATTGTCTGAATAGTTGAAATGATGTGGAATGTGAATTCTGGTTGTATTCAGAGTCATTGATATGTTAAATAAAATGACAGGTTTCACTTGCAGGCATTCAGGAGTAAATAGTGAAAGAGAGGCACCATTGTTTTTTTTACACTGTCATACATATACAAAAATAATCCAGTGACATGTATGTGTTTGTGACGGTGGTGTGCTCTTCAAGTAGGTCCTTGTTTACAGGAATTATGGAACTTTTGTTTCCTGTACTGTTCAGGCTCAAGAGGTTCGATAAATATTCTAAGTAGAGATGCACTTGCTTCAAATGTTTCTTCAAGAAGGTAACAAGAAAACCTAGAAATGAGTTTTCTCTCTCTCCCACATCTTATCCAAAAACAGAGTTCACAGTCCCGACAGGGGTTTCAAGAAAAGCTCTGTGGTACATCCAGCTGTGAAAAATGTCTTCATCTCAAGGACTGCTTTGTTATCAAATACACACAAAAGGGAAAATATGTGTGTTACTGCTGTTGTAGTGGTAAATCTAAAGTAGAGATGTACACAAGTCCTGAAGCAGTGTGAGAGGAAGCAGTTTGGGTGTTTTCCAGTTTATGTTCTCTAAATGTTGAATGTTACGAGTATTTAAAAAAGGAAAGCATGTCGAATTCAAGTATAAATATCACTTATGATAATGTCAAAGATATCTTGAGCTGGAAACACACATATACGAGTCTCTTAAGGTGCTGTTTTCTCAGTTTCCATTGTTTCGGGGTGATTCAGGAGATGATATGGACATTCAGGAGTAAATATTTCAGAGCACAGCCAGCCCCCCGTCACAGCGGCTGGTGATCATATTGCCAACTTCAGTCCAGGTGTCCAGGTGAGGGTCATAGATCTCCACAGAGTCCACCGTCACTGGGGCAGAGAAGTCTCTGCTGGCGGCTCTCCCTCCAACAGCATACAGAAGCCCATTAACTGCAGACACTGAAACACCCGCACGAGCGGTAGACATCGCAGCCACCTCCACCCATTTCTCCTGTTAAAAAAACAAACAGAGTGGAAGGGAATGTTACAGAAAGATGACTCAAGAGACTTCAGTTACTTCACCGAAAGTAACATTTCTCCTTATCTCTTTCTTTACCTCCTCTGGACAGTACTTCTCTACTGTCTCCAGTGCCCCTAGCGCTTCATTCCAGCCGCCCACAGCATAAATGCAGTTATTGAGGCATGCCACACCCACATATGCTCTCCGAGTGACCATGACGGGCAGGGCACTCCACCGGTGGGAGATGGGGTCATACACCTCAGCTGACCTCAGCTCCATTCCTTCATCACTGATTCCTCCGATCACATAAATAAACCCTTGGAAGAGACATCAGGGTTATTCCAGGGGGAACTTTGCTTCACATAAAGCTGCGCTGGATTACACTAGTTATTTTGGCATAAAGGTGGAGGAACAAACCTTGAAGCTCACAGCAGCCAAAGTAGTACCGAGGCACCGCCATACTGCCTATCACCTCCCATTTGTTCTCCTCTGGATCGTATCGTTCCATCGTCTTTCCGATCTCTGAGCCGATCCAACCACCTGACCCGGGAAAGTACAAAGGCAGAATCAAGTCTACTCCTGTTTCATGAGATGCTGGCACTGAAATACTGATGGAATAGAATTGATAGTTTTCATCATAATTTCCAATTTTAACTTCTTGTTAGTTTGAACATAAATTCAAATCCTTTTCTCTGAGATAAATTTATAACGTTTGGTCCAATCCCTGAAAAAAGATAGGAAGCTCTCAGGAAAAGGATTGAAAAAAAGAAGAGTCAGGAGCTGCATTCAAGAAGATGATATCAAGCGAAGCCGGAGAATACTGACAGTTTGGAATATGATTTGGAAAGCCCGCCTCTTCAGTGTTCACAGATAGGACACTGGTCAAAATCTGATCTGCTGACACAAGAGCTATTGAATCTCTGTACCCAAGTATCTGCTCCAAATCAACACAAGAATCTGTGCACTGAAGGCTGAGGACCATTATCTGTGAGCTATGGGAAGTGGGTTATAGGAAGTTATGGTTTTGCGAAGAAAAAAAAAAAGGACTTGAATACTCTGACACCATCAGCTGACCTCTGCTGTACAGACTCTGGCTCTGTATAAATAATGATATATCAGCTCCTGTTGGAGAATCATTTGTAGATGGAGATTCTTTGTCTTTCTGTATATTAGGTTATGAATGTATATTTTGGCTTAACACGGTGCTGGTCTGATTTTCCCATTTACCGAGTGCATACAAAGCTCCATGGCAGGGGCAGACGCCAACTCCACAGCGTGGAAAGTTCAGACATGCCACAGCAGCCCACTGCTTGGTCACTGGGTCGTATCTCTCTGTGCAGTCAAAAATCATTGAGTCTTTCTCCCCTGGTGCAGAAATAATAAAAATTGTCAGTAGCTTATTGAGCTTTTTTATTTATAACACAAACACAGAACAAGCTACAGTCTCTCACCTCCCACCACATAGATCATGCCTTCCAATACTGCCACTCCCAGCCCGCTGCGGGCCTGGTGCAGTGAGGACACAGTAGTCCAGTACTGGTTGAAGGTATCAAAGCGCTCTACGCAGCTCAACTCCCGGCTGTCGCTCCAGCGGCCGCCCTGCAGTCGAGTGAAGCCTCCTGCCAAAGAATAACAAAGATTAAATATATAAATCTCAACATTTCTCATCTGGAAAACAATGCTGACATTTTGACACAATGGGATTTGAAAAACCACCGATGGCATAGAGGTATTTCCTTGCTTTTCTTCTGGGCCTCATCTTGGATGGTTGTAACTGACTGTAGATCTTGTTTTCTTTGGGAGACTTTGCAACTTCAGTGTATTCCTTCAGAAGAGTCTGCAGTGCCACCCGCAGGCTGAAGTCTGTAACACCTTCATCGAACAACAAAATACAAAAACAGTTAGGGGTGTGGTTGAAATCTCAATACTGTCTAAAGATTATTGTTAATACAGTTTATTAAATGTCAAAGACAAGAGACAGCCTTGAGTTTTCATTACCTTCTATGTACTTAAAGAGTCTCTGTGGGGACAGCAGAGGAAAGCGGACTGGTTCTAACACCTCCACTACGTGTTTTTTCCTCTTTGCCACATCTTGGAGAACCCAGTCCATGGCAGCAGTAAAAACCTGGTACTCATCTTCAATTCGCAGCTCTTCACTCCGCAGCAGCCTCACTATCTGATCTTTTGTCAGGCTTTTAAACTCATCTGTGACGCACACCTACAGGAAGACAGTCAACAAAGGAAATACATCATACACTACAATGTTGATAAAAGCCTTTTAATCAAATGAATGGTAAAAATTAGAAACATCAGATAGAACCCTGATGTTTTTTTGGCAGAGTTAATTTAAGTAAGAGAAGAATAACCTATCAGAGGACACACAACAGAGTATAGCTCCTGTGAATGTTACATGCAGCGCTTTTCCTTGTTTCATACCTCCAGAAAGTGAACGTGGATGTAGTTCTCGGTGAACTCCAGCATGTCCATGCAGGCAATCTGCTCCAGGAACTGGAATATACCTACACAGTTGGACGGGTCCATGTGTCCCTTAAGAAACTCTCCACAGATTGACACCACCTCATTGAGCTGCAGCATGTCTGCAGCCACCATCAGCTCCTGAACGTTCTCCACTGTCACACTGATCACACCTGAAATGAGCATACATAGTTCCACTCAAATATTCATACAAAATGAAGGTAGCAGAAAGACCATTAAAATATTCTACTCAAATTAAGAGACAGTAACTTTAATGCATTTCACTTGAATAGTATTTAAGTGATCAGTCTGTGAATATATTCAAGTAAAAATAAAAATTATTTCATTAATAATTTACTTCGATTACTGAGTACTAACTTTAAACCTGTAGTTAGGGAGTAAGGATGGTGTGAAAAGTAAGATATGATCCCCTAAAAAGCACATTTTCCTGAGCCAATAGACAGAGTACAACCGCTAGCAGACAGTTTCTGTGTTTCACTATTCTGGGTAAAATTAGTCTTTATTGCATCTTCTTTTGGTATTGCACTTTGTAGACAGTCCATCTGCACCAGCTGGATGTAACAAGTCCAGCAAACAAGACTGCTCATAACAATCAAAACCAGGTTGTGGCTGTTAGCAACCACACCACACCACGGCTGGACCGAGGTCTTGGTAATGTCAAACAAATGAAGGGTACACAATGCGGTAAGGCTGAAACTGTGAATGTATTTTTAACTTTATTAATAAAGTCTGTCTTGTTTTGAGATCAGCACTAATGGCCTCCACTACATGTTAATTTATCAGCCTGTTGTGAATTGGCGCTAAATAAATAAAATTTGATTGATTGATTGATTGAGACTGTGAGGTAGCTCAAATCATCCAGTGAGCCTGCAGCAGTTGATGGAAAGCTTGTGACCTTTTTGCTTTTAAGATTTTTTCTACTCAGTAATAAATGAAAAGTACAAACCTCCATACAGAAAGTATCATAGTTTAAGTACAGAGTCTGAAGACTTCTTTAAAAAGTGCATTTACACAAAAAAGCTGCCCAGTAACTTCAGCAAATGTGTTGCTTTCCATTTCATGCAAAATTTTAAACATTTTATGAGACACTCCAGTGAGGATCAATGCAGACCTGTGTATATGAAGTCCAGCAGAACCTCAAAGACTTCAGTTTCCACTCCAAGGATCTGCACTTCCTCTTTATCCACTTCCCTCATCCCCCCTGAAAACAGGGCGGAAAAGTAGGGGCTGCTAGCAGCAAGCACCAGGCGGTGGACTTTGAAGACCCTGCTGCCAACCTTCAGCCCAACATCACAGAAATCAGAGCGCTGCCGCATCTTGTTCATCTGGGCCAGGATGATCCTGGCATAGCGGTCTGAGGCCAGCAGGGCCTGCTCCAAAGCTTGGGTTGCCATGACAGCAGCAGCATCACCACCACAAGTTGATGTTGACACAGAGACGGAGGACATGGCAGCGGGGGGAGGTCTGCGTTAACATAAAGGCCAGTTTCTCCAAACCTTTCTCACCAGTGAGTCTGGATATGAAACAGGCCAGAGAGACACACGCATTAGATGATAGCTAAACAAAGCCTCTCTCTCACACAAACAAACACACACACTCACACTGACATAATGGACTGTTGTGTAACAACACCAAACAGTGGCGATGCCGATATTATCAGCCCACGAACAAGCAAAAAATACATATATTTTGGCTGTCCCAGAGTATAGCACGCTAATGCAATTATATGTGAGGCATTGTCTACCATTCTGCTGCCAAATTAGGTTTAAAAAGACACTTTAGCCGCCGTTAGCCTCGTTTGCTAACCAACGCACAGCTGGCAATGGTTATCTGAACTTCACATTTATGGTCAGTTGCTCTCATAATTTCCCTGCCCGGGGAGTGCAAGTGTCGGACCAAGATCTCCTACCTCCTACAGAGAAAAACAACCAAGATTCAGTCTGTTTCAGCCGTGACATACCCATAACTTGTCAGATGGATGTACAGGCTGCAACTTCCGTCACTCTGCAGACTGTCAATCCCATTTTTCTTGATCGACTGCACTGGTCTGGCGGCCGACTCCAGACATGACTAGCCGAGCCTGAAGAGTTCTCTTTTGCCGCCATGTTAAACACCAGGTGGCAGTGTTGACTTCGAATAAAAGCTGCCCAAATGAAGCCCTTGACAACAAGCCACATAAACCTACCATGTAAATTATCATAGTATTCTTAGCATGTCAGCCCCCAGCAGAATGGTAATTTTAGATATAGCTGTCCTCCGCTGTGTTGGCTGTAACCTCTCTCACTGGAGACTTGACCAAGCCTACAATCTAACCTAATCTTAGGCAGAGGAAAAGGGGAGTCCAGTTTGTTTAAATCGGCAGCTTGACACTTAAATTAGTTTAAATATTATGTTGGAAACCTGTTATTAACACGGACCTTTAGCAAAGCTTTGGCCAATTAGACCTGCCTGGTGTACCAAATGAGGTGGCAATGCCTGAGACTGTTGGGCCATAGTGGAAAAAAAAAGTCCTGTAACTCTCACTTGACTTGTATTTCCTGCTATTTCAATGTGTCACCCAAAGAGAAGCAGCCAGTGGTGTGCTGGATAATATGTGGGAGCACTGACGCTGGCCAATTAAAACTCTGAGGTAGACAACGTGCCAACTCAGCCAGCCTTCACACCACACAATTGGTTAAGTTTCAATCTGGTTGCCATGTATTGTTAAGTTTCCAGAGTATCCTCTTTCCCTGAAGGCAACCTAACAAGGCCATTATGTCAGTCTAACAATGAGCTTATTGGATACAGCTTAAATGGACTCTTAGTAAGCCACCATAAGGTAAAGCTCACCTTCTGAACTTAGACAGCTTTGGGGGGAAAAAAAATCCCCGTCCAGCGAGAGTTCTGTCACTGTGCAGCAAAAAAAGTTGAAAAATAGATTTAAATTGTTACTTATCCACCCCAAAATAAACAACAATGAGTCTGAGAGTATGGAAAGCATCACTGGTCAGGCAAAGAATCAGTGATGACAGTTTTACTTTTAGCATGGGAATGAACTGCTTTCAATCATAAATAGAAAACATAGACATAAGGTTTGTTTCCCCATATTCAAGTCTATTTAATTGAATCAATACATTTTATTTCTAGTTTCCTCAAATTCCGATGTTTCACTATAAATCACAATTTTCTCTGAATAAAAATATGATTTATTCTCAATAGTGTCGTGATATTGACACTGCCTTTGGTTATATGTAAATCACATTATGTATTTTTAGCCAGTATCAGGTGATCAGCCCTATTTTGCTTTTCAAGAGCCTCATTGGTGTACCACTGAGGTGTGACAGCAGCTTTCTTTTAGTCAATGGATGATACATGCAGCTGAGTTACAAACACCTTCTCTACAAGCCAAAATTGTCAGCTCAAAGCTGCTGACTTAATACTGAGGCAGAAAACAGGCCTATGCTTAATCCTTAAAATTCATGTTAATAACAATATGATCATTCTTGATCTCTGTCATTTAGGGTTTATGTGTCTCATTAGCAATAAGAGAGACTTTCTTCTTTTTAGCCTTTTGTTCTTTATGCTGCTGCCTGGGCAGGTGTCTCCTGTAAAACAGGTTTAAATAAGTAGGTGAGGTGCTAAAAATGAATTTGAATGTAGAGACACAGACTTCTTCAGGCAAAATAGGTAGTGTTACAGTGTATTTTTTTTTCTTTTCGCTAGAGCATGGCTGTTAACTATCACTTTTTTCTCCTGGCAATGTTTTCCTTGTCCTAATCATTATAATTATATTCACTGATCATCATGTCTCTCCATCGTGGTGATGATAAGCAGCCTGCTTCCCTTGCTTCCAGAATCTCCCATGTAGTGGGAGAAAAAGAAAATAGTGTGAGGGTCATCCTATGGAAAGCAGTCACCATAATTGCCGTTTTGTTGTAAGTGCAGGGTATGTATGTCTGAGTTTTTCATCAGGGCTCTGTTTTCTGGCAAGGCATTGCTTTCACGAGGAAAGAAAAACATCAAGCTACAATACTGACAGTTTAAAGGTTCCTTTGGGAGGGAATTTAGAGTTCAGGGAGCCTTAAGTCGCTATGATCAGCCTTATATCAAACCAGATTATGCAAAATAAGTAATTACTGCACTTTGTGGTCGGATTTATTATTATTTCCACAAGACGGCCATAATTTATGCTGTATCCCTTTTGCAGTGAGGATATTCTCCTTTCTTTCGACAACACATTCCTTTTTTTTTTTTTTTTACAAACACACTGTACTTACCAATGTTATCTCGTCCACATTTCACCTCTGATATCCACAGAATAGGGGCCTGTCCTCACCTGACGGGTCTTGTGAACTGCGTTACCCTTTTCTTTTCTATACTGAGGTCACTGCCTACAGACAGTGTTGTGCTTTCAGACAGAGCTGAGTTCTGATTTAAACCCTGACGCTTCCCTGCCATCTGCAGTGAAGCTGGTATCTGTCTTCCAGTGTCCTTCGCCACATTGGTTTGGTGCCCGTGTGCCTGCTGGTTCTCTTTTTTAATCTATTTGAGAGCTGAAGTCCTACAATGAGATTGCCCTGAGAACTGCAATCATTAAAGAGGATTTTATTCCATGAGAAAGAAAAAGTACAGTGTTGTGTGTGAGTCACTGGTTCAAGGAAATATTTCAAATTGTTTCATGTGTGTCCAAACCAAAAGTTATTATTTAAAGTTAAATCAGTGTCTGACTCTAGAAAACGAGTTTAAGGTAATTAGATCGTCTGTCACTGCTTAAGCCAGTCTCCACAAATCTGATTTGGACTTGGATCTGGATTGGCATTTCTCCTGAATTGTTTGTCAGTAAGCAGTGTGTTATCCCCTTGTCAAGGCTGGCTCAGTGTCACCTCTCATCTTAGTGTGATCTGAGCCTTATACGCTCACTTTTACCTGAGGGTCACAGTGAAGATAAATGATCTTTGATCCAACTCACAAAAACCACACTATTCAAATTCTACATCTTTGCTCAAGCTTTTGTCAAATGAGTCTGTTTTATTTAACTTCAATTAAAATTAATAACATTTCCTCAAATGTACCATTCATAAAAAGTGAAATTCAGTTGATGATAGCACTTTCATGACCTACAGTTATTTGATTTAAGAAAAATGACTCAATGTAATATCAAGAACACACAATAATTATTAGGTGTGTTTAATATTCACCAGAAGTTTTGTTGAGGCCCTTTACAATAGTGTTTTTTGTTGCCTGCATTATTTTGCATACATCAAAATATTTGGGGTAACCTACTTAATAGAAACCAATCAACTGTCATAGCAGTTCAGTTCAAGCTAGTTTTATGTACTTTATATGCCACAACTCCTTTGTGCCTGGAAATTATGTAAGATGTGAATTTTCAGGTTTTTCCATGACCTTAACAGTGGTGAATCTCAATCCTTTTATAAACGCAAATATCTTCTCATAAAGATTTAAACACAATGTAAGGACTTGTTGTTTGTCCTTTAGAGAGGCTGTAGTCTGTGTTCTTTTATATGATGTTCTTTAAGCTTTAATGAAAATGCGGAGCTGGTATGTAAAATGGTTCAGTCCGTAGCCTACATGCTGCTTGGCAGGCAACAGTGTCTCTTGCCTTCAGCCTATAAGCCAGCTATAATGTGAGCTCGTAAAAAAGGGAGAAAAAAAATCCCTCTCTTATCGATTCTGCCTCCAACATAGCAACTGGTCGCTGATTGGCCGACGCTTGGCACGTTCCCGGCCTTCCATTGGCTGACGTAGGAGCGTGAAAACGTTGGAATCGGACGGAGACAGAGGGCGGAGAGACCCGATTGGCTGCAGCCAAACTGAAAGCGAAAACCTCCTTTTCTGAAAGCCTGCGAGACAGTTGATGGTGTGTGTGTATTTTAGGCGTGACTCCAAAGGTAATTTGTCCTGCTGCCTACACCCCCACTCCCCAGCCAGGGCTTATTTAAATTGAGGACTATAAAGCAAAATGACTTTGAATTTAAACGAGCACAAAGAGGAGAAAGAGAAAAGGGGGAAAGTGGAGGCAGACAGCTTATGAATGAGAAAGGAAATGGCATAGGGCTGTCTTTTTTTCCCCCTTTTTTTCATTTTTTAACATACGGTAGATCAAACTCAGATCCAGGGAGGCAAAGAAAATAACTCTCGAGTCGTGTAAACTAAACTGCTGTTGAAGCAAAGAGCTCTGAGCTTTAGCCAAGTGAGAGTGTTTCAGGTTAAGGGAAATGAAGTTAAGGCCCAACTTGACCCCAACATCCTTCATTTTAATACCATCCTGTACAGGAGATTTGAGACATGCACCTTTCCTGTCTCTTCTCTTTTCCTGTCTGCCTATCCCACAGGCTTTTTCCAACCAGTCTTTCCCTATCTTTCAGACACTCACAAAGACTGAGTGTGACTCAACCCTGGTACAGTCTGTCCTATGTATGTATGTATGAATGTATATATATGTGTGTGAGTGTGTTTGTGTGTGTGTGTGTGTGTGTGTCTATCTATCTATCTATCTATCTATCTATCTATCTATCTATCTATCTATCTCTATACTTTATCTGGTCCATTCTAGTTGAGCACACATGTGGTCTGCCAGCTCTCTATGCTGACACAGGTAAGAGGGTGTAATCCGTGGCCTGGAACTGAAGCTCTTCCCCAGTACATCCTTGCCCTGTGCACCTTATTAATCCCTACCTAACATAGACCTTATGTGATAGTTGAAACAGGCCATCTGTTGCTCTGGTTGCAGAGGGCCTATTCAATTTTTCCTCTGATGTCACACTCAAGATAGGATGCTAAAATGCTGTTTCTTACAGTAAAATAAAATGTTGTTCTATCCTTTTTTTTTTCTTGGTCTTTGCCAACAACCAGCCATTTCCTATGTTTAATAGCTTCACAGTATAAGAGCTAGCAGCACCACTGTTGAGTGAATTGATGCTTGAGAAAACCAACTCCCATTCATTCTGAATTATATTAAGTGGCTTACCAACTAAAAGGATGCTGCAGTTGCCAGTCATGTAGAACAAACTTATGGCAGCACTTTTAACCAGTTTCTTCCCTTTATTATGTGGTCATTCCCCATTTTGAGAAGCTTTTAACTGTGTCTGTTAGAAACTGTCGTACTGTTTAGTATGACAACCTTAAAAGGGGCCATTTGGATCAAAAAGACCTCCTAATTCATGCCATCAAATGATTACCAAAGTTAAAAGTTGGTCAAGCGTACTTGGCCAGTACAGCTACTATGACCTTTATCTACCTTGTGGATGTTCCCGGTTGGCGTCTCTAGTGTTTCTTTGGGAAAACTGTAATGGTTCCCTATGTTTACACAGTCTTACAAATATACCATACATTCTAACAGCATTGGAGTGTTATCCTGAGCCTGTTTTCAGAGAAAAATGGCCTCTGTATCAGTATGATGCTGTTATCCAAGGTTGGTATCCTCAGCTGCAGTGGCTGTTATATCCAAAGCTTTACAAAACAGTTTCCTTGTAGATGTTGCTAAATTTAAGTTTGGGGAATTTGAAAACATTTTGTGTAACCACTGATAATATATCACTGTGGGATAAAGTTCTGGAGACTAAACTCAAGCTAGCCCACACTAAATGTTTACAGTTGAGCTGCATTCTTTTCACAGGAGCTTTGAAAAACTAGTTTCAAAATACACCATGTTCCCAGTGAAAAAGGTTTGATGGATAGTTTTCGAGTGACTCAACTGCGGCCAGACTGAGGAGGGAAAGGGCTTGCACATATCCTGCTATTGTCTTCATCGCTTCCTTTCTCTTCCATCTGTCCACAGCCTGTCCTCCAGTGCTCTCCCTGCCTCCTATCTCTGCTGACCCAAGGATAAGCTCATCAGACGACAATGGCTCCATTTTAGACAGATGGTATGTTTTAATAACTAGTCATCTACCTTGAAGCAATTCTATGCTTTGTATTTGCTCAACTTTCAACCTTTGTAATTACATTACTTAAAGAAATAAAAAATAGCCCCTGTAGTCTTTGTTTAAGGCTACTTTGGATGATAAGAAGTGACAGTCTCAGCAATTCTCCGTGGAAAAAAGCAACAGAATACGCAAGTTGACAAAACCCTCATCAGTTTATTGTCTTTAAGCAAGAAAAAGGTCAGGATCTCACATTGCTTAGCTTCACCTTAGGAGTTTCCTCAATCCCCCAGTGGAGTAATAGGTTTAGAGGAGGCTTTATAACCCCCCACCAATAACCAACCTCAAATACATTTTACAGTTTTCTGTACAGAGTATCTATTGTCCTCAAACTTGAAAAATGTGCCAAGTTCAACATGGATTCCTTTCCTCTTAAGCTATGTAGGCGGCATGTCATGAAAAACATTCATAGCTCGAGCAATGCCACAGTTCAAGTAATGGAGGCAGGATACTTCCGGACCTCTGGCAGTTCACACAAACATCGGAGGCCACATCATACCAACACCACCCAAGAGAGTGCATTCTTGTGGCTAATGTCAACCTCTCATAACAGCATCACCGTCACCACCATCATCATCGTCGTCATTCATTGCAACAATAGAAATACTGTTGGATTGCACTTTCTTCAAGCTTTCATCTTGTGGCATGTTTATAGAAAAAATATATATAGAATACAAAAAGCTTATACTTCTTTGAGTAACAGAATATAACATACAGTACTTCAGATTATGTTCCAATCAGCACATCAGCAGGTGTACATTAATTTCCCTCCCCTTGCCCAAACGCATTTACTGGACTCAACAGGGATGTAGTTTTAGCTCACTATTAAGTGCTTTGGTCAATGGGTTTAACATTTAGTATGCTCATATAATGGTATTCTACAGGATGTTAATGCTACATAATTATCCACCGTGTATGAATGTCTGCTAAGAGAAGGGCAAATTGTCAACATGCACCACAACATTTTCACATATTCACACGTGGCATTTACCCAAAAATGGTTTGGTCCACCAAACCGCTATGAAGGAAACAGCCTGTTTACAGCACCATTTTTCCCCTCACAAATGCACCAAGTAATAGTAAACTAAGGAATTATGTTTGTACCTTATTTCTTAGCATGCAGTGTGACATTTTGAGCACAATGTTTTTTTTTTTTAATTACTCGTGGTTTAGTTTCTATCACAGTAGGGACAACTGTATTTAAGTGATCAGAAATCTATGTCGCACTGAGTATATATATAATACCACTAAATTTATTTTCATACAAAGTTTACAAAAATAACCTCTCCCCTCACTTTTACTAAACTTTCTTACCCATTTCCCTTCCAATACTCCTGCTCTTTGCACTGTGCCAAAATAACAGCCGATACAGAAACTGGAGTGCGTTTACTCTGATTGGCTGTTTTGTCTCCAGTCTGACAGCTTGTGTTGTTATCCGTTACTAGGGGAGCAGGGCAGGACTGGCAGAATAAGAAGCAGCTCCTCTGCCCCACGCAGACTATGGCAAATTGGCTCAAACCTTGGTTTGGCAGCCTTTGTTATATCCCGTTATTAAATTATTCTCTACTTTATCTTTTAGCTTATCTATCTTGATAGTTTGCTAGCTAATGCACACGTAGCTTTATCCGATGATCAACCAGGCAAAGCATTATTATTAAGTTTGTGTACGACGAATTAGAATTTAAAGTGTCTTTTTGGCTTTTTAACTCTGTTTCACAAATGACTGTAAATAGAGGTTAAAACATTTTTACATTCCACTTCAATATGCTTATAGCTAGCCAACTTCCTTGACAACTATAAACCACCTCATGGCATAACTGTTTAGTACAAAAATGAAGTTTTGCTGTTATCCTTATTTACAAGCTAATACTTATCTAACATAATTAATTAATTATGTCTTTAATGTGGTCAACTTATGTCCTGTCACCTATGTTTTTTGTGCTCAAAATACAAAAGAAAGCATTTAGGAAATGAGGTAGAAATATAACTCCATCATAACAGAACATATTTCTAACCTATTGGTCAATTTTGAGAATTAAACAATTGTTAACAGGGGAAATGAACATCACTAGCAACATCAATTCTTGTTGTAAAAGTCAGATGAAGGTGCAGCACCTGATGTCAGTGAGCAACAAACCGGTTGTCAAAATCCCTACGAAAAAGATGTCCATTGAACAAATGGCATTGAATGAAGTACAAAAAAATAAAAGCTTAAACAGTTTCTCTCAAAACTAAACAAAAATGTTCAAGCTGACATTCAAGTTCCGGTCCCACTTCAATTTGTGAAATCCCATTCACAAAAACCGATGGAATCACTGTAGTGCAAAACTTTACACAATGCACCTTGATGCAGTCATTCTCGCATGATACAGTAAAACACGTGTCCTTTGTGTCTCTCTCCATTGGATTACATTTCTGGAGCGGCAGGCGGCAGCCCCACTGTGTGTTTTGGAGTCTGTAAGAGTTTGTGTTCCTCTGCGTGTTGCGAAGGCATGGCTGTAGCTTTGGCATGTACTGGATGTGACAGCCGAACATCCAGGGCGTCATTGTGTTGCGCTAAGGAGTGCAGGCGATAGTGCAAGACAAGGTCTTTCAGTGAGCAGTGAGCGTCGTAGGGCTCAGCGAAGCCGTATCCGTGTGGAGTGCTGTAGATCATACAGTGCTTCACTTCGTCATTTACTCTGTAAAAAGAAAAAAAAGAGGAAAATAATCAATGAGTGACACATCATTATGGCAAACATAATATTTACCCTAAATTTAGCTTTCCAAGATGTTTTACTCACACAACAGAGCAGGCGTAGCATCCCTGTTTGCTGCTCTCCCGGATTAAGAACGTTCCAGGAGCCTTTCCTTGAAGCATCTCCTCTGCCTGCGTCCGACTCAGCTCACCAACAAACCAACTCGTCTCCTCCTGATGTGGCAAATTCTTCTCGTCTCCCTTCAACACATACGTGCTGTATAAAAAAACAAAGGCACTATTGTTAAAATTCTGTTAACACTCCTTATTAAGTTTATCAGTTTCAAGTGTTCTGAATCTGTTAAAACTCACTCATCCAGGCTGTCGTTTTGTGTCCCGAGCCAGTCATTTATGCGTTTTTGCCGTACACCTTTGTGATTAAGCCAGCTGCAAATACAGATGTGAAGCAAGCTTTAATTTCAACTCTGACACAGCCACAGAAGCTACAGAAATTGTGTTTTCCTTTCATGCTTGCAGCAATTTATGACACACAATATTCTGTCAACACTTACTTGAGGTACTGGTCTCTGATGTTGCGTAGCTGGATGAGGTCAGGCCGCAAGCTGTTTATCTTCCTGTCTGTCTCTCTGTAGTCCTCCACCTGCGTTCTCAAGTCTTCCTCTAGATGGATTTTGCTGTCATAGATCTCCCCAAGACGACACTTTAGCTTCTCGTAGTGAATCAGAAAGCTAAAAAAATTAAGTCAAAGGGCACAAGTCAGAATACAGTCAAAAAGAAAATGATTACATAGATCCAAAGAGAACATTTTTAGTGACATTTTATGGTAAAAAAAAAAAAAAAGTACCTTTCCAGATCTTTGTCTGCTCCTTCTGTCTGATTGTTCCTCTCAAACTCCTCCCCATAACGCTCCTGTTCACGACACTGCTCCTCAAAGATCAGCATCGTCTCATTAAATGCCTCTATTGCAGTCCGCTTCATTTGGATCTCCTGCAGCACAAAGAAAACACTAGATGAGTGAGGAATGGGATTCTGCTGTGTAGAAAAACATTAGCTCAGACACAGCAGACCATCAGAATTCATTCATGGAGTTCGTTTTTACCTGTGAGGTCTTTGTGAATGTTTCATAAAGGCGATCAAACTCTTTTGACTTCTCTTGATACTGACAATGGACTTCCTTGAGCTTTCTGCCAGCTACATCAACACTATCCTCTTTAACCTGGAAGATAAAAAATATATAGTTCATGAGTTAATATCATCACTTCTTTGGCCATGTTGCATTGTTACACATCTTATTTTTGGGGAGGAAAAAACAAACTACTAGTGCTGTCTCACCTGCTGGAAGCGGGACACAGGATGGGTGAGCATCAGGTCCAGGGTTGCATTATATTCCACCAATGGATGGTGCTGATAGTACCATATGAGCTCCACTACTGACGTAAATGTAAGGGGATCCGAGAAACCATACTTCCCGTCACGGTGGTAAATCTTGATCAGTTTATTGTGTCCGTCTTTCCTATAGAAGTGAAAGAGCAGAGCACAAAATTAGATTATTGCAAAATCAAATTTAAAGCCTGTCTATCGTATGTACAACACTTATTTGATGGGAACTGTATCTTTCACATTTTCCTTTTCGCATACCTTAATGTTAGCGTGAAGTCTCCTTGCAGCTTTGTTGATGCGTCACGCACCAAAAAGGAACCATCAGGTGTGTCCCGGAGCTTCTCATTTACTTCATCCCTAGGGGCAAATCAGTTTAACAGTTATTGGATCCACCACATTAGACAATCAAACAACGAACCATAAGCAGGTGACTGTATTTGCATGGATGTTAGTGTTCTTTTTCTTTACCTTGTCATATCTCCCCAATACCATTCAGCGTCCTGAAGTGAGTACATGGGTGGCGCAAGGCAGTTGTTGTTCATGGTGGTGGACACTGGTTTTGTAGACCTGGGAGGAAGAGCTGAAAGGAAAAGAGAAAAGGTGGGGTAAGAAAATGAAATGCTAGGACCTTTTTTAGACAGAGATCTAACTAATGACCTATGTTAAGTTGAATACTGTGAGCACTCATATTGGATGTGTCTGTCAAGGAACTAGAGTTAACCCCCAGCACGCACATTCACACTCTGTCACACCCTTGCTTGATGGAGCCTGTCAAGATCTGGGGACAAGCCCAGGCATGTTTCCAAGAGATATCACTGTCAAATCATGTCCAAGATCTTAAGTGTGGTTGGCTCTAAAAAAGGAAATGTGGCGGTTGGTCCTCACTTGTGAACACCATCAGTCAACAACTGTGAAAACCGTTTTCCCTCCTGTGTTAAGAAAGAAGTTGTCATAATTGGGTGTTCACTTGCCTCCAACTTTAGCAAAATAGAGCTTGTGAAGTTTGCAGCAGCCTTTGGCACTGTCCTGAATTGCATGAAAGGCATTACATAAACCAGATGTTATATTTTGAGCCTCTTGGATCACCCCTCCCACCACCCTATAACGACTGCACGCGTGCAGATCCTCTTAAGTTTTCCGCCAACCTTTAAGGAATAAAATCTGCTCGCCTGGCCGGAACATTAAGCGTTTTCCTAAAAATGAAAAAAAAGAGGGCAAACCGCATCAAGAGGAGGTGAAGGGCGATATATTTCACTGCAGGACAAAAGTGCCTTTCATGAGGCAGTTAGTGAGAATACAAGAGCACCCTCAGAGAGCAGAAAATGTGGGTTTCTCCCACCATCCGCTCCCCCTTTTTTCTCTTACCTTAAAATAAACAAAAGGCAGGTGCAGCAGCAGCACAGTGGCAGGCACACAACGAAAAAGCTGCGGCTCCTGAACTCAGCAAAATTAAATCTGCACTACCATCAACCCCCTCCTCCTCTCTGTCTCCTGCCAAGAAACTCCACTGGCTTCCAAAACCCACATGCGCATACCAGTACAGACAAGAGCCACGTAATTTAAGTGTGGAATAATAATAAAATATCAGCTCTGTCACGGTATAGCTCGCTTTTTCTCTGTATTCAGTCCAGAAAACACACAAAAAAATGAACACTGGCATGAACACTAAAGCATTCCTACAAAAAGGACTCTTAATACTTCTGGCAGCAGCACAAGGCATTTATATTGTTCTGAGGTCGATTCAGACATCTTTATTTATTTATATTCTTGTAGGGTTATTCACCATTTTTTAATCATCTGAAAAAATAACCATATAATTGTATCAATTAGTTGAGGTGGTAACCTATAGGACGACACAACAGGCTGCAAATCCGACATGAAGTGTTATGTCGTTGTTAGGACAGTGTTATAGAGCCGAGGTCAGATGACAAATGTAAATAAAAAATGAAGTGTTGTATTAGCTGCCGGAGTTAAGTCATGAGACGAGCTGTCTGGTTTGCTTGCCTCTAGCCTACTTTGAGAGCTAGCACACAAATTAAGCACGGCTGGCTGCAGAGGAGAACAAAGCGGTCGTTTCATGCGGCGATCATTAACACACACTCAAATCTATCCCCCCCTCGACAAAATGCACCCCCTTTTTTACTGTCACACATTTCAAGTGTATCATTTGGTTCATGAGAACCTGCGAAAGCGATGTGCACTGTAGTCCAAGTTTGTCATATGTGCTGGGACAATGGAGAAGAAGGCAAAGCCGCTGCGCCTGGTCCACAGAAAGGTATTACGTAATTGGCAAGTGAATTGCGCTATGCATGCCTGGGCATAGCCACAGGGGGAGCGCAGCACCGACGACCCGGCTATTGTAACGTTTTACAGACACCTGCACTGTACTTGTCAGGTGTCAACTTTGTCACTGCGTTTATATGACATAATGCAAGCAAAAGACAATGTAGAAAGGGGAATAAAATGTTTCCCGACCCCCCACAGATCAGACAATGGCTGCCTTTAACCCTAAACTTACCTGGTGGTGCTTGATCCATTTCGATGTAGAATAAACCTTCAGGAGGATAAACCATTCCTATTTCAGAAGAGTAGTCCAGGTTGCTGTCTTTGCAGTCTGTGTGCGTATTTCGAAGAAAAATGCACGTTTCTTTTCGCCGCAAATTCAGGCTGTGAGGCAGCTGCGGATTGCCCTCATAGATGTGGGAAAAGAGCGAATAACTCCTTTAGTTTCGATTCCAAAAACATCCCAAAGTCCAAATATGTTTTCTCAGAATGATCTAGAGGTCTTTTGTTTCTTGGAGATTGTCAGTTCATGCTTTCTCGCTGTGCGACAGAGCTCTTCTTAACTTCATCTCGGAAGTGGGGCGACTTTAAAGGGCTGTTCGTAACATCATCTTGGATCAGTCCATTCAGGTCGTTTAGGAGGGGGGAACGAACGAGTTAACGTTAGCGCCATTAAAACGTATGAAACATAAAGTAAAGTTTGTAACACAAAGGCGAAAGAAACTAAATTTTTAGTCTCTTAAACAAAAACTACCTAATGCTCGATCGATACTGTGGGCTAATATGAAATGTGTGCGGCATTGGTAACCCCTGCTCAGTAGTGGTACATTCCAGACCGTTTCATTCACATCTCCTCAAGCTGCACTGTACAGCTGAAAAATTCCTTTCAGGGCATGAATGGAAAAGAAAAGCCCTGTGTGCTAGCTTGAATGATTTAATCAGGACGTGAGCTTTAAGTTATACCTTACATAATAACAATGATGAGACCAAGAACAAGTAGAAGCCAAGGCATTAGCAACCAGTATAGCTTTGCCCCGGTTTAATGGTGAGCTGGTGGAATGACATCATGCTATAGGTGTTATAGTGATTAAACTGTCTTGAGCTGTTTGGCACCCAGAGAGCACCAGACTTCAACTCTTTTTTTTCTGACAGAGTTGCCTCCCTATAGTTGGCAACTGTGTATTATATTCTTGTTGAGCTTGTCAAACACGTTCAGCAGCAAAAAATGTCAACTTGAGTGCCGCCACTTGGAATAATTGCAGCTCTGAGATCATCCAGTTGAAGACACAAAAGTTAATAGCATGTGTGTTAACAACTGTACACAAAGAATTAATTTTTTTGATGAAACACACTGTTGTGCGTTGTCCTCCTTCTTGTGCTAAAAACGGGTATGAGTATCCAGATTACTATCTCCTGATGTGTCCATGATGAATACATGCTTTGTTGCCCATTCATGACACAGAATGACATTGTGCTATAAATTTAAACAACCAGAGCCTCTTCCACCAGCTGACGTTACTAGCTGAGAGGAGAGTGAAACAAGGCCTGCATGGTCAGAGGTCTGTCTCTGTTGGTGTCCGGGCGTTTATGGCTGGTCCCCTTTTGACCCAAAGACAGGGAGTCAGGGAGGTAAATGCCTGCAGCATTCTTTTTTCTCATCAGAGAAACACTTCTGTGCCCGTGAAACATCCAGGGCTTGCTGCCATGATGGACCATGTTGCAGTCTTACCCCATAAAAGTGAATTTTAAGACATACAGATTTTATTAGCAATTTGGTTGTTCAGTCTACAAATACAGTTGAACTTGCAAGATGGTATTCTTGGGATGATGGCACGAGTGTGTCACATCAACTCTTTGACAGGTATGCAATTGTGTGGGTGTGCACACTTTTGGCAAATGTGCTCACGTGTGTCTGTGTATATTTGCTGTTGTAATGTTTGAGAGCTAGTGTGCTTTCCATGCATTCCCTCTCTAAGAAGTCTGGACGCCTGTCACGGCATGTCACTTGGCTGCTGCCCAACCCCCCCGCGCTCCCCATAGTTTGCCCTTCTTCTCCCCTCTCTCCCCCTGGTGTCAGAAGACCACAAAATTTGCCCCTTTAACTTGTGGGTCTGACCTCTGTGAGACATTTCACTAGCAGCATCCACATAAGTCAGTGGGGAACAGTGATACGCCGGCAATATGAGTTTATTTCCTTTAGCTTTGTGTTTGGGGTGTTCTGCATTTATGGTGAGTGCTCTGAAAACACTAAATATTTGTGGGTGTGTAGTGTTTTCACATATTTACCGCTTGCGTTATGTGCGTGTAGTGACCCAGGGCTGACTTGCAGGATAAAACCTTTAGGCTTTGCACCCCAGATCCAGGCAGTCCTGATGGGATCAGTGAAGGCTAATCGTAAGATTAACTGGATAGGCTGATACGGCTGGCCTGCCAGCTGCCTGCTAGCTGATGTGACTCATCTTGATACTGCAATATGCCACTGGACTGGAGTGCTGGGAAACTCTGCGGGAGTTTGAAATTAATAAACAGATGTTCCTCTGTTCCTAATGTATACAACCAGTCAACTGTACTTATTTAAGATTAACATTTCACACTTATCTAAAAAGCAACTAATAGTGAAAACAAAGGGTCTGTTGTTGGCTGCTAATAGTCAAAGTAAGTAAGTGTTAAAAATGTTATGTGATATTTATGCACAGGAAATCATACAGTACAATACATAAAATTTAATACACTTTACTGATCCCCAAAGGGAAATTCATTCATCATTTTTAAAGAGACATATTGTTTTACTTATAGTTAATTCTGTTTTCTCTGTACATCTTGTCTCCATCCATCTCTGTCTATCTGTCTCCCTCAGTATTCCACTTCACCGGGCAGATGACAGTCCACCAGTGAGTCTGGTTTCTGCCTGAAAAAATGAAGTTCCTCTTTTCTTCTACTCTCATTGCCAAGTGTTTCCCCTTGGTGGATTATTGTTGGATCTTTGTTTGATCCAACTTGTTGGTCCACAGGAACTGTTGACCCATTCTAAAAATAAAGTTTCCTGGGATAGCTTTTCATTTTCATTGCCATGTAGATAAAAACTAACATTGATTGATGAATTCAGATTCAAATGAAGCTCTGGGAAATGGCAGACAGGATTGTTTATTGTTCCCTAGCTGTTAATAGGTCAGCGGTTAAGTGTGTTGAACATGAACTCTGTGGTAAATTGATGGAAACAGCTTTAATCCTCACATTTGGGAGTGTTAAATGTATACATGATAGGCTCCCTGCTGTGTTTCACTAACCCCCTTTAAGTGTTTGCAGTATAATCCCGTAGCTTTTTAGAGGAGTATTTGTTTTAGCTCATTTACTGTGTCAAAAGACATTATTCATTCATCCACTGTTTTCATATTTTCCGAAACCACTTAATGTAGGACACATTTTATCAGGATTTGTTTTGTTTGTGGTCGATCAAAGACACAACATGAGGGAACCATGTCAGGGATTAGCTCAGCTCACCACTGTCTGTATCTGTGTCATGGTCTCTCATTGTAAACCCTGGGTGAATCGCACACCTCTCAAATCTTCTGTACTGTAGTGTGCTGCTATTCACGCCCATTGAAGGGATGCATAATGGCCTTGGCAGAACGTTTGACATTCACCATGGAGAAACTGTGGGGTTTCCCTGACCGGCCGCCAGAACCAGCACACAAAGCATGCAGAAGCTCTGCCAGAGGCAACTCAACTGTGGGCAGAGTGTAGGGCGGCTATGGTCTGGCCCCCAGGACCCGGCCATTGTGGAAATGTAAGTGGGGACAGTGTCTGAACGGCTTGAGTTGGAACAGAAAACTTTGGATGACCAAAACTATGAGCTTCAAATAGCAGGGCCCTGGGAAACATAGCTTGTTCTTTTAAAGAGGTCATACAGAAGCCAGAATGAGGAAAAAAAAAACAGAGAGCCGATGTTTGGTGGAGGGAATGTCAAATTGGAGGCTACTGTTACTATAGACATCAGCAAAACTGACATACTGCTTTTCTAAATGCTCGGCTGTCAGTCTCTCTCCTCCTCTCTCTTTCTTTACATTAGCACCCATTGATTATACACACCACTCATCAGCTGTCACACCGGTCTCCCAGGGCCTGAACTAACTAACAGAAGTGACAACTGAGATACTTGTGGCACTCAAGTTATGCTAAGGATGATGATCCTGAGGTATCAGCAGCCTGGGTTTGTCCACTTCTCTGCTCAAGAAAAAGCCCCCAAATTAAAGCCTGACATGAGAAATATCTCCATGAGATACTGTTTTAAGCCTTTGTATCAACAGCTGTGGATCTGTGTCGGTAATAGCTTTTCAACAAAGGCTTACCTTCATTAAATATTTAGTTTCAGGTGCCACCAACCAAGAAAAAAGTACTATCAGTTACCTACTCTCCAAAGCGGCATTTTAACATCTCTCTCTTTTTGTTTTTTTACACCAATGGGCAAAAACATGATTATTTTCAGTTTGTAGATATAGAACTAAAGCAGCAGTGTTGTCATAAACAGTAGAGTTCTTTGTATATACTACAATATCAACTCCAAAAGAGTTAGGACAGTGTGTGGCAATATATCACACAATGAAACTGAAAAAATGTTTTGTTCATGAAAAGTGTACGGTCACTTTATTTTAGATATCGGTGACACATTTTAAAACAGTCGGGACATCGGCATGCTGACTTTTGTGCTGCTCTTCTCTTCATAAGTCTTTGAAAAAAATTGGGGACCATGGAGACCAGTTTCTGGAGTTTTGACCATGAAATATTGTCCCATACTTTTGGCTGCTCAGGGTTTAAAAATGTCATCAATACTGTAGACATCAGGACTATAGACAAGACAGTTTGGCACCAGGACTCTTCTACTATAGAGCCATACTATTGTAATACATGCAAAATGTCATTTGGTATCTTCCTGGTATATTGTGCAAGTTCTTCTCCAGATGGCATCATATTTTGCTCTAAAACCTGTGTGTTTTGTTTTAATAATGCCTTCTCAGATATGTAACTAACCATGCCGTAGTCACCTATGCATATTCATACCCCCAGGGATGCTGGCCCTCTAAAGAGTGAAGGATTTGACATTAGTGATCTTAAAAAGAATGCCAAAATTCAAGGACAGTAACAATACTTAGAGGCTATATCAGAACAGCACATACAAAGAACAGTAACCAGATTGTTTAAAATTTTAAACACCTTTTCTAGGCCAGTCTTACATAATGCTGACTTTTTTATTTGCTTGAGAACAAAAACTCTTTTATTTCAGATCATCAACCCACAACCCATCTTGTAATCAGCATAACTTCTGTGATGCCTCTTCATCTATGAGTCAACTATGAGTCCTTACCCAGAAGAGTCGTGTCAGTGGGCAAAGGATATGGGACTGGAAGCTCAGAGAAGCTAAGCTAGTACTCTCTCTGTCTCTGTCTCTCTTTCTCTCTCACGCTCACACACTCACAAATGCACGCACACAATCCCTGGCTTTAATGCAAAGCAAAATTGAGAAGCCGAGACCTCTTTCAAGCTACTCGGCAGTTGCCCCCCCTTTATATAAAAGGACACTAC